TTTACCTGGGGATCATATAGCTGCTGTCCGTGAGGTCGTCCTCAATCCTAATGATCCAGATGCCTATAATCGTCTCAAGGAGGCGATTCTCCAGCATTTACTCCCATCGAAGGAGGAACGTTTGCGGACGCTTTTAGAACGTCACCCTCACGCCACGCCACCACCTCACGCGCCTGCAATCTTTAGCAGGACCAACAGCATCCAACTCGGATATAGTAAAGGAACTGTGGCTAGATTCATTACCAGCTCACATTCAGCTTACGACCGCTGCTCTGCCCGAGGATATGCCGCTTAGCCAAGTCGCACTCGTAGAAGACAGAGTTGTTGCGCGAACTGGCCATCGAGACAACTATACGGTTGCGTCCACGTCACATACCGGCGTGGGCCTCGAGGCCAATCAGGTTAAAGCTCAAAAGGACAAGGGTTGCTGTATCCACAGCCGTCTCAGTTTCCAAGATCGTTCTAATGTACCTGAACCCTACGTCCGACGAGCCCGATCACGATCGCGAAAGGCTGCAAGTACTCGCCTCCAGCGGGGATCTTCCAAGCCACGCCAACGGGCGGCTTCGGAAGCGAGTACTGGTTGGTGCTGGTTCCACCGGACGTTTAGGTCCAAGTACCTTGTGGATACAGGTGCCCAAGTTTCTTTCGTACCATTTGGTAGCAGCAAGTTACAACCTACAATAATTCGATTACCCGCTGCGAATGGCTCTGTCATTCCTACCTATGGTATACGACAGCCAACGGTCAACCTGAGCAACCGAAAAGGATGGGATAAGTTGGCGACCATGTGGCGACTACCGAGCACTAAATGTAGTCACACGTTTCGATAGTTACCCCATCCCCCACATACACGACATCACTCAAGGGCACGACTATCTATTCTAAGATCGATCTGGTACGGGCATACCATCAGATCCCAGTCGCTCCTGAGGATATTGAGAAAACTGCTGTCACTACTCCTTTAGGTCTGTTTGAGTTCCTACGAATGCTATTTGGATTACGGAATGCTGCTCAAACTTTCCAGAGGATTATCGATAGCATACTTCGAGACTTTGATTTTGTTCACGTCTATATTGATGACTTGTTAATCGCATCATCAAACGTAGATGAACACTATCAACATCTTACACTCTTATTCCAACGACTCTCGGATAATGGAATAATAATCAACCCAGACAAGTGCGAACTCGGCAAAACAGAAATAAAATTCCTGCATCACGTTATTAAGCATGAGGGTATTAAGCCTTGTGAAGATAAAGTACTTTCGATCATGGAGTACACTATACCGTCTTCACTCAAAGAACTGAGTCCAGACATTAGGATCATGTATCTCAGTTCACAACATACCTTCGTCATATTAAAGGCGAATCGAACCATGTTGCTGACGCTCTCTCACGTATTCAGGTAAATGCAGTTACGTCACCAGTGCTCTATCTTCCTGCTATGGCCGCTGCCCAAGCAAATGAACCTTCTTGTACAGAAGCACAAGAATCGACATCCCTTCAGTTCCAGGAAATACCACTAGCTACCACCTCAGATACTATCCTGTGTGACAGTTCTGCTGGTTAACTCCGACCCATCGTACCTTCTGCTCATCATCGTGTCGTCTTCTATACCCTTCATGGATTGTCTCATCCAGGTATCGCAGCCACTTTACGTCTCATCGCTGCACGATACGTCTGGCATTCCATGAATAAGGATGTCCGTATGTGGGTAAGGCAATGCTTACAATGTCAACGATCAAAAGTGCACTGGCACATAGCCGCCCCTATCGGCACATTTGCTACGCCTGGTGCTCGCTTCAATCATGTTCATATTGACATTGTAGGACCGCTGCCACCATCGCATGGGTACGATCACATACTCACGCGCATCGATCGTTTTACAAGATGGCCCATCACTTCTATTACGGCGAAAACAGTTGCTCACCGCTTCGTAGAACGGTGGATAGCGCAGTACGGTTGTCCCTCGAATGTCACAAATGACCGAGGGCAACAGTTCGAGTCCGAATTATTCTCCTCTCTAACCCGGCTGCTTGGTACGGAGAGCAAATGCACTACCGCCTACCACCCAGCTTCGAATGGTTTAGTCGAACGGTTTCATCGCCAACCTAAAAGTGATCTTCGAGCATACGAAAACGTCAATTGGTGCGAAACCTTACCGCTCGTCCTCCTTAGGTATCAAAACGAGTTTAAGGGCAGATATTCAATGTTCCGCCGCTGAATTGGTATACGGCACGACATTGTGTCTGTCTGGGAAATTTTTCGCACCACGGAGCAGTGATAACTTCGATAAATCAGACTGCGTTCAATGACTGTCTGAATTTATGTGAGCACTGTTCCCGGTGTCAACTCGAGTACAGCATCGACAGGTCGCTCTCCCTCGACAGTTATCTACATGTTCGCATGTTTTCAGACGAGTCGATTCAGTACACAAACCTTTGCAACAGCCTTACGAAGGACCTTTACTCGTGATTTTCCGTCATGAAAAGACCTTCAAAGTTGCTCGACATGGCCGCATCGAGGTAGTCAGCATTGATCGTCTGAAGCCAGAACACGTCGATGACAGTGCCCTACTTCCTAATCCGAGACCCAATACTAAACCCATAAAACCTACCAGCTGGAACCTTAAATCTACTTCGGGTCCCACTCTAGACAAATCAGAGACCTTATTCTCACGTCCCAGTCAACAGCACGCGTCATCTGCACTCTCTACGGATGAAACTCCGGTCTCACGTCCAGATCAGCAGACCACGCCGCAATTGACTGCGGATGAGAATACAGGCTCACGCACGAGGCTACTGTCTCGCGTTCCGGTCGTCGCGTACTACATGCATGCTACACTTTTTATCATTTTCTTTGATTTTTTTATCCCGAGCCTATAACTCCGACCATTGCCCTGTTGGTACCGTCGACTTCAGTCAACCTTGGCGAAAGCTGGCTTGATCACCCACGCTCTTGTCAATGCACTCAGTCGATTTTCTGGTTACGAATATATCTGGTATACGAATGGTTTTGAAATGTTCGTTTCTGGCTCCTTCGCTCAATCTGGTTCGGTCATACGTCTGCAGCTGAATCTGGTCCGGACCCCTACGAACGATATCATCAGACTCTGGATACGAGCCACGCTGGTGTGGCATGCCGAACCGATCGACGAACTTGGCACGTAATTATTGGCACTGCAGCGGACAAACTCTCGGCGACAACTCGAGCTTCATCAGTCGCTTCCTGTCGTCAACCCATCTTCTCTACAGCCAAATTTTGGCCGACAAGCCCCTCTGAACGCAGCCGCTACGTATAGAAAATGTGAACCCTTTCTAGGAGGGGGCTCCTGTAGTGGAACTACTTTGGTGAAGAAAACATGATTACTGACATATAAATACTTATTATTGAACACATGTAACAATAACTGTTTTATTGTACACCTTTTGTTTATCTGTACTTGAAGTCGTAATTCCAGCACCAATCTCGCCAACCTCGCCAACCCTGTGGACTTATTGATCGTTTCGTACAACCGTTATTTTGCTAGCTGAACACGTGATATTATTTCGATATCAGCGACCTCCTATCAATAAATATCGATATCCTATACCTGGCCTTCTGACTTGGAATACGTTTGGGCGTTTAAACTTCGCAACCAAAAAAGAGGTTAACAGATCTCTTAGTTTTTAGAAAGAAAAGTTTTTATGACATGTTGTAAGTCCTGGAGGATTGATGTGATCATCTCCCGATATCTTACTACCTTTTAGATTTAAGGGCACTAACACATCGACTGTTTTAAATAATCAGATTTAGTAACCAGAGCAAACGCAAATAACCGAAAGTGGCCAAATGTGGCTACATAGCTTCCTTCACACCAATACATTTGAATCACAACTAGGATAATGTCAAGACAAGAGTTGTACAACGAATGTCACGCAGTTGAGGAAGCTTGCTATTGCAGTTGTGTATCAACGGAGAGACATCTGAAAATCGACCCATTTTGCCAGCCGGTGGGTGATCGCCTACAGATGGAGTTCTAAGCTAACTCCTTGGCTGCTGAACAGAGTATTAGCTTTGATAAAGCAAGAATAAGTAGGCCACTCAACTCATTAAACTTTATCTGTTCCCGATAGCATCTTAAGGATAGAAATAAAGAGTGATCGGATTCAATATCGTTTACGACAAATATGAGAGATTATGATTGGTAAATAAATGAGGCTTATTTATTTAAACTCCAAGAGAGTCAGGGTGTAAGTCGATGGTTCATACTTTTTTTCAGTGATCAAACTTTACAGTGAGTAAAAAATACTCGCAGTTGCTGGGTCTAAAATTAGATTAAGTGCAGTTAAAACATTATGTTAACAACAAATACATGATTAGTAGCCACAGGTCAGTGGATAAGCTATCAGTCAACTGCGGATAAATTCGAACAACTATCTTCCCTTGTGCTTTTGTTGAGTAAGAAGATGAAGTTTCACAATGAAACTATCCAGTACAGAAAACAAATTACCCGAAGTTTTCATACTGAGCAATAAATATTATTCAATATCGGCTTAGAAAACCTTCATTTTGGTTTACTTAAAAGCGTTGGCAGACCTGTCTGTATGAGTTAGAGCATTACTCGATAGCTTCCGTAAAGAAGCGACAGCTGAGAGGCTTATTTCTTGATACTAAGCAATTCAGAGCTGGAAGCTTGATTAGCAAATGCGGACATCTACTTACACAACTCAAGTGCGTAGAAAGTCATACCTATTTATTCCTGAATATGATATCACTTTTGGAATCTAATACGAAATTCAATGAATCGGATTCGACAACGGCTTTCGACTTGACAATTGCTCAAAAATACAGACTCATTGTTCGCGAGAACAAAGACAGAAAGCACACTTGAAGTGACTTTCAACGATCAATGTTTTCAGACGCCGGTAGTTTACTTGATTATAAGAAAATCGAGAACTGAGACAGGCTACGCTCAACTTATATCGAGCACTTTAAATATGGAATGTCCGCTTTGAACAAAGGCGCTCAAGGTTGTGAAGACGAAAGGGAGGCTGATTTGACCCGAACCTATGTATCAAATTTGAAACTATACGCTACTAACTACTAATTTCTATTGTCAGTTTGTTCTAATCTCATAATAATACTCAATGCTGTTGATTACTTTCTTAATTAAAAGTAAATGCATTCCATGTGCTTACTGGGTCTACGACTGACCTTTTCTTTTGTTCTTTCCCACACCAAATAACCTTATTGATCATTACAACGCACAACACACAAGGTACTTTCAGGCCAAACAGACTTACCAAAGGCTGGAGTTACACCTAAATTAACATACTTCTTGAATATTTAATGTGTGGGTCCAGTTGTGCAAAAATTCTATTGAGCTATCAGTCATGGCTACGAGTCATAATAATCTTTTAAACGTCTCGGTTATTTTTATATAACATCAATGGAGTGTGATTCTCCGGAAGTTGTCAGCCTTCATGAAGCTTTAAGGATCAGTCCTGGTAGTCCGATCAAAAGTGACTTGACTGTAAACGGTCAAGCACAGCCTGTGAGTAAATGTGAGCAAATGAAAGACAGAAGTATAGGTTCATCATACGAGGCAACTAAAGTGGATCCAAGCCCAGTCACTTCCGAATCCGGCATTACCACATCACTGCAAACATCAACTACACCGATAAGCACTACACAGGGACATTCATTTATCAGAAGAACACTACATAGACCAGCATACTGTCACCATTGTGGCGATGTTATATGGAGCCCTCTTAGTTGTGGATTTCAGTGTGAAAGTAAGTGTTTTGGTCTTTAAATCAATAAATAACCGACATTGTACATTGTATTAAGCTTCATTGTGACACGAACTAAGTAGAAAGTTAGAAGCTCAAGGCTTTTTGCAACTATAAAGTCTTGACAATTTGCAATTGGATGGGTAGTTTTCAGTCAGTCGATCAGCCGTACACGATGTACAACCTCTCATTTGTGTATTACATTAATACGGATAAATTCCGTAGTAGTGTTACTAGTGGTACCGAAGAGATTAATTATAGAAGATATGGTTTCGTAAAGTAAAAGTAGTTTTGTTAGAATGACTAAGAGGTATGCAATCTAAGCGAAGACATCCAAAGTCTCTAGCGACTGATTACGACAATCTATTGGCCTTTTACCAAGAGGTTTACATATACCACGGTTTGGAACCATTCAGTGGCCCTACCGCTTTTGGGTTGGGCTCCCAATTTTGAGTTAGGCGGTGGCTGGTTATGTGTTATACGTGTCTCAAAACCTCAGTCGAAGAAAGTCCTTTGATTCATTGGACGATTCACCATTCTTACCCAATACTTTGCGTCCAACAAATAATAACTGGTGGTAATTCATCTTTTTAGTCAATCTTTTACAACGTAAAACGTGTTACATTTTTATGAGTTCAAGTCACCATATAGAATTAGCGCAAACATATGAAATTGTCAGTTCAAACCCCAGAGTAGTAGAGTTAGTATCAGCATTATGCGTAATGGAAAAGATTAGAGATCGAATATATCTCTTAGAAAGAAAATGAATTACATATTTTATCGCGTAGTTTTTTCTCATCTGAGTCTGTTAACTTTTTGTAGGGCGTAGGATTTATTTTGTTGTCTTGTTATAATGCAACATCAAATGGGTGAGATATAGTCAACATGTAAACTTTCGTTGAATAAATATTTATTTCATAATACTATTTCACGGCTTAAAGCATCGGATCGGAAAAACCTGAAGCGATGTGACTAAGTATAGTTCAATTGCTTGAAATAAAACTGACAATAATTTACGTATGCTTCTTTCATTGGTTGTATCATGAATTCTCTCGCTTATTCTGTTCCTTCATAAATGGAGGCTGTATAATTGTGAAAAGTATTTATGATTACTTTTCTTAGTAAACTAAATTGCTTTACAGATGATCCTGCAAAACTGTAGTTACTAAGCACCATTTATATGAAATGCATTTCATACATAAAAGGTTTGAGTCAGTTGGTCAGTTCGTCATATTCATTGTCTCAGAAACCTGCATAAATGCGCGATAACCTAAATTAACATACCACATCATGAAGTGAGGAAATTAATAAGGTCGATAGGAAGAGAGTTGAAACACTGTAGCAACAATGATGTATAAAATAGTTAAATCTTGAGAAGACAGTTCTAAAAGAAAGAATGAAAAAGTATGAATAGAGGAATACTGGAAATTAAAAGTGAATAATTTATTCCATTGTGACTGATTGTGAGCCGTGTCACACGTCTCTTAACCATCAGGTCACGATTTCGAGTCAAACCGAATCAGGTAGTACGCATCTACCAACATGGCTGACATCAATGCTCAGTAACTTCACGATGGAATGATGGTGCGTTTTAGTATGGTTACTTCTTTTAAACGACTAAATGATAGCATATTATTTTCGCAAACCAAATTGAGGATTTGTTTACTACGTAAGCACAAGCACATTAATACCTCATGGTAATGTAGATCATTCACTAAGTCCAAGATTTCAAACGTTTACTCCTGAAGTAACCCGTTTTCTGTCCGTTTCCTATACAACTATGACTAATCGCTATATGGTCTATTCATGTGCATCGTTGTGTTGATGTTTGGGGTAGCCAGGTTAGAAAATGTTGCTCCTTGTGCTTTAAGTCTCCACCAACTGGAAGTAAGCAACTGTTTGAGCTTAAATGCAGGAGTCGTTAACAATTGTGTTTCCGTTGGGTTACAATGTCAAAAGACCGACTTAGTCTACTGACTTGGTGGAAAGTTCACCTCCCACTATTGTCACATCTAAGCATCCGGATTATTGAAGGCAATCATAGAGCTTCCTATAGAAGTAATGATCTAATCTCCGGGCTGCAGCCAGTGAGGGCATTGGCGGAAATTAAAAAGTAATAATGGTGTCCCCCTCTCGTCCTAAATTCCTCCTGTACCATCATCATCATCAACGTACAACTGTGCACGTTTAAGTTGCTATACCACATTAGCACAGATATAATCGTCATTTCAAATCCCATAGTAGTAGAGGTAGTAGAAGTATTAAAAGTAATCGGAGAGATTAGGGTTTGGAGATATTATTTAAGAAGTAGAATCTAGTGAAATAAACTTTAAAAGAAAAAAAATAAAGTGATGAACAATTAAAAAGTTTGGGATTTGAGAGAACACAAGGAATGAATGCACCTGCATCATTGCAAACGGTTTTGAACCATGTCATTCAAGATCTCTAACCATCGATTATTATCTCGCGGACCCCAACCAGGTAGTCGACACCTACCGACATGACTGAGTCCATTTGTCAACGTCTTCGTGGATTTGTGCCATGTTTTGGTCTGGCCCTATTCCTACACCGCAAAGTATAGCTCTACGAGGCAGTCGGTGGCTGGGCATTCGTAACACGTCCCAACTACCTCAACTGATGAAGTTTCACTACTTCATCTGTTGACCTGCCATCCTTACCTAGCGCACGATTCCTAACACCAGCATAGATTACTCGGTTGTCGCACGATACTCGAGCAATGCTTCGGAGACACCTATGATCAAAAACCAGTAACCTACGAATATCTCCCACACTGACTGGCCATGTTTCTCAGCCATAAAGTAGGACGGAGTGAACTGCTGCGCAATACACTTTTCATTTTATTAGCAAACGGGTATCCCGCCTGCACCGTGACGCAGGTTGGCAAAAGCTAGTCGAGCCTTCTGTATCCGCGCTGAGATTTCGTCAGTCACCAGGCCATCTGCACTGATGAAACTCCCCGGATAAGTGAAGCGGTCTACACGTTCGACTACTTCACTCCCTATCACTAGAACAGGTGTCGATGCAACCCAATCTTGAAGCAACATTTTGCATTTCGAGGGTGAGAACCGCATCCTGACCATGCTTCCATTGTTGCTTAGGGCAGTCAGAAGACTGCATTTTGTTAGTGTCTTCACCAAACAGAACTATGTCATCTGCATATTCTAAATCAATAAGCGAGCCTCCTGGTAGGTCTACTCCTGAAAATTTAGACGAAGATAATGTTGCCTAGCAGCATGTCTATGACAAAGTTAAACAAGAATCAGGAAAGTGGACAGCCCTGACGGACACCACTTGTAGTAACTTATTCCGATAACAGTTCGCCATAAGCTTTAACTCGACCAGAGGTGTTCAAGTAGAGAGCCTGTATAAGGTTAATGTACTTCTTTGGTACACATTTTAATGACAAACATTACCACAGAACCTCACGGTCCACAGAGTCAAATGTCGCCTTAAGGTCTAGGAAGATAACTATTATCGGACGCCTAAATGTGTCTGTGTTCCAAGACCTGTCGTAGTGTGAAAATGTGGTCTATACAGCCACGTCCGGGTCTGAAACCAACCTGGTTTTATCGAGTCTGCTCTTCATGATCGCTAGTTACGCGTCTAAGTATAATCGAGGCTAACAATTTGGAAACTGTTAGACTGATTCCCCTGTGATTATCACAAGATGACGTTTGTCCTTTTTTATAAATTGGGACAATCAGGGATTGAGACCAGTCCGATGGGATTACGTCCAGTTCCCAGATTCTACCTAAACTCTCAGTCAATCTAGCTGCTAAAACTGGACCACCATCCCTAAAAATCTCAGGGGTCAATCTATCGGGACCCATTGTTCTCCCTCTCTTCAGATTTCCTAATGCCTTTTCGACTTCATAAAGATTCGGAGTACTTATATCGGTTTCCCATTCAGGATAACTGGAGATCGTGGGCAACCGCAGTGTGGCTGAAGGCCAATTGGACTGACCCCTGAAGTGTTCTGCCCATCGATGCGATCTCCTGTATTGAATATGACTAATGACGCCATCCTTTTCCGAGATAGTCTCACTCACATTTGGGTTCCTAATACCGGTTTCCTTGATAAGTCTGAATAGTTGTCTACTGTTGCCTATCGCCGTTGCCTTTTCGATCTCCGTTGCTTTCGCTACCCACCACTGTTCTCTATCACTGCGATGGCTTTTTATCAGCCTGCGCCTAAGCTGACTTCGCACCTCATCGTACTTAGAGCCAGGCGGGATGAGCTTTTGAGAATCCATTAGTTCGGTAGATGCTACTGAAATCCACGGCTTCTCCTTAACCTTATAGTTTGCCGCATCACTTGCTATATGTTTGCCTAACTATTTTTCTAGTTGTTCCTGAAATATATTCTTAGCTTTAATATCATTAAGTAGAACCCTAACAGGTTTCCTTGCGTTGTTTTTCTTGCGTCCAGTAAGGCACAAACAAATACGCGCTCGCACCAGAGCATGGTCTGAGTCCAAACTAGTGGACCAGAATGAGCGGTAGTTTTCAACAGAGCCTCTCTACCGATGGCTTATAGAGATATGATCTAGTTGGGTCCATCATTGTGTCGGCTTTGGGGGTCGCCAGGTCAAAAGGTGTTTTACCTCATGCTTAAAGTTGGTGTTTGCTAGAAATACGTGCTTATCTAAGCATAGCTGCAGTTGAGGGTAGCCATTATGTGATTTTTGAGCCACGGCACAATAAGATCCACCCAAGTGTCTTTCCTTTTCGCTGAGTCTACCTACTTGAGCGTTAAAGTCACCAACCATTATTACTATATCACAGTGCTTAACATTTTGGAAAAGTCTAGAGAGGTTTCTATAAAACTTATCTTTTATGTCGTCTGAACTGCAGTCAGTGGGAGCGTAGGCAGATACGACGAAGAGGCAGCCGCGAGTGTCCCTTTCCTTCCGAGTCCATACCATCCCGTCTAATCGGACAGCGCATAAGCGACTGTCTATCGCGATGCAGTCTGGGCGAGCTAGTTCTTCCCTAGAACTTAGTGCCATGCGTACACCTATGAGGCCACGAGAAGCGGCATCACGACTTTCAGGAACATGAAGCGTAAACCTTGTTGTTTCTTCATCTGCACAAGGTGAAATCAAACGATTATTTTACTCGGATCTTGTATGCGCGTTATGGAGACGCAACACACATCGATCTCATAGGATTCCAGAGTTCTAGCTAATAAAGCATGTTGCCTTATTTGGCAAGCCCCAATAAGTAATTTAGCACGGGTTCTCAAGAGACCAGGAATAATGTTTCCTGAGCTCATACTGGTTGTTTCAGTGGCGTGAGGTGATAAACGATCGAAAGAAGGGTTGGTCAAGGAGATAAGAGAGTTATTAAGAGGTGTAGAAAGGATTTGATTGTGATCAATTTGGTCTCGCGAGCTGTTACAGGTATGAGGGAGGAGGTTACTTCCCGGCTGCCCACACCGCGGAAGGGCGTTTCTTGAGGAACCTGTAAGGGAAAGTAAATTAGCGTTGGTCCTAACAACCTGTGAGCGTGACCGCAGAGCCCAACGGACAACTGCTTCAGGCCGGTCACGCACGGCCTTTTTATGCAAGGTTGTTTGAGTATTAGCTCCACTCTTAAAAGCCCTTACTGGGCACCCTTACCGCCGGATACGGAAATCCGTGAGGTACGGTGAGGTGTGACATTTTTAGGGTCGACCTTTTCTTACCCTTCCTTCCATGTGAGAAGGCAGCATCGCTGCAGATGCTGGTTGTCCGAGGGAAACACCTTACTGCTGTCACACCCCTCTGCAGTAGTCAGCAGTACGACTTCGCCCTCAGACCTTGGGTAGCTGCTTTTAGTCTCATCGTTCTCCAATCGACCTGCCTGGCATGGTAGAACCTTCAGGAACATATGCTCCAGCCAATGTAGCTCGGTTGGGTCATCACGTTAGGCAGGCCCGACCACCACGTCAAGGTAGCAGCTACGGTTGTGCAATAACATTTAGATGGATAGCGCATAATCGACTGTTGATGGGGATCCGGTCAAGAAGTATCTGTTTTACTTTCAAATTTAGCACTGTTGCTTATGGTAGTTAGGAGACACTGGAATTTATCAGCGTCTTCACCGAATTGAACTATGTCATCGGCATATTCTACTTCTTCCAAGGGCTCCCTAGCATGATTTTGATTGTTTAATACTGAGACCGAAAGGAAGAAGAAATATCTGTTTAATCCCACGTCTGAGGTTGATACGTGGTTAAAGTAACTTTGAATTGAAAATATATTTTATTTTAATTCAGTAAAATAACTTATAATCCAACTGATGGAAATATTCGTGAATAATTTTGAATGTAAACCTATAAAAGATTTAAACTCGGTCAGTCAATCAGTTGTAACCTAAAACTTGGTATGTACGTACATCACATAAGTCACCGCTAGAGTAGGCTTCTATAAGGTTAGTGTACTTCTTTTATTATCCTTTCAACGACAGACAGTTCCACAGAAGCTCACGGTCAACATAGTCAAATGCCTCCTTAAAATCGAGAAATACTACTATTGTGGCACGTCTGAACGTGTGTCTTTGTCCCAGAACATGGCGAAGGGTGGATATTTGGTCTATGCGTTGACATCCAGGTCTGAAACCAGCCTGGTTTTCTGGAGTCTGCTCTCAATGACCACTAGTTAGCCGTCTAAGTATTAATAAAGTTAATCATTTAGACACTATATTAATCAAACTGATTCCTCTGTGATTGTCATAAGAGGAATTTTGTCCTTACTTATAGACTGAAACAATCACTGATTGAGACCAGTCGGTTAGGATTACGTTCAGTTCCCAAGTTTTATCTAAGATCTGAGTCAATTTAATTATTATTATAATTTTTCCATTAAAATGTGTAGTATTTTGTCACGCCTTTTATTTTTTAACATCAACATATTTCTCTACATAAATGAGTCGTTATTTTGCATTTTAGTTTGCAACTTACTTGCACATGAACGTTGTCAAACAGTTGTGAGTTCGCCATGTACATCTGTTGCACCTCTTCGTATAAAGGTACGACCATTTTAACTTGGTTTCATAGGAATTAGAATATAATTTTGTTTAATGTTCGTTAAGTATTCAGTCAAATATTTTGCTTATGTATAAATTACTATTGGCTCTATGTGCCTTCAGATCGTCATCAAGACCAATTAATGCAAAGCATATAAATAATGCTGATGATGATAATAATGATAATAATATGGATAATAACAATGATTTAATTTAATTAAACTCACCATTTGGCTAGAGCTTTGTGTGTGGATTCACAAGCTAGCTTATTTCGTTTCTAGTCACATTCTGTTGATGTTTTCATGGTGCAATAAAATAAGATAAATTGATTTTGTGTCTAGTTTCATGAGATTTAGAATAATCCTCATTAGTTTACAATTCTGTTATTATGGCATGATTTGTATTTTATATTGTTTAATTTAATCATATAATTTTTTGAGTATTTCTAAATTAAAATAATAAATCTATGAGTTATTCTTAAATTTACAGTCTCCAGTATCCCATTGTTGGTCTGATGTGGGTCATTTCAAACGGAAATTTTGCAATGTTTGTCGTAAACGCTTGGAAGATAGTTTTTCTGTCAGATGTGAAGGTAAGACATTCTATATTATTAAGAGCTCTTAATGGCGAAATTTGATTTTTGTATACTATACTATACCATACATTTAACAATCAGCAGATAAAGTATTCACCTAAAACTATTCGTAATTTCTTTGGTGTTTGTGTGGCTTTTACAACTGCGTGCACATCTGATTTCTAACATACATTAACATTTTAGAAAATGGTGTAGAATTTAGATAAGCATATGAATTCGACACTTTAAATGCAGCAGTCAATTTGATTCGTCGTCAAATGAATGTTACTTACTTGCTTACTCCTGTTACTGCCAAAAGAGCATAGGCTGCCGACCAATACTTTCCAGTCTGCTCTGTCCTGGGCTTCCCTTTCTAGTTCCGTCCAATTTATATGCATTCTTCTCACGTCTGTCTCCGTTCCTCTGCGTAATGTGTTCCTTGACATTCCTCTTTTCCATTGACCTTGAGGGTTCCAAGTGAGGGCTTGTCTTGTGACGCATTTGGGTGCTTTCTGTAATGTGTGTCCTACCCATTTCCAGCGCTTATTCCTGATTTCTTCGTCCTCTGGAAGGTAGGTTGTCGGTGATAGTGTTTGGCGAACGAATCTGAAGTATTTTGCGTAGACAACAGTTAGTGAATACTTGTACCTTCTGGATGATTATGGTAGTTTTCCAAGTTTCCGCTACATACAGTAGAACTGTATGGACATTTTTTATCGAAAATTCTGACTATGGGGTTTGTTGATAGTTGTTTTGAGTTCCAGACGTTGTTCGATTGTAGAAATGGAGCCCTTGATTTGCCGATCAGCATCTTTACATCTGCATCTGATCCACTTTGCTCGTCATTGATGCTGCCTATATATGTAGAGGTTTTAACGTCCTCTAAGGCATCTCCATCAAGAGTGATTTGGTTGACTCACATTGTGTTCTTTGACTGTAGACAAAATGAGTAAGCTCCTACCTACGTGTTTTTGTACGTGAACTTTTCTCCATAAATGACTGAATCGTTTTACATTAATTTAGTTTTCGTGTCCTTTCATTCTTAACTTATAATTTCTTACGTACTTCTAGATAAGACCAACATTTATGTTTTAAAACGTATGTTATAACCACAAAATATAATGAATATAGGTCTAATCTATATTGTAAATTATATTTTTCATTTATTTTTACTCGTATAACTTAGTTTGTGAATATTATTGTCATGTGGATTGTCAAGATTATTCCGTCAATGATTGTAAACAAGGTGCAACGTGTTCACCAGGAAAACCTGTGGTGCGTTATTCTAGTGTGTGTGTGTTGGGGGGGGGGCTAGTAAATTATCTTCAGCATGCACATTTATAATCCGTTTAGTGTTGTTTTGTATATTGTATCTTGAAAACTGAATGTTGTATTGTCTTCGTGTCAATTTTAAGTTCCGTCTACTTTATATATATATATATATATATATATATATATATATATATATATATATATCGAGTGCTTCATGTTCCTTTGTTGGATTAATAATAATTTTATCCATATAGTTTCCATTATTTTCTGTGTTACAACAAATAATGTAAATTTTAATGTTATTTTCCTGTATGAACTTGCATGAGTACAGGTACGGATATGGCGAAAGATGAGATAATAGTTGGTTGGAATTGACAAATTAGGACGATGGTCGTATTTATAATATTCTTTAACTTCCACATCGTTTGTTAAAAAAAAAGAATTCGGTCATGTTTAACTAGTATTATCTCATTGGGTTGTTAATAAATTTGTTCATATTGTCAATACTTATTCCTTTCAGAATTCCAGTATTTTTATAGAAATAATTTAAAGATCATTATTTTACTGGAAAGAATTTTAAATTATTTATTGTAGAAATTTAATCCTACTCTTATTTATGACTGAAATAGTAACTGATGAATAAAAGAACTTGATAATTTCAGCGTGTACTTTCTATCAATCGGAGCAGTGTACCAATGAATAAATTCTCTACTTTGAACGTTCAAATCCTACTTCAGTTTATACAGCTGTTTGGTATTGTTAGCCGTCACGCAAATGAAATTGTTCAAATATAATTGCAGTATCTCTGTACTTGATGAAGGATTTAGATTAGACATATTCCACTAACAGTTTTATGCGAATCGGTTTATGAATTTGGTGATGATCTTTCACTTTCAGAGGTTCTCTATGTGATACCAATGAGATTTGAATCACATTAAAAGCGTTCATGTTCACAGTTTTAACAATCTAGTTTTACGTTTTCTAGAAAGTATTCCAAACTTTCTAAAGCTCAATAAAGAATCCGTATATTTTGACTAATTACTAATTTCTATTGCTCACCTTAACACTTATTTTTCTTGTTAATACTTCCACACTGTCACTTAGGCCCAGCTTGATTTTTAAGAGTGACTGAAATAATTATCGTTACACTTATACTTGACTGTTCTCATGTATATTTATCGTTTATCACCACCTACGTCGACAGGCTTTTTCCGGTGTGCGACTGGGCTGGTACAAAGCTTGGATCGGTCAAACTAAGACATGGTATCAGTCCTTGAAGTCATTGAGCGTTAACCTAAGCCATGTTGGTAGATGCGTACTACCTGATTCGGTTTGACTCGAAATCGTGACCTGATGGTTAAGAGACGTGTGACACGGCTCACAATCAGTCACAATGGAATAAATTATTCACTTTTAATTTCCAGTATTCCTCTATTCATACTTTTTCATTCTTTCTTTTAGAACTGTCTTCTCAAGATTTAACTATTTTATACATCATTGTTGCTACAGTGTTTCAACTCTCTTTCTATCGATCTTATTAATTTCCTCACTTCATGATGTGGTATGTTAATTTAGGTTATCGCGCATTTATGCAGGGTTCTGAGACGTTGGCTATAACTGACTGACAGTTATGTCGATAGTAAAATAGAAATCACTGATGGTAGTTTATGTATATCATGAAATGAATAAAGTTATACCAGTAGATATCAAATGAATGGTCTTTGGCTATTGTGCTCGCTATGAAATCTGAAGGTCTCAGGTTCGATTCTTGGTGGGGCTGTATGTATGCACGGCTGAGGCGTCCCACGGTGGTACGCAACAGTTATCTGATGATAACTTTCAAAGGTTCTTCATTTGATACCAATGCGCAATCAATCTATCTACTGAAAAATATCCAAATACACAACTATATATACTGGCTGACAAATGCAGCACAATATTCCATACTTTTTTGAACGGTCTGTTCAATTATTTGGTGAAGATGTCACCTTTCTCAGCGGTTCCGATTGAGTATTTATTGGTTAAGCTTATATTCCTTACAGAACTTCCTGAACCCTCGTTGTGTTACTATGGCAACTATTAACAAGGCACTATCAAAAGGTCATACAAACCTGTTAACCAGAAATGTAGAATTATATCTGAATGAGTGAAACTGAATTTACATGGTTCTGATAAATTTCATCCTAATACACTAAATATTCGAATTCACTTAGTCGTCTAAACACCGGTAGCCCGTATTTAACTAGCTAACTTGTATTTTTAATCTTTCAACAAATATAAAATCATGTACCCACTTAACTAGTTGAAAGTCATGTTACTTGATAATCGGGTTCATTCCGTATTACATTCGAATCATAGTTTTCTGAAGCACCTTAGAAACAGATTGACATAAATCAATGAATAGATGTATTCGTATTTATGCATCAGACAATGTAGCACATTGTAGTCTTTCGGTATAGTTGTTTTAAGATAGGTAACTATACTAAATTTAACGTTTGTTATTATCCTCCGAAATCTGTTGAAATTAAGCGACTCACTGTTATTTTCACTCGTATCTCATATTCAATTATTACTGTTAATCAAACAATTACTTCATTGTTTCTAAAAATTGTTTTACATAATACAACACGACTCCTATGTGGCAGTGAAAGTAAAATATGATTGGTGACCGAGTGTGGACAGACAGTCACTTAGCTTATTAACTATTAAAAATGTGGTTTTCTTTCCTCTTATTGATTTTTACGCCGGACTCATTGGGATTAATTGCCTATAGTTGTTGAATGAAGTGTTGTCTATCGTGCACTCGGGTTCTTTATTTCGATCATGAATCAGGTGTCTCGTGTTATGTAATGTAGTTCCTATGTAGTGTACTGACCTTGTACAGCGGTAGTATAAACTTGGTCATCGAGACCAGTCACGTTTTATTATATTATCGTATTAGTTTAGTATAACGTGAGAGGAAAATGTTCCGATACTCCCGCCGTTATAACAATAACCAATCAGTTTTGTTGACAAGATTTAATTAGTTCATCAGATGGATCTAAAACTTTTTGGGTGATTTCTTTATATAGATTTGGTTACGTGATTCTTTCTAGCATTTTTAATTCTATCAGCCTAGAGCAGTGGATTGTTTTCACATTTCAATTTATGCTGGTACTTCATTTTATCAGCTATTCTCACCATTTTCGGAAAATCATTTTAAAAGATTTATTCTCTCGTGTCAACTGTTTGCACAACGTACTACGAAGCATTAAAGATTATTGCTGTCTGGGTGCCAAAACCGGAGAAGGTATATAATATATCATGATGAAAACAATGTCACATTTTTCTGATTCTCCAAGTTTGCGTTAGCGGTGCGTCATGATAAACGAACGTGATAAAGAGTTAGTCGTAAAGATAAGAGCGATATTAAGCGGTGTGGGAAGGATTTGATTGTGAATGGTTCGGTCTCGTGTGATGTCCTTTCACTGGTGGTGTAGGCGAGATATTTGTTTGCTAATCAAATGACCAGTGTACTGCTCAACAGTCCGCTCCATCCTACTATATAGATCTGAGACATAACCAGTTGTTAGTCTTGTTGGTAGATGTAAACTACCTGATTGGTGTCCGCAAGATGATGGTAATCGATGGTTAGAGATAACATGGCTCAAAATCGTTTGTAATGGCGCAGATGTATCCACTCTTTGTGTCCTCTGAAATTTTAACCTTCTGAATTCCTCATCACCTCTATCTTTCTTTTTCTAAATTTATTTCACTGAATTATACTTCTTGAATAATATCTTCGAACTCTAATCTCCATTCCTACTAATACTTCTACTGTATCTACCACTATGGGATTTGAATTGACAGTTGCGTCTCTGTGCTGATGTGTTATGTTAACATGAACTTATATACGTACGTATGAAGTACTATGTTGTAACTGGCTAATTGATTCTTTAAGTCCTTTTTCTACGTGCTTATGTACATACATTGGGACATATTATTTTGATCGGTTATAGGGTTTCTGACTTTTTAAAGGTGTATGGATGATGAGTAGACAAAAAATTTCGGTTAACATAGTTTACCTGCAATATCACTTCAAACATTTACGTTTGACAATGCTTTTCTGTATTACCTATATCATTGCATGCTGAGGGTGTTTTGGACAGTATGCAACCAGTGTCGACGAATGCATTTCTTCAGAGTTTGTAACACGATGTTGTTTTTGTTTGAATGTTTCTTTTACTGTACCTGCATTCTGTATATGGTCTATGTTATATCTTTTTCTGTTGTTTCTTTTCTCTGTTTGGCCATGTTTAATTTCTATTGAAGTATTTTTTCATCACTTCTTTTCGCTGTATGAATATAGTGTTCTCCTCGTCAAAGTCATCATTGGAGGGAGGGGAATTTACCAACTAACTCTAAGTGCTTCATCTGTCGTAAAACATGCTGGTCATCTGAATGTCTTACAGGTTATCGTTGTCAGTGGTGCGGTCGAACTGTAAGTTATACTATTTTAAATATCGAAATTTTCCCGCTAACATTGCGATAGTAGGTACGTAACTGAATGTCATGATGTATTATATTAGATAAACAGCTAAGTACTTGTATTCCGTTTGGAGCCCTTCTAGGGTTACTGTTGGTCCCAATCCATACGCATGGGGTTAGCAACCTTATCCTGTCGAAACAGTCTTGCGAAAAAACGTTAACTAGAAGCGGTTATTTTAACCATTCAAACTTTGTCCTGGGAGTTAAAGAGTCTTAATTTAAAAGATTTATGACACTTAATAGTGAAGGCTACGTTTCTTCGATTGTCACGAGGCCGATGCCCCTTCTCGCAGCAAATAATATATGTACATGGAATGTCCATACATGATTCGAGATCAGGAGAACCATTTCACTTTCTGAAGAAGCGGAAACATACAAGCTGAAGGTGCTTGGAATAAGTTAAACGCATTGGACGCCAGCTTGACAGAAAAGATTCGCTCCGGGGGAAACTCTGTTGTACTCTAGTAATGAAGAGGAAAACGCCTTGCACACACAAGGAGTTGCACTGATGTTGACCAAATAAGCACGAAGAGCACTTTTTGTCTGGGATTCTCATGACCTCGGGATCGTCAAATTATCCTTCAAAACAAAGACGACGACGATTACAATGCTACGCACTCACCACTTATTACAATGAAGACGATAAAGATCAGTTTTATGAGAGGCTGCAGTCAATTGTCAAAAAATATCCAGGAAAGCACCTGATCATTCTGATGGGACACCAAAACACCAAGGTCAGAATAGACAATTCAGATATGAAAATATCATTGAAGGAAATGGATAGGGAGAAAGGAACTAAGTTGGTGAATATTTGCAAATCTATGTGGCTTCAACAAAATGGTTATAGATTGCATCATACTCCCCTACTAACTGATACATGGATTTCATCAGACCACTGGGTCATCACGATAGGCAAGTCCGACCTCCACGTCAAGGTAGCAGCTACAGTCATATCTTCGATCCCTAATCTTTTCGATTCCCACTAACACTGCTACTACTTCTACTACTATGAAATCTGAATTGACAGTTCTATCTCTCTGTACCAATGTGGTATGACAGTTTGGACCGATATACGTACGTATGGAGTTCTACGTTGTTGCTGATTGACTAACTGACTTCAGAGAACCCACTCGATAACATCTGCATCAATAATAAGTTCAGAAGGTTGTAAGAGCAAATAGAGGAGCTGATATCTCTTCATATTCTTTCTGGTGATTGCTAAAATAAAGGTGAAGCTGGAGAAATATTGAACAACTGGAGACACAGTGTTACGTAAGTTAATTGCAACCTTACTTTGAGATACTGACAAACTCAGTTAATTCAAGGTAACTTTCAGGAAAAAGTTCCAAACCTTACAAGATATAGTAGAAAAAGGGAAAACTGCCATGGAGAACAGCAGATAAAATAAGCAGTTAATTCAGCCGCAAAATGTACCATTATAAAGAATGGATATCCATTGATAACTGTGTGACACAACGACGAGGTCATTGAGATTTAACAGCTGTGGAATAAGTGGGTAGAGCACTTTTTATCTCTCTTAAGTAGACTGACCCCTTTAAACTCATCGGTCATCGAAGCAGCACCTGCAGACCTTTCCAAAGACGGCCGAAGCACTGAAGTCAGATGTGGAATTGTTTACAAAAGTGCTCCACGTTCTCTTCAGGAGAATTTGGGAGCAAAAAAAGCACTGAAAAACTGGAAAGAAAATACCTCACCACGATACCGAAGAAGCGAGATCTTAGCAAGTGTGCGAACCACAGAGGCATCAATCTGCTATCAGTACCAAGAAACGTTTTCAACAGAGTGTTGTTAAACAGAATAAAAAACTATGTAGATGCCCAACTTCCCTTTCTTATAAATTGGGACAATCAGGGATTGAGACCAACCGGATGGGATTACGTCCAGTTCCCAGATTCTACCTAAACTCTCAGTCAATCTAGCTGCCAAAACTGGACCACCATCCTTAAATACCTCAAGGGTCAATCTATTGGGACCCATTGTTCTCACTCTCTTCAGATTTCCTAATGCCTTTTCGACTTCATAAAGATTCGGAGTACTTATGTTAGTTTCCCATTCAGGATGACTGGAGATCGTGGGCAACCGCAGTGTGGCTGAAGGCCAGTCGGACTGATCCCTCAAGTGTTCTACCTATCGATGCAATCTCCTGTATTGAATATGACTAATGACGCCATCCTTTTCCGAGATAGTCTCACTCACATTTGGGTTCCTAATACCGGTTTCCTTGATAAGTCTGAATAGTTGCCTACTGTTGCCTATCGCCGTTGCCTTTTCGATCTCCGTTGCTTTCGCTACCCACCACTATTCTCGATCACTGCGATTGCTTTTTATCAACCTGCGCCTAAGCTGACTTCGCACCTCATCGTACTTAGAGCCAGGCGGGATGAGCTTTTAAGCATCCATTAGTTCGGTAGATGCTACTGAAATCACGGCTTCTCCCTAACCTTATAGTTTGCCTAACTAGAAGATATCACTGCTGTTTCTACAGTCTTTTTGATATCATACCAAGCTGCCACGGGGTGGGCATCACTTACTATATGTTTGCCTAACTGTTTTTCTAGTTGTTCCTGAAATATATTCTTAGCTTTATTATCGGTAAGTAGAACCCTTAAAGGTTTTATGGCGGTGTCTTTCCTACGTCCAGTAAGGTGCAAACAAATGCGCGCTTGTACTAGGGCATGATATGCATCTAAACATGTGCCTCACAACGAGCGACAGTCTTCTATCGAACCCCTCCATCGATGGTTGATGGCAATGTGATCTAGTTGGGTCCAACGTTGAGACGACTTTGGGGGTCACCAGGTCAAAAGATGTTTTACCTTATGCCTAAAGTTGGTGTTTGCTAGGAATAGGTGGTTATCTGAGCATAGTTGCAACAGACGGTCGCCATTGTCTGTTCTCTGAGCCGCGGCCCTGAGTGACATGGCTCAAAATCGTCTACAATGGCTCAGGTGCATCCACTGTTTGTGTTCTCTCAAATTCTAATCTACTGAATTCCTCATAATCTCTATCTTTCTTCTAAATTTATCCCACTGAATTATACTTTTCGAATCATATCTTCGCTCCCTAATCTTCTCCATTACTGCTAATACTTCTACTATCTCTATCACTCTTGGATTTGAACTGAGAGTTGCGTCTCCGTGCTGATCTGGTATGGGAACCTGAATTGATGTTCTTACTTACGAAGTTCTGCGTTGTATCTGTCTGTCTGTCTGTTTTTCGATAAACCAGGTTTACCGTTTCGGGAGCTCGCAGCGTTAGCTTTATTTGCGCGAGTTGACAAAGGAACCAAAGAAGGATTGTTGGTGAAGATAAGTTATTGATTAGGTGTTGAAGGTATTTAGTTGTGATGGTTTTACGGGTACGAGGGCGGATATCAGTTCCTGTCTATCCACACCGTCGAAGTGTGGTTCTTGAGGAACCTGAAAAGGCAGTTAGATTAGCGTCCGTCTTAGGGCGTGTGTGCAGAACCCAAGAGACAACTGCTTGAGGCTGGTCACGCACTTTTTTTAAAGTATGGATACTAATATTGAAATCCAGTATGTCAACTATGATTCATCCAGACATGGTCCTGGAAAACTTATTCGTATCAAAAGATTGATTTCCTAAATATCCTGTTTAACCAACTGTAAATTCTGAAGGGTAAAACATGTACATGGTTTTCGTAGTTAATTGTATTTTTCCACAATATGCTCGACCTTGCTTCCTTGTATGTATATTAGGTTTTTTTCCAAACTATCATTCCAACTTGTGTGACCCTATTGGGTTCTTATAAATGACTGAAATCATAGTGTTACCGGAAAAGTATTACATTTTATGTGGCAGGTAGTTTTAATCAAAAGAATCCGTAGTTTTTTTCCTCAATTTCTAATATTAATCATAATGAGAGTAAGAAATAGTAATTAGAAATGAGTTGTAACATTCATTTTTATTTACTAATTATTTTCTGGGATAATATATGATAGTCTTTGAGGTTTTTCGTTACTTTTTGTATACTTCAGAGTCATGCGGGTTGTGTAAATAAAGTTGACGACGAATGTGATTTTGGTCCTTTACGAGATATCATGTTACCATCATTCTGTGTGAGTCTTCCACGAATGAATATTCCTATTGAACACGTGATCGGTGTAACTAAACGTCCACGAGGTGAGTCGTTGTACCTCTTTCTAACTAATCATTATCATTGAAACAAGTGATTTATTCTGACAAACTACTGGACTTGTCTATTTACTAATATTTATATTTATAAATAATAACAATTTTAACTATACTAGTTTCTTTAGTTCTTCAATGTGATTTTTACTTTAGTAATCGGGTTTTGGTTCATCAATTTAGTTCAGTCATACAATTTGTAATTTTTCATCTTAGTACATTTATCTTGATTCGAAACACAGAATAGTATCATTCGATCCGATACATTAGGTGTGGCCTAGGATTCAGTAATCTCGTCACGTTTCGTATACTACCATATATATATATATCACGAAAAAGTAAAGTGAATTGAAATTTGAACTTGCTGAATAAATAAATTGTATCGGTAGATGCTAAAGACACACCCTAGTAATATGATTTTGTTAAAATTTCACTAAGTTTTCATTTTAATTTTTTAGGCAAAGAAAATCACGAAAAAATATAAGCAAATTATTATGTTTTCTATTTTATACATTTACTGAAAAATATACCTTACACTAATATTGTGTTAAAAGTAATAATTCTTTGTCAATTGTTTGAAATATTTTCAACATCCCGACCGAAGCTGCTACCTTGACGTGGTGGTCGTGCTTGCCTATCTTGATGACCCAACCGAGCTATGTTGGCTGGAAATCATGTTCCTGAAGGTTCTACCATGCCAGGCAGGTCGATTGGAGAACGATGAGACTAAAAGCAGCTACCCAAGGTCTGATGGCGAAGTCGTACTGCTGACTGCAGAGGAGTGTGACAGCAGTAAGGTGTTTCCCTCGGACAACCAGCATCTACAGCGATGCTGCCTTCTCACAAGGAAGGAAGGGTTAGAAAAGGTCGACCCTAAAAATGCCACACCTCCGCTAACTCACGGATTTTCGTCTCCTTGGGTAAGGGTGCCCACTAAGAGCCTTTAAGAGCGAAGCTAATCCTCAAAAAACCTCAAAAAGGCCGTGCGGGGCCGGCCTGAAGCAGTTGTCCGTTGGGCCCTGCGGTCACGCTCCCAGGTCTCCAAGACCAACACTAATCTATCTTCCTTTTCAGGTCCCTCAAGAAACGCCCTCATACGCGTAACATCACACGAGGCCGAATTGGTCAAAATCAAATCCCTCCTACACCCCTAATACCTCTCTTATCTCCACGACTAACTCTTCTCATATTCATTTATCACAGTGCACAGCTAATGCAAACGATGCGAGTTCGCGAAACGTCGTTCCTGGTCTCCCTAAACCCCGTTCTAAACTACATGTTGGAGCATTTAAGGTACGGACATTGTGTCAAATAGGGCAACAGGCATCATTAGCTAGGACTTTAGAATTTCGTTCCATCGATGTATGCTGCGTCTCGGAAAAGCGCATACAGGATCCGAGTAGCATCATTCCCTTGACCTCACCTTGTCAAAACGAAGAAGCAGCTCGATTTACCCTTCGTGTATCCGGTAGCCCTGATGTTGCTTCCCGGGTTCTCGCCGGTGTAGGTATAGCACTGAGTCGTGGGGCAGAACTAGCGCTCCTAGACTGATAAAAAGCCTACGTAACGACCGTCAACAGTGGTGGGTGGCGAAAGCAAAAGCGATGGGAAAGGCAGCGGCGATCGGCAACAGTACACAACTTTTCCGACTTATCAAGCAAACTGGTATTAGGAACACTAATGTGAGTGAGACTACTCGGAAAAGGATGGTCTTATTATCCATTCTCAATCCAGGAGACTGGATCGATGGGTAGAACACTTTAGGGATCAGTTCAACTGGCCTCGAGCCACACTTCGGTTGCCCACGATCCCCAGTCATCCTGAATGGCCAACCGATTTAAGTCCTCCCAGTCTACATGAAGTTGAGAAAGCGTTAGGAAATCTGAAGCGAGGGCGAGCTGCAGGTCTTGATGGACTGACCCCTGAGGTATTTAAGGATGGTGGTCCAGTTTTGGCAGCTAGATTGACTGAGAGTTTAGGTAGAATCTAGGAACTGGACGTAATCCCATCCGAGTGGTCTCAATCACTGATTGCCCCAATTTATAAGAAAGGACAAAAGTCCTCTTGTAACAATCACAGGGGAATAAGTCTAACTAACACAGTTTCCAAATTGTTAGCCTCGATTATACTTAGACGTCTAACTAGAGCTCGTGAAGAGCAGACTTGAGAAAACCAGGCTGGTTTTCGACCTGGACGTGGCTGTATAGACCACATTTTCACACTACGACAGGTCCTGGAACACAGACACACATTTAGACGTCCGACAATAGTCGTGTTCCTGGACCTAAAAGCGCATTTGACTCAGTGGATCGTGAGGTTCTGTGGCGGTGTTTGTCATTGAAAGGTGCACCAAAGAAGTACATTAACCTTATACAGGCTCTCTACTCGAACACCACTGGTCGGGTGAGAGCATATGGCGAACTGTCATCTGAGTTCTCTACATCAAGTGGTGTCCGTCAGGGCTGTCCACTCTCTCCATTCTTGTTTAACTTTGTCGTGGACATCCTCTTAGAGTTAACATTAAGCTCGTCAGATTTTTCAGGGGTTGACCTTCTACCTGTAAATTCGCTTACTGATCTAGAATATGCCGATGACATAGTTCTGTTCGGTGAAGACGCTGACAAAATGCAGAGTCTTCTGACTACCCTAAGCAACAATGCGATTATGTTCGGGATGCGGTTCTCACCCTCGAAATGCAAAATGTTGCTTCAAGATTGGGCTGCATCGGCACCTGAACTAATGATAGGGAGTGAAGTCGAGCGTGTTGACCGCTTCACTTATATGGGGAGTCTCGTCAGTGCGGATGGCCGGGTGACTGACGAAATCTCAGCTCGGATACAGAAAGCTCGATTGGCTTTTGCCAACCTGCGTCACTTATGGCGTAGGCGAGATATCCATTTGCTGACTGAAGGACGAGTGTACTGTGCAGCAGTTCGCTCCGTTCTCATATATGGCTGTGAAACATGGCCGTTAAGAGTAGAAGATGTTCGTAGGTTACTAGTATTCGATCATAGATGTTTAAGAAGCATTGCTCGTATATCGTGGGACAACCGAGTATGCCATGCTGTCGTTAGGAAACGAGTACTAGGTAAGGATGGCAGATCAGTAGATGAAGTAGTGAAACTTCATCAGTTGAGGTGGTTTGGACATGTGTTCCGTATGGCTAACCACCGACTGCCTCGACGAGCTATGTTTTGTGGTGTAGGAGTAAGTTGGAAGAAAGCTAGGGGCGGCCAAACCAAAACATGGCAGAAATCCATGAAGTCACTGACAAGTGGACTGAGTCATTTTGGTAGATGTAGGCTACCTGGTTGGGGTCCGCGAGATGATAATAATCGATGGTTAGAGACCTTGAACAACATGGCTCAAAATCGTTTGCAGTGGCGCAAGTGCATCCATTCTTTGAGCTCTCTCAAATCCTAATCTTCTGGATTCGTCAACACCTCTACCTTTGTCTTTCTAACCCTATTTCACTTAATTATACTTCTTGAATAGTATCTTCGAACCCTATTCTTCTTCATTACCATTAATACCTCTACTATCTTTATGACTATGGGATTTGATTTGACATCTGCGTCTTTGTGCTAATGTGGTATGGCAACATGAACTTATGTACATACGTGCGTAGTTCTACGTTGCAACTGACTGACTGACTGAATATTTTCAACATACACTTTGGTGATCATAAGTAGCATTGATTTGTAGTTCATTAATTTTCTCTAGTATTCAAAGACTTTGGTTCATTCGGGTTGAAATATTGAAATCTAATCATTAGGTTAACTTTAATAGTTTTGTCAAGGCATTTATAAATCACTGTTTGAATTTTTTTAATTCAACTTTTACCTCCACTTTGAACTTTTTTGTTTTCTTTCAGGTCGAGCTATTTCAACTGATTGGTCAAGCAGTGGTGAAAGCAAAGAGGATAGTTGGCAGGATACACGATCTCCAAGAGAAACAATAGACCGTGCTAGTAGTGATGGTAAGGAAGTTGTTATTGTTGTTGTTTATTGTTATTATCAACCATTTATCACTGTAGAATGGTGTAAGGTAGTTGAAAGTAGTCGACAAGAAACCGTGGATCTATGTTTTTTAATGGTATTCGGTACTTGTCAGCAAGATGTACCTGTAATCTTACTGGTGGGTGCAAAATAACAAAACACCTTTGGTTCCAGAGTATTTTGTTGACTACCTACAGTCACCTGACAGTTCCCGGTAGCGTTGAATCATTTAGACTGGTAGATGGTACATCACACCTTGATTATGGGATAGTTATATACTTACTTACTTACTTTCGCCTGTTACCCCCAATGGAGCATAGGCCGCCCACCAGTTTTCTCCAACCAACTCTGTCCTGGGCTTCCCTCTCCAGTTCTGTCCAATGTTTGTTCATTCCTCTCATATCTTTCTCTATTTCTCGGCGCAGTGTGTTCCTTGGCCTTCCTCTTTTCCTTTTGCCTTGAGGGTTCCATGTGAGGGCTATATACTTATAATATATTATATTATGATTACGTATTATTGGTAAATAATCTCCTTATTAACATTCTATATTAAAGTTTTGCTTTCTTTCCAATCTTGTACTAGAATATGTATGTGTATTCGATGGAGTTGGAGCTCTAAAGAGGCGTTCATGTCGAAGTTTTAGTTTTTCCAAATCAATGTCAACTTATTCAGCAGTTAAACGGTTTTTGAAAACATTTCATTTGGCTGGTACACCTGATTATTACAATGTATATGAAGTTAATGAACATGGTACGTTGTGGGTATTTTATTCAAAAATAAATTTATATTTTGAATTTTCTTAGTTGTAGTTTGTTTTCGTTGTTATATGTATACCGTTTTGTGTCATTCATACGTTTTTAAATCAGGTCTCACTATCTTTTACTGTTTATTACGAACCTTGGTAATTGAACAAAATCTAGTTTACTTTCAAAGTGGCAGTATGTCTGATAAGAAGAGATTTACGGACATTCCATAGCGTATCAATCAAATATGAACTGTCTATACATTTCTTTTTGGAAAATATACCACTTTGAAAACGTTTGTTTTTGTCCAGACATCGATGTTCAACGACGTTTGGCTTAGTTAGTTTTTCCTAGAGCGGCTTTGGAAGTCGTCAGGCCAAAAGATGTTCATTGTTATGCTTAAAGTTAGTGTTTGCTAGAAATAGGTGCTTATCTGAGCAAAGCTGCAGTTGGCGATCGCCATTATCTGTTCTGTTATTAGCCGCGACACCATAAGATCCACCCAGGTGTCTTTCCTTTTCGCTAAGTCTACCTACTTGAGCGTTCAAGTCACCAGCCATTATTACTATATCAGAGTGCTTAACTTTTTCAAGAAGTTTGGAGGGTTTCTGTAAAACGCATCTTCAGTCGGCGGGAGCGTAGGCAGATATGACGAAGAGGCAGCTGCGAGTGTCCCTATTCTTCTGAGTCCATAGTGTTCCGTTTGGTTAGACAGCGCATAAGCGACTGTATATCGGGTTCCAGTCTAAGAGAGCTAGTTCTGCCCTAGGACTTAATGCTATGCGTACACCATCGAGACCCCGGGAAGCAGCATCAGGACTTTCAGATACGTGGAGTGTAAACCGAGTTGGCTCTTTATCTGGACAAGATGAAGTCAAACTAATCACTGAACTCGGATCGCGTATACGTGTTTCCGAGACGCAGCATACATCGATGGTGTGAGATTCTAAAGTCCTAGCTAAGGAAGCTTTTTGTCTTATTTGGCATAAGGTTCGAACATTAACGCTCTATTATGTAGTTTATAGCGGTGTTTCAAGAGACCAGGAAATATGTTTTGTGAACTCGATTCGTGTGCGGTGTGGGGTGATAAAGGTGTGTGCGAAGGGTTAGTGACCGATTTGGTCTCGTGTGCTGTTACGTGTATGAGGGCGAATGTCTCTTCCCGGTTGCCCACACCGTGGGAGTATGTTTCTTGATGAGCCTGACAGGGAAGTTTGATTGATGTCTTTACCGCAGAGCCTAAGGGAGAACAGCTCGGCTGGAGATCATGGACGACCGAAGTGTGGCTGAGGGCCAGTCGAATTGACCTTGATGTGTTCTTCCCATCGATTCAGTCTCCTGGATTGAGAATGAATGCAATGACCATTCCTTTCTGATATTGTCCCGCTAACTGATGGACTCTTGGTACCAGTTTCCTCTACAAGTCTGAATAGTTGTCTTCTGTTGCCTATCGCGGCTGCCTCTTCCATCTCTCTTCCTTTCGCTACCCACCACTGTCGGCGATCATTGCGTAGGCTTTCTAGCAGTCTGCGCCTAAGCTTACTCTGCTCCTCATCGTAATCAGAGCCAGGTGGGATGAGTTTCCGAGCACTTATTTGTTCATAAAATGCAATCAACTGCAGTTCATTATTTTAATGAATTATTTATGTGATTAATGTATTGTCCTCGTATATGTATCGTAGCGAATTATGTGTAGCTTGTCATTATATATATTTGTTCATAATGAAGTAATAATTAAAATAGCTAAGCAAGTTTTATATGCAATTTCACGTTCATGTTTTAATTCAATTTCATATTTTTAAAATATTTTCTCTTGTTGTTGTTGCGTAGATGGGAGTGAAAACAAACTTAATTATCATATCAATCTTCGTAGTCAGTTGAGATTTGATTTAAAACAACCTTCCATATTAATTCGATCCAAAGAACCGGAAGAATCAACAATTACAATTAAAGTATACGCTGGAGATTTACGGTTCGTTTCAATTTGTCACAAATTTAAATTTCAAACCCATTAAGCTTTACTTTCCGTTTATTCGAACATAATGAATTGTTAAGAAAAAATAAAACTGTTTTTCTCAAAGTGTTATAACTTTTGTTTGTTATGTAAACTCATCAACATATCTTAGTCTTAATTCAAAGAAATAGGATGAAATTCATTATTGATTTGTTCCCTAATTATTATCAGGTTCCTTTAGCAAATTTGCATAAAAATAAAACACTTGATCGATTTGTTTATACTTATATATATATATATATATATATATATATATATGAGAAAACAACAGTGTGGGAAATTGTTTTTGATTAAAAGGAAATATAGTATTCCTTAAACTGTTTACTCATATAATTTTTGCTTACAGTAGATTGAAACAGTGTCAATTGGTGCATCTGGCTGTATCTGTTTACTAATTCTGTTTTTATCTTTTACCTCGTCCGTCTGCTCATTCATGTTCTAGTTTTTATACTCTCAGTTTATTCATTGTACTGTGGTTTTGATTGATCAATTGTGTTTAGAAAACTAAAAAAAATCAAAGGTTTAGACTTAACGCTCTTAGGTAGTGACAAAAGCAGTGCCTAGAATCACAGAAATGTATTATAAACCGACTACACTTTGAAATTTGGTTATCACATTAGTCTGTTACAAAAGAACTCTTTAAGATGAGTGTTAGTTACTAGAGAAAAGTATCTCACTTTTATGTATGACTTTAAATCAGACGTAACATAGTTTGGCAGTTGCGTTTCGCAACTTGTACTGTCTTTCTCTGTATATCAGTGTTTTTATTGTGTATTCATAATGACTAGTTTTTATTTTCTCTCTCCAATACCTCATATATTTATTACTTTTATAAAGTTATTTAATTCTTTGGTTATTAACTTGATTTGTATTGTGGTATTTTGTTGTTTGTGCTAGTTGGTGTAATTTGAGAGCTTTGGACAGTATCGTCATCGTCTATTTCACATAGAAATAAGCTTTGTTTGGTGATTCCAGAAATATCACATCAGTTCCTCTTGATGATTTCCTCTGTAATCGGATGTGTTTTTAAATTATTTTATTTTCGTTTGTTCTTACACTTATATTAACTAACCTCTTACCACTTGGTTGATTGATCTCTTCCTTATAAACTGATGTGTTGATATATCTACAGATGTCTAATTAATCTGGATAACTCGCTCCTAGAAATCCTGTGATGTTCTTATAGTTTCTTTGATCTAGAATTCCAGATCTTACTTCAATCGAATTCATGTCTGTGGTTATCCATGTGTATTGATATCAGTGATATCATGTCAACCCACTCTTGATCTGTGTTTACTTTCATGTAGGTTAAAGAAAGATGCACAGTTATTTTCAGTGCTTATTTACTCTTATTATTCAAATGATAGATATTATTTTAACTTCTGTTTATTTCATCTAATGTTAAAGTAATAATACTATTGAGCTATTTGAGTTCGATCTCTTTTTACTGATCAAGTTAGCTAACCTTTACATTTCAGCGACTAAGTTAAAATACTATTGTCAAAAAGATTAAAGTCTTTTACGAACTTATAGCTTGATAGTCAAATAGTATTTACCAGTTTTTTATTTACTTCAAGTTACAGCCTTTTCTACACTTATTTTTTAATACTTCTCTGTTCATTTATCTCTTTTTCGTTGAACTAAATTAATTTACGCCTATATCGCCTAAAGATAGTCGTAGGCAACATAAAACCTAATGCAAATGTACGATGACCCAATTTGTTATACCGCTTAGCGTGACGATGTGCAAATAGCAAGAAAAGCAAGTCAGTCGAAATAGCGTATGAGTGATAATGAAAAAGGCTAAATTTCGAGAAATGGTTCAGGAAAATGAATGGAACAAAGAAATACTACAGCTCAAAATCTAAAGTCAAAGAGTGAATTCATCCACTTTACTGTGACTAATCCTGAGTCATTTCATACAACCTATCCGGCAACCTTTCAGGGTTATTGCGTAGATGTTCCATGTGTCAACATGACTTATATCAATAGTCAGTAACTTAACGGTATGATATTGCGTTTCATTTTGGCCACTCCTAGCTTTCTTCCAACGTACTTTGACATCAGCTAATATCACCCGTCTGTGTATGTAGTAACTAGGCATACTTCATGCAACTCTCGACCACCGTAGTCAATGAACGTTAACAACCTTTCAAACTGATGACTTGTGTCTAACTTCAACATTGCTCACTTCGTACGTAAGTACATCAGTTCATCTCTGTGCTGATGTGGTATGGCGACATGAACTGATGTACTTACGTACGAAGTTCTACGTTGTGACTGACTGACTGACTGACATTGCTCACTCATTCGTCTGTAATATTGGAGCAATGTTTCTAAAGCATCTATGGTTTCAAATCTGAGGCATACAAATGTCTTCCTCTTTCATAGATGATGTTTCATAGCCATGGAGTAATACAGAGTGAATTTCAGCGCATTTTGTTCATCCTTTGGTTAGGAGACGGCAATCTCACCTCCATTAGTGCCGTACATTAGTCCAAACCGGCAGAGCTTTTTTTATGTCGAAATTAATTCAGGTACTGTCCCATCAGAGTTGAGCAGGTTTTCAAGATCAGCAAATTGTTTAAGTGTTGATGTAAACTAATTTTAAAACAAAATTTTGGATTTCGCAGAATAGAAGCTCATCTAAATCACGCTTGTATTGTTGCTATAAGCAATCAAAAGGCTATGAATAGCTTAAAATATATGCTTTATAAGTATTTAGTCGTTTTTCCTTAATAACTTGAATCTTTTAGTAGTAGCTAACATAAAAAATTTCTCATAGGCTTATATATATATATATATAATTTCAAAAAGTTACATTGTCATATCTTTTTCTGTAGTTCTGATCAGGATTTACGTGACTTATTAAATAGATTAATTCTAAATCAGAAAAGGATTGTGCATCGTGTATTTTTGAAAACAGTTGTCTTGATCTCTACATCTTTCGTATTGTTGTTTGAAACCCGTTTAGTAGTTCTCAACGTACAAAATGTGAAATTACCTAGTTATATGTATGTATTTTTGATTGTGTCCAATTTTTCGGATGTTATCGTATACCCTAGGCACTTACATATCGATATCACCTAAGGTTACAGGGTTCCAATGAAATCTGATAGATTTCGTTTGTTAACTTATATACAAGCAAGAGCAGTGTTCAGTTTGATCGCATGTTTTGATACGTGTTTCGGTTTGTCGTTGACTTAACCAGACCTTGTTTTCTCAATAGTTATTATGGTACAGTTCTTAATTTATTGTTTTAACTTGTACAACGTATTATATCTTAAATACCAATATATTTATCATTGCAGTTTACTACTTGCCCCACATGTACCACCTTATGAAGAGGTAACAATCAATTCCGAAACTACTGCTTCAAAAGTGGTTGCAATGGCTTTAAATAATTTCGGTTGTGGAGTAAGTTAACATTTAGATAACATATAAAGTTACTTTTTGAGTTTTTTTTACGTGAATAATTGCTTCTAAAACTAACAAGTCAAGAACTCAGTCCACTTAAGTTGTATCTATTTACCGTTAATTAGTCTACTAAATTATTTTATTTCATTAATATTAGAGGGTATTACACAAGCAATATTAATTTATTTTAGATAATATTTATCGATGTGTATAATTTAAAATGTTTTAAAGTGGTTTGGTTGATTTAATTATTAAACGTTTTCTTGGAATTTTTGTCAAGTTGTTTTTAGAGGAATGAAAAGTTGAAAAAGAAACTAACTTCTTAGATTTACTATGAAGATTTTTCTTGTTGATGAAATTTATACTGTAAAATGAAAATAGATTTGTTATGCTGAATGAAAAGCATCTTATATGTATAATGACCTATTTGAAAATTGTTGTTAATTTTTCGAACTTGACTACCAGCTGATGAATAAAAAGCTAGAATCTTTATTTTATTATTCGACTGAATGAATAGTTTCATCATCTCGCATACTCTAGTCATCACTTGTAACCTAATGATTGAAACAACAGCATTCTATCACTAAGTTGAATTCTAACCATCTAAGTATAGGGATACAATTTATGCACAATTTGAATATAAAATATAAACCATTCTGATTAAAACATTTATCATTAGAACCTCAAAAGTGTTTAATTCAAAAGTTGATCTGCATAGAAGATATTGAAAAAAAAACCAATTTGCTATTTCCGGCAATGTCAGAAAGTGCTTGACAAGTTATGGTATTTCCTTACTATTTAATGGTCTAAATTTATTTCTTCAGCTATGACTTACTTAAGCTTTCATTGTAGTAGGTTAATTAAAACTAGTTCTAAGTAGTCGTGGATTACAGTCAAAGCCTAATGCGCATCGAATATTCTTCTTACCCTTTTCCAAGCTATACGTTGTATTACAAATTAGAACAACGGTAGCACCTCAGATACTTGTTTTGTACTTGTAAACTAACAGATATCAATCCATATGCTCTTTTAATGCACGTTAAAGTTAGGCTAGCGATAGCTTTACTATTGTCTTGAAAGAAATTAAAGTTATTTCTCTAGGTGCGAATTTTGCATTCTTTTCACCAAACGTTTTCTTTGGTATTGGGATTATCATTATCTTTCTCTACATTTTCGGTATAAAATTAGTTGAGAACAATCTGTTGGGATGATTGTGAATGAATGACACAGAACGTCGGCAGAAAAGTTTGGGATTCTGTTAGGTTATAAAGATTAGGACAAGTTACATGACTTAGGACATTTTCGGAGATCAGTTTCAGTGAAGCTCGACGCACAACTCTTCCCCAAACTTATGGATATCAAAAGCACGACATCGGATAACTGACGTATAAAACGCTTGTTTAAATAACAAACATTAAGCTAGGCATTGAAACCAATGCTTCTTCTACGTTTAAGCTCTTTAAATAGTCTCTACATATTTGAGAAGTTTTTAAGAGATAGGAGTTTCTGATTAATAATCGTAATCAGACGTTTGATTTTTTGATTTACTGGACCATTTAGCTTTCGAACTTCAATAGGGTTTTTCTGCTTATATATTTTCATCCCCTTCATAATTGTTTTAGTCTTGGGAGTGTAAGTCAGTCAAACCTTACAAATATAGTTTCAGTAGAACGGCAAACACCAAGTCAGAATTCAAGATAACAAGCGATAATATCAACGGTGTTTTCCATCGAGTCATTTGTAAATAAACCCCAGTTGGTCTTGCAAAATATCTTTTCAAATCTTGGATACCTTCTTCTGAGTCATTCCTGTGTTTATATTTCTTTATTTGATGTAAGAGGGTACTCTGTCCAATCTTGCTTTACACTATACTTGAGTTACAACACGTATAATACAATAATAAGCAACGGAACACATATATATGAATCACTTATATTCTCACATCAGTAATGAAAACTAAGTCTAAATGTGCGTTTCTAACGAGTGGGAAAATCAACTATATTTTAATAAATTAGTGGAATCAGCATTTTTATAACGTTCATTATTTTCTGTGCTAATTTCCAACAACCGTGATGTTTCTGATTATATTCTTTTGATACTCAGTAAGGCGATCGGTTGTAAACTTTTTATAAATGCACCTGCAAAGGTTATTCGATTCAGGGAAATATTCGGTGTGTTAAAACAAACAAAAGGATAACTTGTGAAAATATTTGGATGGTACATCTGTGTACTGAAACTGCACAGATGGTAAACAAATCATGTGCGTTAAATATTGGTAACTAAATAAATCTCTTGTGAAAAAAGTTTGTTTATTATAACAGCTTGAATCAGCATTTATTCCAGGCTTGCTTAACTTAGTAGTTAAGTGGAACACCAACTGCTTTATACAGGAGAAATTACGTCAATCTTGGTAGGTTGATTCTATGAAATAATTTAAGGCTTCATAGTTGAAGCAAGATATATTGATACCTCATATAAACAAGTACAGTGTTCTATAATCCATCTACTAATGTTTATTTATGAAAGTCATTGTATAATTAAAGCACTCAACTTTCGACCGTCAGGTTGTTTTTTTTAATCCTCTCCTGTTCATTTCATCTTGATGAAAAGTTTGATAGTCTGACTAGTCCTCACATGAAAAACATTGTAACTGAAACTAGAGTACATAGTTGTTTACTTGACTAAAGACTTACACCACGTAATAATATTTTTGCAGTATATATGCATAAATGTATATTCTCATTATAAGACTTTCGTGTGTGTGTGTGTTTTTTTAGCATATGAGCCCGGATGACTGTTATCTAAGCAGTGTTTGTGTTGATCGTACAGTAAGTGAACAATTATTAGATAAAAATGATCGTCCAATGCTGTTACTTGATCAATTACGTGAAGAATCAGCTAGAATATCACAATTTACTCGATTTGAATTACGTTTTGTTGAAGATTCTCCTATTGGTCCTAGTGTCTCCTTGTTTGTAGGCAATCTTAAAGAGAATTTATCACAACGATTATATGAACGTGTATTATTAGACAAACTAGGTGAAAAATGTCGTTGGGATTCAATTGAAGTAATCTATTATGAAAGTGGTTGCCTTGTTTTAAATTATCACTCAAGTGAAAAAGCTGAACAAGCTTATGAATTGTTGAATGTAAGTCATTGATTTTTAATGAGAAAAAAAGTCGATTCTTTTGCATAATCTGTTTACATTAAAATTTTTAAGCTTCATTATATCTTTTCGTAGCAGCTCTTAGTCGGTTGTTGGCAAAACATACTGACGAAGAGAGAGTCGAGTTGTTCACGAGTGGGAAGCCTGCCCTTTGGAGATGGGAGAATTCGACCCAAGGACAGGTTTCTACTTGAGAGCTTTTAGTCAGTATGTGTCTTACTAATGAAAGACTTACAGATGTTTATAAAACAACTCAAAATAGGCAAATGAACAAGTAGGAGAATTTTAGGGAAAACATAAAATTTGACTTAGTAAGCAGGATGTTCCACAAGATTACATTTTGCTTTTTTGGTTATTTTGATGTATTTACATGTGCAGCCAAATTTCATCTATGCTTTGTGACGAAATTGGCTGCTAATTCGATCTGATGTTCATCTGCAACCATTGCTGCAACTGATTAGCTTCTGTCAATCCTTGTAAGAAAATAAGATGCTTTCGCTATATACACAGGAACGTGATTAGTATCCAGAAGTATGTATGCATATAAATGTGTATTTCTTCATGTTATTCGGTAGCCAGTTAAGTTTTCCACTGTCGCTAGTTTTTTGGGGTGAGGGGGGCGGGTTGTACGTATCACCTTCAGGTCTTGGACACAGCTCATCATAACACTACTAAGGGTGCATTTTCATTCTACTTGAACACTATTATTTCCATCTCAAATTAGTCACTGCATTCGATGCTAGCTTGTTTGTAAATATGACAAAAAACGAAAAATAATAGGACTCATTTCAACAAACAAACGAAGGATGGTTGATGGCTATTATTATACACCGAATATAAGTCAGAAATGATGTCTGAATACATTAATTTTCATATCTTTTACTCATATTAATCAATAGTTAAATAAATTCTATTGTATATAGCACTTGCGCGTGTTCGTCCAATAACTTACATTAGGAATATTATTTAAAAACTTTTCAATATTAGACTGCTACAATTCATCAGCAAAAGTCAGTAAGTTAATAATATATATAACTGATTCTTCCTAACAAACAGTCAGTCAGTTAAAAGCAAATTAGAACCTGACACATTGGACGCCAGTTCACGTTACTACACCGTATCACGAGAGACAAACTCAATAGTAAGAAGAAGAATAGTATTACTGTAAGCATAGAACGTTAAGCTTAAATAATATTATTCTCTTTGAAACACGAATTTCAGGAGAAGAATTTATTTTTAACGAATTTATTATCATGATATAAGGTCGTATATATATATATATATATATATATATATATATATATATATAGTGTAATGATGTCAGAAACAATTATAAATAAAATCATGGGGACATGAGAAAGGATTCAAGAAAGGTTTATTTTTAATACGACATAATAATTTAAGGTCACGGTAAAGATAAGGACAAGACGTACTTCTTTTGTACTCACAGTTGTAGCTGCATTTTGTGGTTGACAAGAGCTATCGTTTTCAAAAGTTAAATATGAAGAAATTATGGTAGATTTGAACGAACCTTAAAATCAATCTGTGGATCAGTAAAGTGATTGGAATCGACTAAATGTTCAAAAATAAAAATCCTAACCTCTTTCCTCTCGCCGTTGTTAAGCCACGTCATCGTATCCAAGCTCTTATTACTTTCAACTTTAACTGACTAGAAGCCTTGACATAATGAATTCGTGTTCTTCTCTTGTTATTTAAATAAATCCCTTTAAAAGAGATCTCTTAGCTAAACTTTGTATTTGAATAATATTATTCGATAAGAAGAAACGAGTTCAGCGAGTAAAAATATACAATTATTTGAAGATTAAAAGTGAATACATACACGCCATTGTAATCCATTCTGAGCCATATTATCCAATATCTTCAACCAACTAATTATTACTTTACACAATTTCTTATTTTGCATGTAATTATTTACCTATAATTATTGACTTATAATTTATAGGAATCTGTATTTATGGATAAACCATTGACTGCTTTACTTCTCCCAACAATTCATCCACAAAATGTACCTAAAGGAATTCAACCACTTTTAGTATTTGTCAATTTAAAATCTGGTGGTTGTCAAGGTGTCGATTTAATTGTTGCTTTTCGTCGATTACTCAACCCATTTCAAGTAAGCATGTGTAGTATATGTATATTCCACTGTTGTGTTTATCCTGTGAAATGATGTATACTGTTCATCATAATCCACTTCATAAATTTTCAGATTCCGGCTTCAGGTGTGACTTATGTCGTAGTGTACATTATTAGTGACATTATCTATAATGACCTTTTTAAAGAACAAAAATGTTTATTCATTTAACCATTGTTTATATCCATTGTTGTCATCTTTTCTTTTCTCTGGCTTTTTCTATGTTTATCTTTCGAATTTCTGATACCAAGTTGTTTCTGTCTGTTTGACAGTTTTAATGATTATTATTGGCTAGAAAGTGTGGATGACGGATTCAATTGTTTAGATTGCTTCCAGCAGATTATTTAGTTAATGTTAGGCAACTTAGGTACGACAAATGTTCATTGTTTTTAGTTTGCCATAGCTCACTGACTCAGTGATTAAAGCCATCCATTTTTCAATCACTTAGTCACAGATTCAAACCTATTTCGTTTTGAGTAACTGAGTGTAATCACTAGCTCTTCACACTTAGTATGAGTTGTTAGAATTTCATTTTGATTTCAAATCAGTTGAACTTTTCCACTAAGAATTGATTGTTTCACTTTTTTCTTGATAGATCATAGTAATAATGATTTGGATTTAACTACTGTCAAATTTGACCGAATTCTTCACTCCATTATTAACTGAAAGATTGTCAGGAATTATAGGTATCATTCACAGTAGTTGACCTGTTTTTACGTAATATTTCTGAAGATTAGAGAACAAACATGTCATTCATCGTTTTAACAAATAAATGTAACAAAATATCATCTTGCATCAATTGTGTCGACTGAAATTGTCACATTTGACAAAAGTATAGAAAATGTTTTTTATTGAAGAATAAAGATTGGGATAGGTGGTGCTATAGCCTGACAGGTTATATATGGCTTAGAATCGTTTGTTATATCATTCTATCAAGTCGTTGATTATTAGCCTTTTATACGATTAATAAAATATTATTGATTTTGATATATTTATCATTAACTGCATTTAGTCAGATGTGTATTTGATCTGTGCTCAATTTTTATTTCTTTCTTGTCACTGCTCCCACTTGTATTTATTGTGCGCTTCCAGTTTGGTTTATAAGTATACGATTATTAAGTCATTTGAAGCTCCTATCATATGTTTCAAGGTGACTGGATCCAAAATAAAACTAGCTTCGTTTTATTATCTAAATGTGTTAAATATTTTAATTTTTTTTTTATCTCACTTAGGGGCAAGGCAAAAGGCGTATTTTTTAAAAAAGTATTTTTATGTATTTTTAATATTATTATTCATACAATATAATCAATCAAACAATCAATAGCAACGTCGAACTTCGTGCGTACGTACATCAGTTCATGTTGCCATACCACATTAGGGCAGAAATGTTATTATCAATTCAAATCACATAGTAGAAGAGGTAGTAAAGGTATTAGAAGTAATCGGAGAGATTAGGATTGGAAGATATTATTCAAGATGTAGAATCTAGTAAAATAGACTTAAAAAGAGAAAGAGAGAGGTGATGAGTAATTCAGAAAGTTTTGATTTGACAGAACACCAAGAATGAATGCACCTGCGCCAATGCAAACGGTTTTGAGCCATGTCATTCAGGGTCTCTAACCATCGATTACTAACATCTCGCGTACCCCAACCAGGTAGTCGACACCGACCGACATGACTGAGTTCACCTGTCAGTGACTCCATGGATTTGTGTCATGTTTTGGTTTGGCCGCACCTAGCTTTCTCCCAACCTATTCCTACATCGTAAAACATAGCTCGACGAGGTAGTCGGTGGTTAGGCATACGTAACACACATATCCCAACCACCTCAACTGATGAAGTTTCAATATTTCATCTATTGATCTGCCATTCTTACCTAGCACTCGTTACCTAATAACACTATTGTTTACTCGGTTGTCCCACGATACACGAGCAACGCTTCTAAGACACCTATGATCGAAAACCAGTAACCTACAAATATACAATATAATGTTGTTTATGAATTGAATTGATGTTGATGTATCATATATTATGCTTGATCCAGTTCTTAAATAAAGATTCGTACTTGATTATTATGATTCTTAATTAGTTAGTTAGTTCGTTCATTCATTCATTACACCTAATAATACATAATATTTGGTTACTGAGAATGTGTATAAAAATGACAATAAATTATTACACATAATCTTGTTCTTTATTTTGAAAATCTGTTTTAATTATTGTCATTTCAGTGAAGTGTACAATCTTGTCTTATGAGACACCATAATCATATTTGGATTAACAAATCATATTATTGTTAGTTTTTGTTAACAATTGACTTACTTTGTGATATATATTTTACTGAACGTCATCTAGTGATCAAATTGCATCATCTAGTTTTTGTGCATTTCTCTCATATAGCTGGATATAAATTTTTTTTTAAAAAAATGAATATTTTACGTTGTGTTCATCGTCAGACAGACTTATGGAACATTTGTTCTGTCATCTTTTTATCATCAATAAAACATTTGTAAATATCACAAATGTTGAAGGACTCGCTTAAATGTTCAATATTACATTTTAGTAGTTTGCAATGGCGCAGATGCATCCATTCTTTGTCTTTGCTTAAATTCTAATCTTCAGAATTCCTCATGACGTTTTTTTCTGTTTTTTAAATTTATTTCACTGGATTATACATCTTGAATAGTTTATACGAACCCTAGTCTTTTCCATTACCACTAATATTTCTACTATCTTTACCACAATGGGATTCGAATTGACAATTTCATCTCTGTGCTAATGTGGTATGGCAACTTGTACTGATGTACCTATTTAAGAAGTTCTACGTTGTAGCTGACTGACTTAATAGTAATGTATACAGCTTATTCATTTGTCCTAATTGAATTACTGTCTCGTTTGTTGTCTCACTATTTCTTTTTCTTTTTTTAGGTATTTAATCTTGATTATGGTGGTCCTTTGCCTGGTCTATATTGCTTTCGTCATTTAGTCTCATATAAGATTCTTGTTTGTGGTGGAGATGGTACAGTGGGATGGACGTTGTCATGTTTAGATATTGTTGGACAAGATGCAGCATGTAATGCTCCTCCTATTGCTCCTCTTCCTCTTGGAACCGGGAATGATCTATCTCGTGTTCTTCGATGGGGTTCTGGTTATTCATCAACTGATGATCCTCTAACTATTTTAAAAGATGTAGTTGCTGCAGAAGAAGTGAAGTTAGACCGGTAGGTATAATTTTTCCAATCCGTATTTTACTGAAAATTACTTATATAACTATAGTTTACATCACGTACTAACTTAAGTCAGGCAGGAGATGCTAGGAGGAGCTACTTCGTTTTAGTATGGCACTTCTAGTTAGTGTGTCAACGACATCACTTGCAATATCTCTCATTCATCTTCCAATACCGTTGATGGGTAACTGTCTCATATCGGACTCGATCAAATTTTATCCATCACGGTTTCTCACCTATCGAAATTTGTCACTAGTGAGAATCATGAAATAATCATAGTTATTAATGTAAACTATAATATTCAACCATTTCCACAAAACCCACGTACTTGTGTAACTATGTTTTTCTTATGAACTTCGAAATTTTTGATAATTATGCTTATTGCTCTGTATCGTTTTGTTTTTCTGTTGAACAAGTAAATCATTTTAATATTTTGTTTTAGGACAACTATTTACAGAAAAAAAAATAACTCATGACGCAGTAGTGTCTTGTCTTTACTCATATAGCAAAGTAATTAAGCAATTGTAGGTTAAATAATAATAACAATAATAATAAGTACATTATTCGTCTCAAAGTTTTTACTTTCTCTCCTAATAATGATTATTCTGAAATATTATTTAGCGGGGAGGTATTCTTAAAAAAATATTTCAACTTGTCTGATCATTCTGATCAATACTTTACAGTATTGATGTAATCTTTAATTCCCTTGAATTAATCATATACAGTGATTGATGGCAGTAAGCGGTCGGTCGGTTGGTTACAATGTAGAACTTCGTACATGATTGATTACATAAGTTCAGGTCGCCATACCGCATTAGCACAGACACGCAACTGTCAGTTCCAATCTCATAGTGGTAGCGATAGTAGAACATGAATCAAATAGTTCATCATGAACATTGATCATATAGTTCATCATTAATCAAATAGTTTATCAATCCACAATATGCGTGGCTTTCTTCTCGATTGGCTATCCCAACACCTCCCCGGAATAAGATTTTTTCTTTTCTTTTTTCTTTGAAGTCGTTCCAGTTCCTGTTCAACTACCGAGAGAAAAGCATAAGGTACAGGAATAGCTGTTGACTTGAGAGTCAGTAGTGCTTTAGCTTTCGTACATTCGCCTAACGCTTCCGAATATACGTGATGATGCCTTTTCATAATGGCATTTCTCAGACTTGACTCTAAAGGGTTATTGATTCTTACTCGGCTGCAGATGTTGTTGATAGAATGGTCTGTTAGTTTTGATAAGGGTGATATCAGATGCTGTGTCAAGTTGAAGACGGATACGGTGTGAATTCATATCCAAAGTCACATACTTTCTTCTTTGGTGAATTCTTGTCTGGTTATGAGTCACCAATACTTGTTTATTGGCTTACCAGAACTGTATTTCTTGGAATCGACTTTCGCGGAGTAATGTCTCCGAGTTTTTGTCTTACATCGGGTTTCTTTGTGACCCTTTTTGTGACATTTAGTGCAAACATAATCTTTTTATGGACAAAACTTCTTGTAGTGCCAACCTCCACATGACCAGCATGGAGATGAGGGCTGGTTGTCTGTGCTCTTGTGATGCTTTTGTGAGCCGGAATTTTTCTTTTCACTTACGGCATGCACGTATGATGGACGGCCATTGTTTTCGACCCTGGAGGTATCATGCTTCAAATTTACTAATCTCTGGCACTCTGCAGTTATTTCTTGAAGCGAGATGTTTGGGCACTGCTCAATTTTACTTAGGATTCTGGTTCTTATATCAGCATCTTCGGGAGATTGTAAGCTGCACACAAACACGAGGCACTTAAACTGATCTTCCGTCATTGATGATAATTTAAATCGTTCGCATTCACGATTTACTAAGCCGGCGTGCTTTACCCAGTCATCTTCATTTGACTTGGTTATTTTGAGGCATTGATAACGAATATTAAAGAAAGATGACTGTTCAGAGAAGATTTGCGACAGCGTTTCAATTGTGGCATCTTCTGGAATCTTATGTCTTTTATTTTCACCAATACTGTTACTACTTCTACTGTTATTAGATTTGTTTGGAAAACTTCTCTTTACTGCATATATATAATGCGGTAAATAAAACCAATGTATATATATACTGTGTATCGTGTTTTTCTATGTTGTATTTATAGATTGACTGAATTTCTTATTAAATCATCCTTATTAATAGTTTTGTTTTTGTGTTATTCATAATATCACTTTTTATAGATGGACATTGATTGTTCGACCAGAAGAAGATTTTAAAGATGAGACTAAATTAGCTTTAGAATTGCAAACAAATGCATCCAATACAAATGAAGATAATTCAATTATGATTATTATGAATAATTATTTCGGTATTGGTATAGATGCTGATTTAGCATTGGATTTTCATAATGCACGTTCAGAGAATCCATCAAAATTCAATAGCCGGTAAATTGATATTACTTTGTTTTCTTTTTATGTTCTTTTTTTTATTGACTATTCCTTATTTATGTTAGCCAATTGAAGGAGGCAGTCAGTAAGAACTCTCAGGCGCAAGGTTATATGTTTTTAATTTGTGGAAACTGTTTCTCTTTCTGGGACTCGAACCCATGTCTCTCATTATCGTAATCATAGATGTTATTGGTGAGCTAACCATATAACGATCGACCTCCTTAAGAAATGACATACATACACTCGTTATTAACTTTTAGTCCTAGGTAGTGATCACATTCTGCATATCGATTCTATGCCTAAATTGATAAAAATCCATCTTACATGATACTTTAGGGTAGAGTTGCTGTTTCCATCATGAACTTAACATCATTTAGATAAATTATGTTGAAAACAAGTTGTCTTCAACAATTTGTTCTTTATTACCGAGACGGATAAAACTACTCAATGAATTTATCGATTCCAAAACTGTTGGAGTCTGCAATGAACATTTGATTCTGTAAAAGCCAAGGTTCACGACCAATTTATGGATAGTTGCAACTACTAACTGCATTACTATAATATAGCGCATCCTTTTTGCTATAAGTACCCTAACTATTTATATCGTTTTTAGAAGAGCGAAAGAAAATTGTTTGCTTCTATATTAATATATGTTCCATCATCTGGGCCGTTGGATGTCGGCCCTGCGGTTCAGAGGTTAGCTTTTCGCGCGCAAGACCGACAGTCTTGAGTTCAAATCCTGCGAGTAGCAGAAGTCGTGGATGCGCACTGCTGATGAGTTGTCTACCAGGATGGGACGGCTTTTCAGTGCTTCCAGGTTTCTAATGGCGGTTGACTGATGATTTTAATCTCTATTATTATTTCATTTTTATTATTACTGTTAAAGACAAGTTTCATTTTTTAATATTCAGAAGAATAATAATCATTTGTATTCCATGAATATTTTGATGAATTCATTTTCTTTCCTTTTTTTCAAACTATTTTCTATTTTCTCTTTAGTATTCACAATAAAGGTGTTTATTTTAAAATTGGTTTGAGAAAAATGATTAATCGGACTATTTGCAAAGATTTACATAAACAAATTGTAGTTGTTGCTGATGGGAAAATTGTCATATTACCACCAATTGAAGGATTAATTGTATTGAATATTCTTTCATGGGGTGGTGGAGCTAATCCATGGAATGTGGATAAACATGATGATGAATTTGTTAAACCTACACATTATGATGGTTTACTTGAAGTTGTCGGTATTTCTGGAGTCGTTCATATGGGACAAATTTATTCCGGTCTCGGTACTGGAATTCGTCTTGCTCAAGCAGCACATGTAATTTTGATTTTTTTTTTTTTTTTTTTAAAAAAAAAATTCCATTTCTGTTTTTTTATTATGGGGTTGTAGAGATTGAGTTGAGTTACTTTTTGAAATCAAGAATGGATCAATGTTAGAGCACCATTTGAAACTTGGAAGCACTGAACGACCATTTTGTAAAATTTAATTTCTTTCATATTTAAGGATATTCATGAACATCGCAGTAAAATTTCAACAACATAGTTCTTGAATCAAACAATATTATTGTACTTTCAGTATATGATGAATCTTATTTATTTTCAAAGTAGTTGTTTATGTATTTTTATGTCAGTAAGTGCTAAAGGTGTCGCACATAACAATCATTTGAATGTAGTAGTTCTCTGATTCATCGAACACAAAACGAACAAAAATATCTACCTAGTCTAACTCTATTCATCGTTTCCATAGTAAGCTAAACAAATAAGCTAAATAAATTAGAATTTTTCCAAGCTAAAAATCTTTCAAGTCACTTTTTACCATAGATTTCAAGAGCTTATAGAGAAATTAGTTGAAATATTAGGTTAATTATTAGCTGTCATTTGAAATGTAAAGTGGTTTTTCTTCTTTGAAACACAATGATCAAAATTGAGATATAGACAAAATGAATATGTGTGTTCAACTATGTACATCATTCAAATATTAGTTATGTGTAATAAAACCATTAGTTTAATAATGTTGGTGTCCGGTGTAAAGTCTTAGATAATTAGGGAGTTCAATTGAAAGAGTTATTGACTTATCCTGATCCTCGGTGATTAGGTCATGCCAAACGTTCAAGCAACTCATCCTAACGTAATATGGTTGTAGTAATTAATAAGCATATCCATCCAAGATATGATTTTATTGATTCTTAGTTTTAGTTTGAGTCTTTAGGTGTAGGTTTGCAGGCTAGTGTACGTTTGTTAATTAAAGACGGTAACATCGTGTTTGTCAGTCGATCACAATTAGTTCATTTTTTTCCTTTTTTAAATATCGAAGAGTTCATTGCTTGTGAAATTCCTGTTTTCTGTTCATATTACTTATTAGTAACCATGGTTCATCTCCTTTTTCTAGTATCTTATTAATAAAATTAATTAGCAACAAACTGGCTTTACTCTGATTAGTTAGAACGTATTTTAAACCCGTCATTTTTACTTTTAAATTTTACATGATTGATTGATTGATTGATTGTTGTCGTTTTCTTATCACATTGAATGTAAGCATATTATGTATATACACTTGTATATAAATATTTCTGAATAACCGGGAAAATCTTCTGATTCACTTAGACCTCAGATGTGTTATTGCAGTTAATCTGATATTGTTCTTGATTTATTTTTACCTCATTTCAATACGTTTTCTTTTTTCATCTCAATACCTCTTCCTGTGTTATTATATTGTTCATGCAAGGCGTACTGAGTACTAAAACCTGTGAAACCTTCATCGAAATCTTAAGTTGTGATAATCTATCTCGTATTCTGTTACATTTTTTGATGTATTATAGTTCGTTAGAGATTTTATTAGTCTGTAAAACATATTTGTCCTGGAATGGTGTTCAATTTTAAGCAACTTGTTTTTTGTTTTTTATGAGTGCGTGTTTCTAAGCTATACATTCATTGTTTCAGTTTAAAAAATAAATCTTTCCTACAGACATCACATATAAAGAAAGATAAACGGTATGAAATTCGTTCAATCATCCTTTGAAAGTAGATTGAACTAATTGCATTTTTTTTCGCGAACTAGTTTCAGTACAATACATTTTATTTTACACTAAGCTAAATTGATGGCGTTTTACATTGTAAAAAGAACATTTCTAATCTATCTCTATTGTGTATATTTCCTCTGTTGTCTGTGGTGGTCAACTTGATTATTGTATCTAATGGTTTGGAAAAGCGAGTTATGTGGCTCAGAATTGGTTACTATTGTATTCATTTCCCTTAGGTCTTGAGTTTTAAACTTATTGTATACTTTTCTGTTTCGTTAACATTTTATTTTTTCTGGAACTTTATTGTCTATGCTTAACAACCTTTTTCTGTCATAATTTAGTGTAACAACCTCAAAGTGTTGCATAATATATCAAGGTTCGCATTACTTTTGACTTATTGTCTAATTATTTGTCTGGTTTAGCCAACTCACACAAATTAGCTGGATTACCTTCCTGTTCTTTATTTTCTAAAGTTAATATCAAAATAATTTTCTTAATAGTTCTCCGCAACAATAATCTATGATTAATTCCTGAATTAAGGATCACTAGACAGATGGTTTGTTTGTTTTTATTTTGAAAAAAGCTTCAGTTATATGTTTATCTTCAATTAACTAATTGTACACAAAAGTGACATTGACAAAACAGATTGACAAGTTAATGGGTTTTGTTTCTTCTTCCATGTATTTTATTCATTGAGTTATGTATGTTGTATAAGTAAATAAATGCCTTTTGAATGTTGTTGTTTTTTTTCTAAAAAATAAGAATAGTTTTCACTGTTGATTGATTTATCCATTTATGTATTCATCGATTCTTATTGATTAGCTGTTTATATCACGTGATATTTTATTTGTATTAGAGTGTATAATTTTCTCCACTGTTTCTCGTCCTCGTAAATCACTTAATGCAGTTTATCCTTATTTTTCTGCTAAATTTTTTTTTGATATTCCAAATTTGTTTATGATTTTTTTTTCTTTGAAGAAGGAAATTAATAAGTTGACACGGTATTTATTTGAAAAAGAAAATGATAATCGTTGAATAAACTATATTTTTTTTTCAAGGAATTCCTTTTGATTATTTATGCCTCCTAGAGACATATTTATAGACATTAGCAATATGTAAATGTTTCATTCATTTGTTTTTATAAGGGAATAATGGATTGATATTTTCTTTGTTCTTTAATTAAGCGTAATATTTCAGTCATCATTAACTATAGATTACTGACATTGGAAATTTTCTCTATTTTTGTCATTAGTTGAAAATTTGGCTTAAATCTGAGCTTCCTATTCAAGTTGACGGTGAACCGTTTATTCATCCACCTGGTCAAATTACTGTACTACGTTCCGCACTGAGTGTAAGCATGTGATTTTTGTTATTTTTAGTACAATATTAAAATATTTTACAAATTAAATTATGTTCATAAGGTGATTGAATTTCGTTTGAATTTTGTGTTTTTATTACCAGAAATTTCATCTTCAATTTCATTCTACAAATAAACGTAGAAAAATAAGATAATTTATATATGGTACTTACATTTGACGAGGTTATCTTCATCATAAACATACGTTAGTTAGTGAATCATTTATAACTAGGTAACATTGGTGTTTTTTGTCGCCGATTTTCGGACATCATCCTCGACGCAGCATAGCGTTGAGTCCTGAGCATTATGTTCCCTGTAGCAAGCAAAATACTTTAAGTGTGTCGATGATCACAGGTAATTTCATCTTGACGGAAATACAAAATAACTGAATTCTTATTGATGATCGTATTGACTTGAATGTGTAATTGAAACACTGAATAAGTATTTTCTTGAAGGTTGTAATGGATTTAGTTTGTAAGAATTCCAACTTGATGTTTATCATACTCGACTTTAGTTGATTCAATTAGTCTTTTTTCTAAAATTTATTTTATTCCATAATCTATGCTTATAGGCCAATATGTTAAGAAAAGTGAAACGACCTAAACGAAAACCTGGTTCAGATGACTATCGGTTTGATCAATGGTCATCTACTACTACAGATCAACAATATCAAAAATCAATACAACACCATTCAACTGTCAGATTACATGATTTCAATTCATTATCTGATTATTCATCTTTAAATACTGTACAGAATATAAATGAATATCAACAATTTCCTCCTATGAACAAACTAAATATGGATTCATTCATTTTTAATTTACCTACTTATAGTAAACCAACAATTAATTTCACATCAATACCATCAGCGCCAATTCAAACCAATGACAATACACCAACCAATACTATACAATCATCAACAGTAACTATTTTACGCACAAATGATAATAATAATAATAATGATGATGGCAATTCTGATAGTAGTCAGCTACTAGCTGATAATACTACCGCTGTTTATCATCAAACAGACTTAACGAACACTTTAAATCAATTACATTTAGGTAGTAGTATTGATAGTAAGGATAATCAAAAACCAGTATCCACTGATTCTTCTTTCAATTTTCCTTCATCATCTTTGTTACCTTTATGCTCATATACAACACTATCAGGTGATGATGGCAGTGTGTAAACTTCATTCCTCTTCTCAAACGAAAACCGTTATATCGTTTACCTTTTTACATATATATATATATATATTTGGTCCTTTCATTTTCAATCAAAAGATGTCTATTTTTATATTTTACTGAATTATATTTCATTTGTTTATCGGGAAAATACTGAACAAAACCATAATCATCGTAATAATATATGCATACCCCATAACTTTATTATTCCATACCTTTTAGTATTGCCATTCGGGTTTCCTTTTTTATTTAAGAAAAAATCCGTTGTTCTTGAGACTACATGTTTCTGTTTTTTATTTTATTTTGTAAATTACATTATATATTAAGCCATCCGTGATGTCATCGTATTTTCGTGTTTATTTTGTTTCATTTTTGTCAATTCTTACCACTTTCTGTATTTCCCCCTTTACAATGGACTGTGTATATTTCAGTGAGAGGGGTGACGGTAAGGACGGACCTGTTTTATTTCATCAATTTTGTTTGTTTATATTTCATGGGTATATATGTTCAATACAAAAATTAGGCAGTAGGAACACTCGATTCTTATTATTTAATTTCAATTATCTACTTATTAGCAGTGTTTTAGTAGTATAAATATAAATCATTAAATGTGAACCACTTTTAGTGTTGTTTGATCAGTTTTTTTTCTAATTAGTATATTTGTTTGTCAATAGAATTGTCTTTATAGTTTACTCACCATTATAATATTGTGGAAATCAAAAAGTCGACTATAGCAGAATATATTGTAAAGTAAGTCTTAACGATTATTTTCACTAACCTATCCGAAATCTCTCCCTCTAAATGCATAACTCGAAGTCAAACTGTAAAGTGATCTGAATAATATAAAAGTCGTACTTTTCTGGTGTCTTATTTGCTTAATAGATATTCTGGAATGTGTTGTGGGTTAACAATACTTACAGTAATTAGTTACCTTAGACTTTGTGGAGGATTATCGCAGTGATTCTTGATTGTGAACTGTTTGTACACTCTACCCTAACACTAAGGACTTCCGGAAGGCTCGATTTTTCGACAGTAGTCCAAATCTGTTTCTCAATTATTTATTACCAATTGGTTACTAGCAGAATAATTGATGCAGTCTCTTCAGCTGGCAGTAATTTAATGATCCCTTCAAATTCAGGTTCTAAATTGTTTATGTTTCTCTGGCCATCCACGTTGTCTTTGAGGCATTAGGGAAAATGTCCAAATCACTACAGATTACATGTAATTGCCATCATTCGAGAGTACGTTGATTTTCATGCACAACTTCGGTTAGAGAAAACTCTTTAAACCGTTAGCAACCCTTCATATAAATAGGTTTGCATTCTACGAATAGTAGTCTAGGCACTAAACTAATATTTTGATTTGTCGGCTCGAAATTCACTTCACGAACTAAGTCTCAGCAACCATTTTCTGTCGCTGATTTTCTCATAGTGCGATTCAACACCATGATATTCCATACAATTACCTTTTTGAGAAACACTTATCTATCCCGAATTGTCCACATACCTGGGTGAAAAAAACATTTGTATACTTATTTATGTACAGTAAGGTTAGTTAACTTAGCTAACCAGCTCTTTGATCGGATAAGTGCCTCATTTTACTAATAGGATTAAAATTGTAAGTTCTAATAGAAAATTATTTTTGAATAGTTTTCTCTTTTTGCTTACCTATTTGTGGTTCATCACAGTTTTAACAATTTGTTCCTGTGAATAAATATGAAATACCTTGTTCACAGACTGTGTATGATACATTAGAAAGTAACAGCACTGTATTTTACGAATACATCTTATGTTGAAGTACCTACAGTGGAATAAGCAGTAAGTAGGAATGCTTAAGGACGCTAATATATATATAAAGACAATCCTGTAGTAGTTAAGGTAACCTACTTAAATGTATATGGGATTTATCTACATTTATTATCTAGGTCAGCCCCGAAACGTTGAATCTTGAAAAACTTTATAGTATGAACACGATTTGTATTAAACGTTGAAAATGGATTGCATAAATATAACCTGCTCGTGGATTTTTCCAAATTAAGGAATAAGGCATAAGAACATTTTCAGAGTTACTGAGAATAAGTTCGGTGCTTCGTGCTTTTTATAACATAATAATGATTGTGCATCGCATCCACTAAACAATATTGATGAGGTTCGTCAAAGAAACGTCATTTAAACAGTGATCATTAAACAGAATAACGGTTATTTCATACGAATGAGATGGTATATTATAGTATAAATACTGCATACATATTGTTGATCAATCAAGAGGAAAACAACACGAAATTATGGACATAATTTTACCCTATATAAATGCAACGCTACCAAAGAATGTTTTGTGAAATGCAGAAAATAAAAAAAAACATGAAAAGAGGAAAACTAAGCTAGTTTCGTTTACTAAATCAATATACAAGAAGAAACAAAAACGTAGACAGATGGAGAAGAAATTAGGAACACAGGTGTTTAAGAATAAGAGTACTAGCACTATACATGATCCATTTTGAACTGTTATTAATTGTACTGATGGCATTGTCATATATTTCATGACGGTGAGGAATTTGTGTTGAAGACATACAGACGGTTGGAGATTGAAATCAATTAGATGTAACCAAACGACGACGAATACATGATTCCGGCACATTACCTAGTAAAATTCAAAAATATAACATTTATCATCACTAGAAAAAATATTTATGCGAAGCAAGAGAGAGGTTGAACACTTAGCGTGCTTTAACTAGCAGGTGTACTTCATCTACATAGCTTAGGAATAATCCTGCTGAAATTCGATGTCTGATGCTTAAAGGGTGATAATGAAATTAGAGAAACATTCGAAGATGGAGGAAACTAGTACTAAGCATAGTAGACTATGGTATTATCAGAGATTTGTGGAGGATCGACGCTAAAATTTCCCACTTTGAGATTGTTTTGGCGAACATTAACTGCAAAGCCTAAGCGACTCGTAATATTGAGTACCTACATTCCAAACCTTAGTCATTGGCGATTTGATTGAGAAACAGTTGTCACGAAACATCAGGATAGGTAGCGTTAGGTTAAAAACCTCACATAAGATTTTCCAATGACAATGAAGTGGCAACGTGCTCAAATGTATTGGGAAAAATAGTAGTAATTATATATTTAAATAATGATATAGCAACTTGTAATTATGTAAACCAAATAGATTGTCGGTTATAATACCAATAAAGAAGAATGAAAAGAATGTGAGCGTGTTACCTACATAAAAAAAACCAACGTTGAACAACCTTACTAAAGGTTGTTTTTCACAAATTCGTCAGTCATTAAGACAGACGCGAATTTCTAAAATCCAGCCTATTGTCAATGATACCGGTTGTTCGGATCGGAAAGATATTTTTTCAGTCTTTTAAATTACTAGTATTAAAATAGAGTGAGAACTCAGTTTGCTTTACTTTAATTCACTATATTTTAGAAATTACACGTTTACTTTTAAGAGATTTCACAATTTTCCTTTCATAGAATCCGCAAACCATCGTGTCTGCAATTAACTTGATAGTTGCATAAGTCACTAAGCATGTGTATTCGTCTCCTAACCAATTCATTATTTGAAAGGAATTATTTTGTAATTCTGAAAGCCCTAAAGCGATTAATAGACTTTCTGTATGACTTTGTTTTAGAGAGACAAATTCTACCCGACAATCACGTGTGAATTACCATGTAAGAGATAAAGGCACCTTGTAATAAGCGAGAGGTGAGCGGGAAAATACTTGCATTGCTAACCATCTGATAGAGACTTTGCTATCTACATAGTAAAGTCAGAGTCTATGAATAAGTAGAAGTCAAAATAATTGGTATTAATAGGGAAATTATGCAGTGATAACTTTTGAGCAATTGACTGTCATTCATAATGCTAACCTTCGTCATAAACACCAAATGTTGTCGCTTCTTCATACGGTCCTTGTATATTTTCCCTTGACTGCGAAACACTAGAACTGCAGTTTGATCCATTCTCTTCTGTGATTTCTTTGTCTAGCACTTCTACACTGTTTATTTCGGTTTTATCCAAATTCATAGTAGACTGTTCTCTGTGAGATGTGGTAGTGAAAATTTCTTCATCCATTTCTTGTTCCTCAATCGAACCACGTAGTGCATCTTCTGCAGATTGCATTGCTTGGAGTATGCGCGTCATTTCCTGCTCAGTTTGCTCGAGCCTAACGCGAAGATGCGATAATTCTTCTGTATCTACAATTTTGGAAATATAAAACAGCAGAGTCAGTCAGTCACAACGTGTAACTCAATATGTACGTACATCAGATCAAGCTGCCATACCACGGTATCACAGAGACGCAATTGTCGATTCGAATCTCATGGTGGTACAGGTAGCAGAAGTATAAGCAGTAATCGGAAAAATCACGGTCCGAAGATATTATTCGAGTATAATCCAGTGAAATAGATTTGAGATGAGAAAGAAAGGTCATGAAGAGTTTCAGAATTTGGGAGAACATAAAAAATTAATAGATCTGTGTCATTACAAACGATTTTGAGCCGTGTTATTCAAGGTCACTAACTATCGTTTACTATCACCTCGCGGACCCCAACCAGATGGGTAGTCTACAACTACCAACGCGGGTCAGTCCACTTGTCAGTGACTTCATGGATTTGTGCCATGTTTTGGTCTGGCCGCCCCTAACTTTTTTCCAACCTACTCCTAAACCACAAAACATATCTCATCGAGGCAGTCGGTGGCTGGGCATTCGTAACAAATGTCCCAATCATCTAACTGATGAAGTTTAACTACTTTGTTTATTGATCTGCCATCCTTAACTATTACTCGTTTCCAGATAACAGCATTGCTTACTCGATTGTCCCAGGGAATACCAGCAATGCTTCGAAGACACCTATGATCGAAAACCAGTAACCTACGAATATCTTTTACTCTCACTGGCCATGTTTCACAGCCATAAAGTAGGACGGAGCGAACTGCTGCGCAATACACTCGTCTTTTGGTTAACAGACGGATATCTCGCCTACGCCATAATTGACGCAAGTTGGTAAAAGCCATTCGAGGATTCTGTATTCCTGCTGAGGTTTCGTCATACTCTCAGCCATCAGTACTGATCGGTGATTGAGACGTGTCGGATGGGATTACATCCAGTTCCCAGATTCTATAAAAGATCAAATTATTTAGGGTTAGTGACGTGAATAGCGGCTTTAAAACACAAGTAAGAAGTACGCATTGAAATGCTTGGCTAAGTTCCTCCTTAATGTTCCTTTGATAAATAATCTGGTTGTAAAATCTAAAAATCATTCAAAACTACGTGTACACGTATCAAGTGGGAACCGATAATATTAAATTATGATTGAGTTGTTTTAACAGATAAGTGATTTGGACCTTCTACACTTCGCATCGGCACAACAAATATTTCCATTCTTGAACAACGATGGGGAGTAGTAGAAAGCAGAAGAAATAGAAAACAAATAAGAAGGCGTTGTTAGGCGTATATGATAGACAGATTATGGGTAATAAATAGATCGAACTTACCTAAATCTTGACGTTCCATCCTCATGAGCAGTTTCCCTAAATCTTTGGGCAAACTTCTAGCCGAGCGATAAATATCTGGGTACGAAGAATCGTTGAAAACGGAGCCCCATTTGAATGGTTTGCGATTGGAATCTGCATGTTGAGAGAAAAGAGAACAAATGATATTAATTTTAATGCACTAGTCACCTAGCGTAAATCTCTGAAGTTAAGCACAGGGATCTTCAAACCACAATAAGCTAAACTAATGGGTGGAATATTTTCAGATGGCGAGTTTCTATTGCCATTAAAAATTGGAAAGTTGTATTTAACAGTCTAATCTTAAGCAGTTTTTATTGGATTAGTACAAAAGAAATACGATGTTGAACAATGTCAATTAAAATATAGCACTTCGTATGTTTCTTCGAAGTTTGGGAAACGTAATCTTTACCTTCTACTTAGTGTCCTCCAAACACATTTCTACGCATTATGACTAATTGAGAAATAGATAACTTATACAACGAGCTTAGGAATAATTATTAACATACTAAGATGTAGATTTGGTGAGGTTATGCCATGGCTATACACAAATCAGACATTTTAGACTAAATATAAAGAACAATCACTATGAGAAATTTTTATTTAGTTGACTGAAAAAAAGGAAATAAATTACCCTTAACTGATCTTCTAGGACTAAGAAAATCTGGATTCGAAGAATTTCCCAATGTGTCTGTTTCACTGATTTCATCGTCATCATCGGACGAGTCATGACCCATGCGAAATTTACCCCGATCAACATCGTAATGGAAATCACGGTAGTATTGTCGTAGAAACTCCTCCTTCTTATCAGTCTTCTTTCGGCGTTTGGACGAAAATATCTACAAGATGAAAGAAATCATTCGATATATTATTTTGTTGATCTCCGATACCATGCAGACGTTAGTGTTACACTAACTTTGAGAAGCAGTTGAATTTAATAACCGATCACAGTTGATTCAAACTAATTGACGATAAGAAAATAGTAACAGTATGAAAAATTGAACTATTAGTCTTAGCCTGTGCAAACAAGTTATTTTCTTAGCCCACATATAAAGTCAGTCAATTACAAAGTATGACTTCGTATGTATGTACATCAGTTCAGGTTGCTACACCACATTAGCACAGAAATCGAATGGTCAAGTTCAAATCCCTAAATAGTAGAGGCAGTGAAAGTATTAGCGGTAATGGAGAAGAATAAGGCTCGAAGATATTATTCAAGAGGTATATTATTAGTATGAGAGAGGAAAAGGTCGAGAGAGAAGATAAAGAATAGATGCACTGCGTCATCGGGAACGAATTTGAGCCATGTCATCCAAAGTCCCTAACCATCGGTTACGATCGTCTCACGGACCCTACATTTGTGTCTAGTTGCTCCATCATATTTGTTTACTCAGTCGTGTTGATCAAAAACTATTCAGAAAAGTTATACAGTTCTAAAATAGAAATTATGAGTCAGTAATAGTAAAAATAGTACGGCATATAATCTACAATAGCTGTACAATTAAAACAGGATTACTAATTTTCGTGGAATACCTAATGTAGAGAACTGAGGAACACATGTAGCTCCTTAAGTTAGTCTTTTTGGTTCCTTAATGAATTAAATACTTGATGTCATCCGTACACTTAAGCTTTAGGTAAACAGTGGGTAACCAGAGAGTTGTTGAAGAGCGAATAAACGGTTATTTGAAGCTTAGGCCGATAGTTTCGATCTCGTTTTCAGGATCATCTATCCATCTTTCGCCACGAAAGTAACACTTCCTGCCAATTGCTTCACCTCATTACTTGCAATAAGTCGGGGTTGTCGTCTACTATTATCGACTAATGCTACGTTTCTTGTATTCGACTTCATTGTCTAATAGGACTTATTGTTACAGAGATACTTTCCTCAATCAGCAATGAGACTGATCTTAATTTTTGTACTGTTTGGAGCTCATTGTATTAACAGAGTGGGCAATATTTTTATAAGTAGGCCCCGTCAACTTATTTCAAGTGTGTTGAATACTGACAACCACAACAAGTAATCTGAAAGCCAATTTCAGATAACCAGGAAGAAATCACAGGACCGATCTTTCGGTAATGAGTTAGTATTCTTTACTATTTAAACACAATTATTGGCACAAATTAGCACCTCAATATTTATACGCTGCAAAGACAAATTAACTCGTTTACAAACTAGGCATCTGAGATTATGGTTGTTGACAAAATATCACGACTAAAGATTATGAGAAAATAAGAACATCTCACTTTTGAAAGTGTGTACAGTAAGTATAACACTATACCAACAGCGTAGACGGGTAGAACGATTGACATAATTCCACCTCTTTTCCCTTGATCTTGTTGGACAATGCCTTCTGAAGCTCTGATAGGTTTGTGAGCGTGATGACCCTAGAAAGGGTTAGGTAAATTTCCTGAAACGTACATTTAACCGCAAGTTTTCAAATCTTGTATGCTCTATATAAAAAATTAAGTGTACAAAGTGGTGCAATACTTACCTTCTGTGTGCCTGTTTTTTGAAAAACCTAGCAGATGAAGAAGCATCGGATGGAAGATTTTTGGATACAGTATTGAGAAACATGCTATTATAACACCCAAAACCAGATAAGTCTGTACACGAACTGATATCTGAGACATGTTTACGGCCGGTGTATTACATCTAAAATTATTTGTGAAATAATACTGGTTTGAAAGGGGTATATTTATGTACGTAACATAATGTAGCATCATACGGTTTCCTAATTATACAGCCGTTGTAAAATAAAAGTAAACAGATTCAAGCAAACTAATCCATTTTTGCCTGCTTCTAGGAAAAAGCCCTAGTACTGAGAGAATTCCATGCTGAAACCCAGACATGGGTAAACTTTAGGTTTCGTCTTTGCATTTTGCCAAAACTCACCACATTTTCCAATGAAAGTGTTTCAAAACGGAAGCTCGGAAATGGAACTTTGATTGTATTTGAGTAGGGATATAGTCATAGATGGCAATATTAAAATGTGATTCATCTTCACGTCTCCAAGTGCATTGAATGATTTATTGAAATTATCCAACCACTCAAATTTTAAGTATTTTCTGAAAAGGTGCGAAAAATGGCTAACTATTTTTGTACAGTTCATAAAAAATATCTGAAGTGACCAGCAGGTATCAGAAAACTGTGCACTTCATAAAGTAAATTCGGCACAAACCTATGTCGATGAATCAACCTGTAAACAAATAGTTCCGTAAGTCTTCGACATTGGCGTTGACCTTATTAGTTTGAATAAACACACCTAATATGAAGGAGCTCGGTCATATATCCGCACTCGATAATGATTGAATATGCCTTTCTAAACATCTTTCAGGACAACTAACCTGTTAAGAATAGATGTTATTCTACCAGAGACTGTTGAGCTGAATATCTAGATGAGAAGATTCTCCCCGAGTGAAGTGTGTTCACTTGAGCCTACCATGCTTGACTGGGGAGTCATAGCTTGTATGGTCCGTAGAAAATAAAAGGATCATCTCCGAGTATCTACGGATATATTTAATTTGGACAGATCTCAATAAAACTATCTTGAAACAGACAGTTTTCGCTAGTGAGACGAAATACAGCGCGCCCTCCGAAATTGAAGTGTCCTCGTCGTAGAATCTATTTTGAAGGTTTTGTCTTTGGAAAATCCCTCCATGTATATATATTTGTGTTATGATATGACTGACTCTTTCTGTTGATATTTTGGTAATCGATTTGATTCCATTTTGAGATTTTATCATTTGTATATTGTTATTATTTCTATATCTTGTACTTATATTGAAGTTTCCATGTTTCCTTCTGAACTATATATGTGTTGTTTAAAATTGATACTTAATATGGCTACAGCCATATTTGGATTTGATACTCTAGCAGTAACTGACTGGAAGCACTTATTCTTCTAGTAAGGGAACCTATTGTGGTTATTGGAAACTCGAAGATGTAATATTGTTTTGGTAATTGTCTGTATTTCCCTTTTTGATTAAAAATAGAACCGTTCTCTCCCAGAATTATCGCTTTTGGACCTGGACTGGGTGGGAGGCGTATGAACCTACACCTTTTGGGTTAAAAGCGGATCGCATGAGTGAATTATTATTTTATACTCGTTGACCTGCGACCATTTACAGGGCATGATGCAGTTTTAGACACCAGATTGGTACATATAATCGTTCCCGAAGATGTAAATTTTATCATTATTCACTGTAGATATTTTGAGTAACAATACGGCTAAACGAAATTATTGCAAGTCAGAACCACTATACGTTGATCTATCTACCCCGAAATGCTGCTTCGGCAGCATACACAGATTCATTCATTCGCAAACATAAGACTTGTGGAAAAGTAACTGGATCCACGCCGAGTAGGACCGTCAGAGGTGCAGTTGCAATTATGGGTGGCTTTCATGTTTTGTTCTTACGTAGTTTATATTTACTCAGATTTAGTACTATTATTTTCTGTCTTTAAAAACTCCTATCTCGTGTATTTTTCTCTCTAAATTATATTGTTTTCTGTCTTTAAATCTATTGAAGAACATTTTTAATAATAGTGTTTCTATAAATCGTCATACTATAACAACTAAGAAAAGTTTTAGAGGTGTGAATTCTGGGGTTAGTAATCAATTGAAAATCCCACTCTCTAGCGATACAGTTGTGAAAAGACATCACTCAGTATTGTACCTGGCTGGAATGTGCATAATTTAGATCACTTGACCTAAACATCTGCACTGGGTATCCAACAAAGAAACTAAGATGAAACTCCTTCACAGATTCCCACTCCTAGTAAGACCAGTATTCAAAATATGAATGAGAAAAAGATGCATTCTAAAACTCAGTCGACTCAGCCTACCGTTCAGAAAACACAAGGATAACTATATTGCCTGCTCGCAGTCAAAACCAGAGTCTCTGAATTTGAATGTAACTTCTGCAGTGTATGCATTCATTGTCACAGTGACACTACCGTACCTTGACAGCACCCTCATCCTTGGTGCTGGTATATTTATCCACAATGCAAAATCTCTGAAAGAACAAAGCTACAGTTTCCACCTAACATGAACCAACGAATCCCTCCAAGAAAACTGAACTCGCCCGGTACGAGACCGACCAAACAGGTGAGAAAGCTAGCCACAGCCCGAACCAATACATCAACAATACTGCCGGTTTTCGCAAACTCCCCAGTATCTGTTACTAGTACGGATCAGTAGGTGAGTGTAAGAAAGGGAAATGGAAACAACAGCTCCAAAAACAATACAAATAAGAAACAGGGATATAATTCACTAATTTTATTTAACGCCTTTCAGAAAGGACAGTGAGACAAGTACTGAACATTGTAGGATTTAATTTGCCCTACAGATGTAATTCTAGAACGGTAAACGCAATATTGGCGAGCACAGAGTCTATGGGAAAGCTATAGTTAGAACAAGACCAATTTTGTTTTAAACTTTATCTATTTCTAAACATGAAAACAATTAGATCAATACAATAAATAAGGAAATTACAACTATCAAGTAAGACGAGCAAACGTACTGACCAATATATCGTGTCTTATGGAAATGAGTAAAGTTATGAGTCACATCAATATAATAAGATAATAATGTCAATCACTTTGTAGGTCATTCACAGCGCTTAAACCGCACTTTGATTGGTTAGTTATGACATAACTACAATTAGTTATGGAAATAACTAAAAAACATTACTTGGGATGAAGAATACTCTGGCTAAACCATTCGGTCGTTTCAAGGATCGAAACCCCGCTAGAGGCAAGCCCCCTCCGTTTAGGGTAACCTTAGACTCAGCACAAGTTGCCGATAAAATCCTCTTATCATCCCAATAACCCTCGGTTAAACTATCCTCCCCGACCTGAGTCCTGCACATCAAACCGCGGTGAGTACAAAATGGTGCAAGGACATCAAACGACACCAAAGAGCAAATCACTATGTTAGTTCACGACGTGACTGAGCTGATCAGTGGTAGCTTCAATTAAGCTTATGCACATAGCATGCAACAGTGGCGATCGCTCCTTTCAAACTGCAGTACGTCAACCTTTGTTCTTGATACCAACTTTATTGATTGGTCATTTAAATTATTAGACAATAAATCGACCACTTTTTATATTTATAATAATATCTATTGTTGTATATTTTGTTGTGTGTGTGGATGCCTACTCGCTTGATACATATCAAGCCTACTGTTTATCTGAATAATATTACTTGGTCATTTTTAAGCACATGAGTGTCGGCTCACAGGCCTTCTCCAGTACTCTTCGCTTTGCTTGTAAGCTTTCCATTCTCATGTCTGTCTGCATAAGTGAATGCAGAAAATAGATTAATCCGCAACACCGTATTTGGCTTCTTATAACCTCCGTCGCACAAATGCGGTTTGCTTAAGTATGATATGCCGGAATGGACAAGGAGATTTCATTTCACACTCGATCATTCGTTCAGCTGGAGTCAAGTCTCGGGCCACTAAAATGGTGAGTACTATTTCGAATTCAACAAGAGACTCTGAAAGGCCACCTTGGCAATTAGCGATTCCCAGCTACCTCATCCATCATATCTTACGACTATTGAGTCTGCAAGTCTGATGCCTGTGGACATCAGAAATCGGGAAGACCTAACTGAGGTGCTTCAGGCTTGGTACAACATGATGAACGATCTCTCTAGTCACACTAGATGTCGCTTGAGCCGACTATCATCTCTGATGTACCAGATGACGAGACGGAACAACAAGTGCCTCTGTTGAAACGAATGATAACTAAACGGTAAGCTGTTAGAAATCAGAAATATATGCTCTCTCTTGCAGGGCACGGTACTCTTCTGATGCTATAGAGAACACTAGACAGAAGGCACAAAGAAAGCTTGGCTCTTACTAATCGATATGTAAGAGCCATTCGGGCATTGTTTCATCATAAATGGCGAAAAATACTATATTTGAGCTATTTGCCGGCTCCGCTCAAATACTAAGGACCAGAAATATAAAGTGACTGAAGTAATACCGAAACTACCACTCCTTGGGTTCGATCGAATACTCTTAGATCGAGATTTCAGCACACCATTTTTAAACCTCAGCAAACAGGGTAGAACTCCCACTGATTGGTTCCAAAGACGATTTGGCTCAGCCATTAGAAGTTCTGGGTTGACTTAGCAAATTTTAACCACCACTAGATCGACTAAGGCTGGAAAATGCCCAATCTTGGATTGCTTGTCAACAGATGATCAGCTTCTGGTCGAGGATGTTCACGACCATACACCAATAGGAAGTAGTGACCATGGCACAGTCATGTTTACCAAAATAAAGTAAAACTCGAAATAACTGTTTAGTTTCATGATTAAAAGAAAACCTACGAACCAGGGTGTTCTTTCCCTCAAAGATCCAACCGATGGATAGCTGAGAACTTCGACATCGACTTCACCGATTAGTTAGACCAAACACCTACACGTTCAGAATACTACTCGAACCTATTGTCAGCGGACGGCCAACTTATTCCTGACTTAGTACTAAGGAAACCAAAATCTTTGCACCGAGAAAAGTCACTATGATGTGACAGTATTCACCCTCTAGTCTTAAAACTGTGTGCAGAAGCCATCAGTTTACTGGGATGCTAAATTTTTCTGTCATTCGCTAGAGTCACCTTAACTTCCAAGTAAATGGAAACGAGTTACTTTACCTTCAGTGTTCAAAAGAGAAGATACTAAGGATCCAGTCTGCTATAGATTAATCGCTTTGCTACCAATGCTATCTAAGGCAGTTAAAAAGGCTGGTGAATGAGAAGAGTATCCACCGTGAAGCTCAACATTAGTCTAGAAAAGTCAGGTCGTGTGCACCGAATCTTCTCATAGCATGGTAGAGCTGGAAAACTTGCTGGGACAGAAAATTACCGCTTTATATGATCTATTTTGACTTCTCAAAAGTCTTCTACACAGTACCACTCGCACTCCTTTTTGCGAAGGTTATGGAAATGGGCTTCACTGACCCACACCTATCTCGGCTGAGAAACTACTTCGAGAATAGAAAGATAAATAGAGTGCACGCGAGCTGGTGAGTCTTGACTTCGGGAGATTCCCACAGGGCAAACTTAGGTCTACTCCACTTCCTGATGTTATTTATTGATCTGCTGGATAGAATGGGTTCAGTATCATTGGTCTAAGTGATGACGCAAAGGTCTGGAGGTCTATGAGAAGCGAAGAGGGTTCGAATGAGCTTTAGAAGGACCTTACATCTTTTGATAAATGGGCAGGATAGAACGGTTTAAAACTAAACCAGTAGAAATATCACGTTATGAAAATTCTGCCTGTGACACAAACGACTTACACTCTGAATAGAAGTTCGCTGCCTAACGTTTCCTCAGAGCGCGATTTCGGCCAAAGAACCGCAAAGAGCCTAGACACCAGTTTGGACAGGAGGGAGCCAAGTGTAACACAACATTTCACTTAATGCGAGAAAAACTTGGTGTTATCAACACTGGATTATTCGTAACAATCTTTGACACATAGGCACGCATAAAACGTCGTCATACCCTGCTGCTTAAGACAGACATCAAACTCTTGGATCGAATGCAGAGACAAGCAAGGAAATGGGTGATAGGGTTGAAAAATAAAACTTACGAAGATAGTATCCGGCACTAAAGTATATTCCCTATGAGTTGCAGGAGAATTAGAGGTGATCTAATAATGGCGAACATATTAAGTACGCCAAGTCATCCCAACATAAACATTTTACCGAATCCTCATCACTACACCCCTCGAGGTAATCCTCGAAATACTGCGCCTCGAAGATTGAACACTCAGGTTTGTATACGCGTTTCATCACTCAAAGCCGCTGAAATTCGGAATGCTTTTCTAGCCGAGGTGACCGCAGCCACCCCAGCGAGCAGCTGTAAGGAGAGACTTGCTAAACACGTACTCACACACGGATTATCATCTCCCTCTTGAGCCGGCTGTGCTTGATGCGTGTCTTCAGACATGTTAATTGTTATTATTGCCATCTCCTCAGATCACTAACCTAATCTATTTTGCTTATTATCTCTTCTTACTTATCCTAGCTTACACTTCAGTCCTCTCGTACAATTAATAAACTTAATTATCGACTGATTTACGTAGTGTCGAAATCTTCTTATTAGCACTAGACTTTTACCCTTATTATTCTCCAGATTTCAACTAACTGACCTGGTATTCCTGAACATTGTTTACCACTTACGTGAATGTTCATCCTGCTCTCTTTAATGTTAACCTCTTAAATATTTCAATGACCCACCTGTTTTCCCATGTACATATATATACATTTTGATCTTATTAATTCATTCGCTAATTCGCCAGTTTGCTCACTCGCTAGCGAGCTTGTGCTTTTCTATGTACTTGTGGTCTGTTGGTGCATTTGTGGTGTGCCAAAATAAACGTATTCAACACTTCATACCCATCTCCTGATTTATAAACCGTCATGCACTATTTAGTAACGATTGTATGGATGAGCAAATAAAGAAGTCTGATAAGTCGTTGGATAACGACCGACGCGAAACTAGTGAAACATTTGACACCATAAGTCAGGAGGCTAGACCACCATCCATTGGACACTACCGAATACCTAGAACCGTACCGAAAGAACAAGAATCGAGAGAAAAGAAATCAACTCGTTAAAAATGTACTGGATATTTGAAGCGGATTTCACTAAATTTTAAACGTTTTAGTGAACATTTGACTATATGCTTTAATAACATCCTCGAATTCTTTAGTTATACTCTTTTCTCCCTGCCGAACGTTAACTGTATAGGATTTCTTCAGTAAATATATCTACAGATATTCTTCAACATTGATGCTGATCTCACTACATTTACTGGACACTACTTAGCTGAAGGCTTTCAGTCAGGCATCCATACTTGAGCACCAGTGAGTACGCCTAGATGCCCACCCCTTGCAACAACTAGCTAGTTTGGATTATACGCTTCTTGATATACTATCTGTCTTTCAAACATACATTCGGTCTCTTTGATCCTTGAGTTATAGTTTGGCAGGTTTGATGTTATTGATTATGAAGGTTTTCCGATGTAAAAATTGTCTAGCCCTGAGTACGCAGGACATTTTTAGTGGTGAATTAATCGTGCTCTGGTACACAAAACGATGAACTGTGGATCTTTTAAAAGTTATCAATCTCTCCCTCTCTCGCTCTATATATATATATATATATATATATATATATATATATATATATATATATATTTGCGCAACAGGATATTGTTTTTGAATTCTTCGTTTTGCATATTTATTAGTTTTATCCTTTTTTTTCGGGAAGTACCTAATTTGACCAAGGATGGGAATCTTACGTCTCTCGCCCTGCATCTGAAGCCATTATGGGACGATAATGTTGAAGCTTGGTTCTACAGTTCACAATCTTATGTACACATAAAACTCACGTGTGCGATTCCTCGCAGTCTTCATTGTAAAACCACACAAGTTCAACACATAAGTTAGATCTAGTGTACTTACTGGTGATAAATGCCGAACTTTATGACAAGTTAAAAAGGCCAGTTCTAGGACGTGCAGATTTAAGCGATCAATAAGTGTGGAACCAGCTATTCCACAACAGTGACTCGTAGTACAGGTTGTTAAAAGAAACGTTGCTACGTATGTGCCAGGTCCTTAGTCAACAGACATTTGACGATTGCCTTTTCAGATATCTTCTAGTTGAGCTAAAATAACAGGTGATTTCCGTTGTGGTAGTCGTGTAAATGTTGAAGATTATTATTGAGCTGGAACAACGTTCTCAATTAATTTTCAGCTAAAGCAGTCGCAGATTAGTAAACCGCGACAACAGAATTACATGTACTCTCGAAAGCATGAGATCTAGCTTCCGAAATTCTAAACCTATCCGAAACCAAATCCAATTAAATGATAGATTTAGGAATTATCTCACCATCAAAAATCCTAAGAACAATCCCTTTGCAGATTGTCCCGAAAAAAGAAAGCAACGATCGGTTATTATTGGCCAATTAATATGAAAATCACGCCCGATCATTACCCGTAGCATCTGATTCCCAGCCTGATTGTTAACTTCAGATACATAGCTACCCAGCAAGATGAGATGCTACCTAAACATTTCAGAGACCCGTTAACGAAACTTATTTATGGCACAACACTTAGACTTCTGAAAAAATTCGTAGATCCGTCCTTCTATTCAACGGATATGGATTTAAACACCCATAGGAACAGGCTTAATTAGCAGGCTTCTTGAGGCACTTTATGTGTTGTATTGGACCGTATGCTGTTTTCGTCACAACAGATTGCTTTAAAAACATGTGTTCAAGGTTTTGATGTGAGTTGTTTACTCAGACACATCAACCGTATTTATAGATGTCAATGTTTTGTTTTAATTTTTCACAAAAATATGATTCAATGTACTGCTTCGTGTTGACGTTTTGAGTTGTAAGTATTTAAGATCATAATGCACGGTTTTTATGGTATGTATCTGTTTCTTCTTTAAACCTGTCAAAATTTCTGTGGTGAATTGAACCCTGATTACAGTTTAGAGAATGCAAGACTCTATATGGCCTATGTTATTGCTGGCTATCTCCGTTGATATAATTTTATGTAGAACTCGTCGAAAAATGGAACTTTACTCACGAGTTTAAGTGACGAGCTCGATTATTTGACGATTAATTGTAAAATTCAGTAGCCAACTGTCAAGCGATTTATTCTGGGCTGGTGAACGTATGCATAGTACTGTACGTGCACCATCGTGTTCTTGTAAATTCATTCTTTTGGAAGGCAGGAAAAGTGAGGGCATATCAGATGCAAATTTATGACTACTTAATTCATAAACTTACCACTCCCTTTCTAGTTATTCTCTATTAAGCGGTAAATTGGCTCATACTTACTGGTCTCACCAGGCGTCGGCTTCATGATTCTGAGGATGAACTTAGTTGAGGTTGTTTGAAATTTTTCAACATTTGGTTGTTTTTATAGGTAGATTATGGTTACCTAAATGCATCACTTGAGTTTAGAGCTAACACAGACAAATTTTGACCGTTTTTTGCATCAACATGGCTTAGTGTTCTACCTATAAACTAGATCGAGGTTACCACATGGGGGTGCTCTGTAGTTTACACGTCATAGCTAAGGATGTACCTGTAACCTGGTCTCCAAAACGCATCGCAAAACACTTAGAAACATTTGTCAACAACTACCATGTTCTATAACCTTTGCATGATTTCTGCGGATCACTTTCAATCTTCGATGTTAGCTCTAAAATTATTTCCTTCCACCCTACTAAACTTAACATCATTAGTATATGACAAGAATGACAATAGGAGACTAGGAGGATTGTCTATTTACAGGATGAATAACAACCGATCACTACCTAGGAGCATCTCACCGAGCATATTTTTCAAGCAAAACGTTTGGGAGTTAACATTTGTTCTTTGTTGATGTCTATTTAGGAAATCCTTTATACGCGTTTGTAATTTGCTTACAATTCTTATATCACCTAATTTAGATAACAGTTGTCGTATGGAACTTTTTTGGGAGCTTTATTCATGTTTGAGGTTAACGCACATCAACTTTCACGGGATACTGAAAAGTTTGTAAAACATGAATTTCCAGACAAGAAGGATCTGATTTTGACCGACTCGGTCTCTCGTGCTGTTACGGGTATGAATGGTGGTTGTCACTTTCCGGCTGCCCACACCGTGGAAGGTTGTTTCTTGAGGGACCTAAAAAGGAAGGTAGATTAGTGTTGGTCTTAGATACCTGGGTGTGTGACTGCAGAGCCCAACAGACAACTGCTTCAGGCCGGTCACGCAAGGCCTTTTAATGATGGGTTTTTTCAGTATTAGCTCCACTCTTAAAAGCCCCTAGTGGGCAGCCCTTATCGCCGGATATGGAAATCCGCGAGGTATGGTGAGGTGTGACATTTTTAGGGTTGGCGTTTTCTAACTCACCCTTTCTTGTGAGAAGGCAGCATCGCTGCAGATGCTGGTTGTCCGAGGAAAACATCTTACTGCTGTCACACCCCTCTGCAGTCAGCAGTACGACTTCGCCCTCAGAACTTGAGTAGCTGCTTTTATTCTCGTGTTTCTCTAGTCGACCTGTTTGGCATGGTAGAACCTTGGGGAACATATGTTCCATCCAATATAGCTCGGTTGGATCATCACGATAGACAAGCCCGACTACCACGTCAAGGTAGTAGCTACCTCTTCTAAGACGCATATCTTTTTCAAGAAAGAAATTAGTTCTCGTCGAGATGCCTAAAAAATTCCCAATTTGTCTCTAAAATCTTGATAACCACTCTGATTAAGCTTAGTCATGAGGTTTGAGTCCTGTACCTTTGTTGAAGACGTGAAGTATTAGCATGTTTTTCAAACTTTAGGTAATTTACTTTGGGTAGAAGGAAGAATAATAAACATACTTAGGGGATTTGAGATACGGTTTGCTAGTTCCTTCATTAATCAAGAATAAATCCCATCATGTCCCATGTAGTTACTCTTATCAGTCTTATTTAACAGACCAAACGTATCAAGGTCCTTGATGTTAACGGTGTTCAGATTGCTTCAAGGGCGGGCTTTGGCGGTTAATGTATAGTCGACGTAATCAGAAAATTCCTGAGCTTTATTGTGGTAGTCTTCCACTAATGATTTATAGTTGCTGTTTGCCCATAATGCTAGTGCGCCGTCTCTTCACTTGTTTTGTTGACTTATTTCCGATAAATGGTTCGGGTATTTCATGGACTTTTTAACAGGCTTTTTTTGTAAACTCTTATGGACTTATATAGGATAGAGATACAAATATTTTGATTTTTCTTGTATTGAGATTTTGTTTTATCAATGTCCAGTGTTCTAAATATCCCTTACAATATTTTTGTCTTACGGAGAAGGGTGCGAAGTTCCTTGCTAAGTCACGGTGGAGAGCTCCGTAGTTTCCTTTGTGTAGTCTGAGAAATGAGCGGTGCTGTACTTCCAGTAAAAAGTTTTAAATACCTTCCAAGCCATCTCACCAAGGGATTCTGGTTTTAATGTTCAGTCTCTAGAGGGTTATGAGCGCATAATTTCTTGTATGTTTGATTTTCAAACGTCTGATCTGGCTTGGGCTGACATATCATTGTTGAAAATGATGCAGAAATCAAGGACTTAAAGTGTTTGATCATGCTCATCCAAGGATCGATAACAGTCAAAGTTTATGACGTCACCCTGATGATGAATCAGTATGACTTCTAGTGAGGATGATTCAAAGTCCGAGTCCTATCTAATCGCTCCTGTCATATGTTGATTTAGAACTTATATAATAACTGTCAAATCGTTTTCTAAAGAATTATTTCGATAACCCAGTCCTTAAATTTTTCTAATTTAGTATAAGTGTGATAAAGCCCCATAAAATAAACCATCGATCACTCGAAGACTAAGTGTTCAATCCATCTAGCAAGATTTCAATCATCTCACAGTCTAGACTTTGGCAAAACAAAGAAGTCAGCAGCTTTTACCCTTGCATTTTGCGGAGTAAAATAAATAATTTTCACGTTCTGATTTCATTGGAAATGTTGTCGATAGCGGTAAAAGAAGTGATATTTCACACGCCTAAAGTTACTCTTTTTGCTTTAATATTCTGGATTCCATCGGTTTTTAATAGTGAGGAATTTTCGAAACCAAGTCCTCAATTGTCTACAGACTTGATCAACCATGTTTCTGTGAGTTGGACAAACGGATTAATTTATTCTTCTCGAGTTATTATCCGCATGTACTTTGAACCCGTTAATTATTCGCTTATAGCCTTAAATTTCTTTGAAACAACACCTAAGCGAGCAATATTGTTTTCGATTAGATCGTTATCAGGCTTTACTCTGATATACATGAATGTTGATATGAAAATGTTGTACCAATCAAGGAAATTTGAGTCAATAATCAATAATAAGCGTATAACTTATTCTTGATTTCACTTATCAAATCTACATAGTTTATCAGTTTTTAAAATATCAAACTTGTGGTTATTGAGCTGGATGTTATATTACATGACGTTATTTTACCCGATTCGTTAGTGTAATTACTTAATACATGTATCCAAATATTAATAACAAATCAATGTTCTGATTTAGAAATGAAATTGTTGGTCTATTGATGATTCAGATGGTTTTTAAATTCATGCTTATCAAAACTACAACCATGTGATATAGGGGAGTTGGTATCCTTAAATGTAGATCGTAGGTATCAAAATTTAATGATTTCAATGTGATGGCATTCCTTTCAACTCATTATATCAGTAATTGTCTTATTGTTTGTGATCCCAGACTATGGTTTTAATCCCAAACTCATGATTACTACTGTAAGATCAGTATATCCTTCCTCAATCTAAATTTTATGACCCAGTAATATCAAATTAATCAAGGACTTGTAACATGTTATGTTATAACTTTTAACATCATTCTAACACTTGTTATTCACATATTCGGGTCGTTAAAGAAACAGACTAACGAGCAGCAGGTAATTTAGAGTTTTTCTGTCAAACTGTTCCCTCACAATGAAATTACTGGTATATGTAAGAACATGGTACAACTTTGGCATCACAAGACGAAGTCAGATAAGATTGGAAACTTTTGGTATAAGATTAAAGCGCTAAATTAACCAAGTGTTTTCTAAAACTTAACTTTTCGTAGTTAAAATTTCTCTGGATTCCGTCTGTTTTTACTCTTCTTTATCATGCCGTTTTTTGTTGATTACATAAACCTAATTGAAAGAAAGTTCAATAATGTGTTATTCATGCTTTATATATATTAGTCGCTAAACATTACGTATACCAGAAGAAGAGAAAGTTATGATATCGGTTTACGAGATTTGTAGCTGGCAAATTATGTTTTGAGATGAGACATACTCTGAACTAACAAAATTTAATACAATGTGTTCATTCAGTTAGAGACAATCAGAAAACGATTTTCTAAATATGTCCAATTAATTTTCGCTGTTTCTTTAGCTTTTCTCTAAAATGGCACTTTTTGTTGCGTAGACTCTTGATTACAATGGCTGGCGATCGGGGATATTCAGGTGGCGATTTTTCTGGAAACAATTTTGAGGAGTATGATGATGAGGAGTACTGTGATAGAGTTGATGATGATGAGGATGATGACGAGGAAGATGACGATGAAGATGATTACAAAGAGGAAAATGCTCGTCAAGAAACAGAAGAACAAGCACGAATGCTGCTTGAAAAAGCCAAGGTATTTGTATTCCTTAATTGTCTTTCATCACACCATACATTTTAAAGCAAGATAAAATGATTGATAAAATTTCTTGTCTTTAATACTAAGTCGAATAGATTTTCACCGTTTAGCTAAAAACTAACTATTTGAAACTATCACTATTAATCTTTATAATCAAAGATAGTTGAAACGCAAACTCTTTCTCCATATAATGTGAGAACCCGGCGAAATCATATACAATAGTTTCATCAGAGTGTTTCTGAGAGGAAATACATTGTTATGAACTGATCATTTTGTAAAACATTAAGTGATATGTATACTTTACGAATCATTGTGGAGCAATCAATGGAATGAAATTCACCACTGTACATCGACTCTATCTACTACGGGAAGGCAATTGATAACATGGACTGGACAACACTACGGAGGCTTCTTCGAGACTACGCTATACCTGAGAAGATAGTCAAAATCATATGGAATTCTTATGATAAGTTAAAGTGCGAAATCGTGCGTGAAGGACAGATCACAAACTCATTCAAAGTGAAGACCGGTGTCAGCCAGGGTTGCTGACTCTCATCCTTTCTCTTTATCTTGGTGATCGATGAAGACGTCAACATCTCAGGGGAAGCATGGGATGCATTGGAAAACTCGGATGCAGCTGGACGATGTGAACTTCGCAGATGACCTAGCTCTTCTATTCCACATGCAACAATAACTGTAAATGTAGAAGCAGCCTATACAGCAACAGGTCTCAATATACATAAATGAAAAAGCGAGATTCTCCGATACAGCACAACGTGAGCCGACCAAATCATACTTGATGAAGTTGCATTGGGGGATTTAAAAACCTAATGTGGATATGAAGGCACAGATCAGCAAAGTAGGGGCTGAGTTTCTACAATTGAAGAATATCTGAAACTCAATACAACTATCAGCAAACACCAAAGTTAGAATATAAATGTCAAGACAGTTTTACTGAGTGGATCGGAAACATGGAGAACTACCAAAGCCATCATCCAGAAGATTCAAGTATTCATTCACAGTTGTCTACGCAAAATACTTTGGATTTGTTGGCCAGACACTATCACCAACACCCTACTGTGCGAAAGAACAAACCAGATTCCAGTAGAGGAAGAAATCAGATATAAGCGTTGGAAGTGGATAGGACACACTGCGGAAAGCACCCAAATGCATCGCAAGACAAGCCCTCATATAGAACCCTCAAGGTCAAAGGAAAAGAGGAAGGTCACGGAACGCATTAATCCGAGAAATAGAGAGACATGAGAAGAATGATCAAAAATTGGACAGAACCAGAAAGGGAATCCGAGGACAGAGTAAGTTGAAGAATACGGGTCAGCGGCCTAAGCTTCATAGGGATGACAGGCGTAAGTTAGTAAGTAAGTAATATATGAGAACTTTTGTTCAAAAGTACTTTCATTTCTGATTGTTTAAATATAGTTTGTTCGTCAAATAAGAAAAAGAATCGGCATATAGCACGTATGCATACAAATTATGGTCTATCAGTAAATGGGAGTGCTTTTGCTTACTATTTAGAAGTAGTTTTCATTTTGCCAAAGCCTACCTAATATTGTAGACTCGGATATAACATCGATTCCCCTGATTACTTTTGTTAAACCCTTCCCAAGTGCATCTTATGGTTCTATCAGCAATCTATGACAGTTTGTTTTTATGTTAACGACAGTTTGATCATTTAGAAATGTTTCAAAATTCCTTTTCTGTTTAAAATGTCGTTGATTTTTTTCCATGAAATAGACATCCAAAGTTGTTTTTGTTGTGCGAACAAATGTTGCGTTTCATGGATCAGTGGTTGATGATTGCCCCGTCCCCGGAATGGCTGTTAGCTTCCAAGTAAGCCTATTTATTAAAAATAAAGTGTAGAAATATATATCATGTTTGTTATATGTTTTTTATAATTATGAACATCAGAATGATCTTTGAACTCGCTAATATGACAGGATGAAGCGCACATCCTGGATTCCATTGCTAACTGCCATCCAGAAATACGATAAAACTTGTAACTGGTAGTAAAATTCATTGAAAGCGTACATATGTCAGTATAAACTGATCAAGATTTTGTTTATAATATCAGCGGGAAAACATAAACCCTTAGAAGCAATGATTAATATTATCTGATTTATCTTACTACAAAATTAGAAGATCATTAATTTTAAAACAAAGGTTTTTAAGATTTACTTGTAATATGTGTAAGACATAATATAATGACAAGGACGTATTGGTGTACGAACTAAATCCATTAGGAAATTTAATTCAGCTTACCTAACTGTAGTTTTACCTGTATGTAGTTTATTCGTCAAGGTATAAATTTTGTGTTGTAAAGAAACTGTAAAGTATTTATGTTATGTTTTGTTGATTAAGTAGTTACTGAGATTTTATTTGCTTGTATATCTTCAGGTTAAAGATTTTCTGCATATTAAAGAAAAATTTAATAATGAATGGTGGATTGGTCGATTGGTGAAAGAAGGTTGTAATATTGGCTTTATTCCGTCACCAGCAAAATTGGAAGCTATGCAAAATTTCAGTACTAGAGGTATGAGGTAAGTATATTGGCTTTGTTTTTCATCAATTTAATATAATAAACACCAAATATATATGTATACATATATATCATTTTTGTGTCTCCTTTTAGAGATTTTGACTGTAATATGTAATCAAAGGTTTGATTGATTTTTCAAACATTTTTACTCCAGTCCATTGTTTTATCCCCTGGCAATAAGAGTTGAATGCAAAAAATGGTTAATTATCTGTCTGAAATTGTGAAAGAATTTGGTTGTTTTATTTAATTTATCACATATATTCCTACAAAACAGCATTTCCGACTATTCAATTTCTCTGGTTAAAATAAATCAGTCCAAACTTCACGATTTTTCATTAGTTTTTAATGCCAGACATCCACAATGTAAACATTATCCCCAAAAGTAAACAGTATGGGAGAATTGTTTAACTATATAAGAATTTGAAATGATTTAAAAGATATTTTTGATGAGATCTCCAGAAATGTTCAAAAAATATATGATTACTTTTAATTAATTTGATCTTTATTTGTGTAGAGGTGTTGGTGAAGATTGTTAAATTTCTCCTACATGAAATCACTGATTGATCTTATATAGATTGTCAGTGAAAACCAGGAAGCACTGAACAGCTTCCGTGACCAGTGGAGTTCAACGGTATCTGATGTGAGACATTTTGTTCACCACGGGCAATAGATGGTCACGCCAAACCTCGAAGTTTTTGAAGTTAGACATGTGCACTACTGCATTCCAGCTCAGCTGTGTGAAGTTAGGCATTCGCTTGCGAGACTGAAGGTCCCTGTTAGCAGGGCTGTGGATGAAAACTTCTGAGTAGTCCCATACTAGAATGATGCAGCTGTCGATTGCCTCTTGGTTTTCAGTAGTGATCTAATTAAGATCAGTTCGTTATTTGGTTTTATTGTAAAACTTGTTATCTTTTATTGTATTTTCCTTTTTAGCAAGAGTTCCACAGGTAATCTTGATAATTCTCGAACTGGAAATTCAAGACCATCAACACCACCAGGTAATTTGATTTTCTTTTTCGAACATTATAGGTCCGTTATTTGTTGTACATTTAGTAATCTAAATTTCTTTTGGTATAGACCTCTAGTTAAAGAGCTTTAACTCTAGTCATTCACATAAAGAACTTGTAAATTTATGTATTACGGAAACCAACAAATCAAGTCTAACCTGCGATTATCAAACCACAAGAAAAAGGGACAAACCAAGGAACACATTTCTTCCGAAGCCTATATCAAGAGGATGAGAGGCGCTTGAGAACAACTGGAAAGGAGATATCAGGAAGGAATAAGTTGGGGATAGATGGTGGCCTATACTTCATGAGGGTTAACAGCTGAATAATAAGTCAAGAAATTTGTCATAAGAAATAAAAGCATGCATGATGAAGAACTAATCAATGGAAATAATAATATTTATTATAATGAAAAAAGTTAGAAATTCAGTTCTGAATCGTTACATGTCAAGTACAGAAATCTTGGCGCAGGATAATGAACCGATATATTTCTCATTAATGTTCTATATTTTAAGTCATGCCACTTAATTTCTTTAACCGTAATTGTAGTTATTTATCGACCCTCTGTTAGATAATTTCCCCCTTTATACATGAATTGTTTTAACAATCAACGACTTTTCAGATTAGTGGTATTATCTTATTATGGTTTAACTTAGCCTTTTTCCTATTCACTGCTATGCCAACTAATAGTTCGTGTCTGGATAGACTAAGTCACCTCACCTAAGCACCTCAAGTTAATTCACTACTTACACTTAGTACCCCATGTGTAACCCAATACATAAAGCGATAAAATATCTTATTGATATTGACCTTTTTAACATTTTATTATTGACGGATTCGTTAAAAAGTGGTATTCAACAAAGAACATTCATTTATATGGTGATTAATTCTGAAAAATCACATTCATATATTCACTTTATTTTGATTAAAATAAATTTTATTGTATTAGGCATATATATATATATATATATATAGCAAAACAGTCATGTGAATAGTAAACGGGTATATATTTTATAGTTATTGATTTCCTTTCGTAAAGGATGTCTAGGAAGTCCAATAACTGTTGTATATTTAAGTCAATAGGATTAAGAAATTGTATATATATTTGTGATCGTACCGAAAATATTAGGCTATACTGCAAAGTCAAAGTTGACAGATTACATGCATACTATTTATGAGAGATCAAGTAATTATATATACTAGTGCTGAAGAATATAGACCCGTCGAAAACATCCGGTGAACCATTTAATGGGTAGAACACTGGTAATTGGTTCATCTGGTCTATATTTATCCTTCAGATTCGGCCACTGGTTAAATTAAATGTGGACATCAGTCCCATCAAATTTTTTCTTAAGATGAAGAAAATACAGTAAATTCGGAGATGGATACGGCAATAACATCAGACAGTTTATCATAAGAGATCTATGGGAATAATCGTTAGATCTCATATTAGCTGGCTCATCAGTCAAGAGACCTTAAAGGAAAGAATGCCATCCTAAGTAACTATTGTATGTTGATCTGAAAGAATATAACTCTTTGTTTGATGATTACACAAAAATCTAATGAGCTAATAGATTTCCTAGGGCCTCAATGTTTTTATTGTTTAACTGAAACTGAAAACCACTATGCTAAATACCGATCACATGGTGGTATGTAAGAAGTATGAAGCGGAGCGCCATCTAGAAGCTGCTGCCGGAGAGAAGTGTTTGGAGATCGAATTACATGATGCGATCAGTGTCTTGAAGACCGGAATAGATGTGAGCGAAGACGGTTAAAAGCCTGCCTCTTTTTATGCAAACGGATATTTGAAAATTATGTGCGCATATTTTGTGAGTAACTCTTATCTTCTATTGATATACATTTATTTCATCTGGTCTTGACTTATTCGTACGTAACACCAGGAAATATTTTTGCCGTATTAGTAGGTTATCTACTTTATAATCAACGTTCGTCGTTCTCTTAACCATTAGTGTACTTATTAATTCTTTGCTTTATTTATCTTCTGTAGTTTCAATACGATATTATACTTTATGAATTGTTCGTGTTTCTGAAGTTAGCTGCGTTTAAATTATGGGAAAATAGATTGTACACTCTGTTTAAGACTTACTTTTGTATGCATCGTACAAGCTTCTGACTTAGTCTCAGGCTATGCATACATTTTCCTATTAGTCTGTAAGTATTTATTTTGTAGTCTAACTACGATGAAATTGTTTTCTCTTCATAACTGTCATTAGAATTTATATTAAAATTATGCATATTTTGTAATTGATAAAAATATTTTCTTTCATCATAATAATCATCGTATAACTTGTGATTCTTAACTATAGCTTCAGGTGTTGACACAATTAATAGAAGTTATGATGAAGATGGTAATCCGCCACGAGAAACACCAGCCGGTAAAGCTTCTGTCAGTGCAAGAGGTGGTCGTAAGCCATTTTTTAAGAAAGTGAGTAGCATGCATCGATTTTATGAGACGAACTTTTTATTATTTTTAAACTTGCATCGGCTTATTTATGGCGATGGTTCCTAGATAATACTTGACTGTATTAGTTAGGCATCAACAATTGACCTGGCATCTTCAACTAATTATTTGAAAATATTTGTTTAGGAATGGAAATTAACATACTATTACTAGTTCTCAAGTAAAAAAGTAAAACATCGTACTTCTTGTATTCTCCTGTCTTTGTTTCTTCTAAAACCTATGATCCTTTGATTTATTTTCTCTGAAATTGTCTGTCTTTATATAGTTATTTTGAAGTAGTTTCTCTGAAGGTCATCTACAAATTAGTTCATCTATTTGCCATTATTAATACATTCCATAATAGGGTCCTTATTATGTGTTAAAGTCTGAATATTTATCCTTTAATTATCAGATCGTTAGATCCTATCATGTTCCGATAATTTTCTATGTTTTACTTAAACTGTATGACATCAAACTGAATGTATTAGCCCTTACTTGATTATAGGCCTCTATTAAAATACATAAAAATACTTTTCACCTTTGAACTCCGTTTAACAGCCCTTTATACTATTTTACAGACTAAAATCGTTATATTCTTCTATCTTGACGGCACTCGTGATGTCCGATTTAAAGTACGAATGAACAATTAAGGTACTTAGGATAAAATGTCTAAATTAGCATTCAAATTTTTACCTATATAATCGGAATACTTTGACTCTATTCGATTCACAATGTAGTTTTCCCATTTAAAAACATTCAACAAATATTCTATCTTGATACAACTTAATAAACTGAACGTTTGAAGTATTGAGAACATTTCAGTTTTATTTTTCACTATTGTTCCATAAAGTATTCAATGGAGATTTTAAACTAATAAATAGATTAAAATTTTTATATTTAAATAAAATCTACCCTTAACCAAGTGTCCCAAAGATTAACTATATGCTACGATATAATGCTCTAATCTTTGATTCCTTTCAACTTAATTATTTGGTTTATATTCCACGTAAACATGTGCTAAGCAGCTGTAAAACTATCAGTAAATCTTTTTAGATCAGTGATAAATCGATGTCCATCGCTCCATGGTTTCCAGTGATTATCTAATGAAAATTACTATTTGATTTAAAATACAAATTAGCGATCAACAATGATGATTTCTTTCTGTTAGGATATTCATCCAATATCCTAAGAGAATTATTGGTCAATTCCTATTGGTTAATTCCTGCTGGTCAATTTTATGGTCGTCCTAGATATCAATGTCACATGCTCCAATTTTGTTTCTTATTGGTTGTCCTGACTATCAATGTCACTTCAAATGTTGCTTCTTGTTGGTCGTCTTAATTGTTAATGTCACAGACTTCGATGTTGTTTCCTGTTCGACCAAAATGTATAAATACGTATTATGTGTGACGTTTTAGGACCAGGACAAGGATCCGGTCCCGGACCCCTAGTCCGGGATCCTGATTCTCTTCTGGACTAAGACATCGTACTTTCTGGATGCTTGTGGAATAGAGGTTCTACTTCATATCAAGTCTTGTCTTCTTTTACTCAATATGGGGGTTGGGATAATCGGATTTGAGTAGCATGTCGTGTCGCCGGTTCCTCGATCCTCGCTCTCGTTTCTCGACTAGGTAAACTCTTAATAGTTCAAGCATATCAAAATGAGGTGTTTACGTGCAGGCGTAACACTTTCCCTCTATAACTAGAGAAGGATTTAAGTTATTGTCTACATTAGAAGAAACATTCATAGCACTGATACTAACTTCATATGATATATCAAAATTACTCATATTTATATAGCAAATATTACCGGTAACAGGAGTGAACAGTCTTGTGAATAATTCAGAATAATTCTGGGTGTAAATGGATACGAAAACAAATATGTAAATTTCTTGAAGTTATTTATAATTCAACTTTTTACACTAAACAATGTTTACTAGTTTGTTTATTGATATAAAAGGCGATAGGAAATGAATTATTTATTCTGTACTCACAGTCATGTGCTTTTTAAACACAATGTTGTATTAAAACTGTTTATTTAATTTTTTAGCTATTGTATGTTGATAAGTTTAAAGCGGAACAATTTTAAAACCATAGATCTTCAAAGTAACTTTCAGGGAAAATTTTCAAGAAAAATTGTCTAACAAGTGTCTTATTAACTGAAGAAAATTCTTAAAAATTAATGTAACTAATTGATGAGTTAACTTAACTAATGCGTATTGATTTTCTTCAAGTGTTTTATCAGTTCCATTAAAACTCTACAATTTAAAGGATCGTTCACTAGTTTTGCATTCACATTCTCTGATCTTATTGATACAGTTATGAATAAAATGTATTGTTGAATAATATAACATATATAAAACTAATTCGACTAGCTTTTGAACGATTAACCATGAAAATGAAGTTTTCTCATTGTCTATAAAAAAAAACGCTTTTTACAATTAGAATACATGATTGCACCCATTTGACCTTTAACTATGCTATTCACTTTACTACGCTCCCAGACTCATTTTCAGTTCAAATAATCACTGCAAATCTATCTTCGCTTAGAAATTAATACTCATGGGAAACTTACATGCATAAAAGTATGAATGCGAAAATAAATACCACATTTTATTATGAAGTGTATTTTAAAGTGGTAGTTCTAGCTTAGATTAATCAACTCAAGAATATTCTATTCATATTATTACAAATAAGAATTTAATTCATACCGGTTGAAGATAATGGTATCTATCTGAGCTCATTGGCTCAGTTGGTAATTCATTGTGACTCTGAAGCGAAAGGTACTAGGTCCAAGTCTCAGTGACAATAACAATACTAAGATACAGGCATATCCAGTCGACCAGTCCTAAGTAGGATGAAACGAACATCTTGTTTATCTACTATTAGTTACATTATTTCCGTTCTATGAAAACTAGTTTTCGTCGTTATGTTTTTTTTCTGTCTCTAACCTTTCATGAAGTATTGCTTTGGCAAAAATTCTAGGTGTTAAAATAAACCAATATGATGGGCTACTTATGTTAGTTCATTACTAGTTATTGATATTTAAACAGATGTCATGTTTCTGCTGCTGACATTTAACGATTGATAATTCAAAAAGGGATTTAATTTAGACTTATGTTTGTATTTTAATGTTATTCAAAGTTTTGATATCAAGTAAATACTTTCTGCGTATACAATTCTTTTTTGGAATGAATCATTACAATAGTGATTTTCATAGTAATATTTCCATATATCTTTTCTTAAAACATTATAGAGTGATAATTTGCCTCCTTATGATGTTGTACCATCCATGCGTCCTGTAGTTTTAATTGGTCCTTCATTGAAAGGCTATGAAGTAACTGATATGATGCAGAAAGCCTTATTCGACTTTTTAAAACGACGTTTTGAAGGAAGGTAAGACTTTATTTTACGAAAATGTATATTTAACATAAACTATGAGGATGTCTATCGTTAGTGAGGCAATTTAATTTTTTTTTATAATATTCATCAACACATCTCATATAAAACTGTTTGTGAACAGAAATACTCTGCATATAACATGGAGCATAACTTTTTTAATGTCATTAGACTGATATTTTACATGTGAAAATGAACTGTTTGAAGTTTCCTAACGATAGGTTAGCTGTTCTAACTCACATGAATTAGTTCATATTTGATTTGTTACAGAATGTGCAATATGTACATCTAGTCATCAGTCATGCATTCATATCTTAATGCGTGTTCTGTCACCGAAGTTGGTGCTAGGCTGTATTCTCTCGTTTCCTTTCCGGTCTCCAAAGAATTTCAAACATACTTTAATTTTGACCTCCTGAAACTCTTGTCTTCTGCTGTCCTTTGTACCAACTTGCACACTGTGCTGCGCTGCATACTACTTACGAGCGATCTTGTGAGTAGCATTAACTACACTAGTATACACACTGATAATGATTTATTATTTTTTTTCTGCTAACATTTTTTCTATTTTTATTTTAGAATAATCATAACCAGAGTAACAGCTGATATATCACTTGCTAAACGATCTCTACTTAATAATCCTACAAGAAGAGCTATTATGGATAAATCTTCTGCACGAAATCAATCATTAGGTAAATAAATATTAAATTATCATGAATTTCGTTATTATGTTGATTGAAAACGGATGTTGGATTATTTTGAACGCTTTGTAGGAAGCTTTCATATAGAATGATTTATTTTTTATATCATGATCATGATTGAAGAACAAACTTTTCCATGCCACTATAAGATGAATTATTGTAATCTTCGTTTTGTAATAATATTCGCTTAGATGACATACACTACACATACATTGTGTTCTGTGATGATTAAACCAATAATAATTAGTAAAATGAAATACTATGTTACCTGTAGATCAAGTTTTTTCAGATTGCTGGGAATAGTTACTACTAAGGTGTTGCACATAAGTATATATGTTCAGTACAAATAGATCTTATTAGAAGATTCAAGTAGCTCTAGTGGGTACGGGATTCCACATAGATTAGAATTAATGCAATAAATTCAAATATCTGTCATTAACTAAGCAACTAAAATGCAGCTTAATAACATAAGAATAAAGATTGGTGAATCAGATTCGATCTGTCCACGGCCACTATAATTTTATTTGTAGGAACTGACGATTATGTATAGAACTGTTATGAATAACCTTGATAATCATTTATCAAATGTGATCTTAGGATATCAGTTTCAAGTCTTTGCAACCAGTCACACAAATTCGATAAATAACAGTTGTCTTTTTTTTCTTCTGTTCAAGAGGTTCAACAAGAAATCGAACGTATATTTGATTTAGCTCGTACACAACAACTTGTAGTACTAGACTGTGATACAATTAATCATCCAAGTCAATTATCTAAAACATCTCTTGCACCAATTACAGTTTATTTAAAAATAAGTTCAACAAAAGTACTTCAACGTTTGATTAAAACACGTGGTAAATCTCAAGCACGAAACATGAATGTTCAAATGGTTGCAGCTGAAAAACTTTTACAATGTACTAATGTAAGTTGACAATAAATTTGGTGTTGAAAAGCAATGCTTTCAACTAAATATTAATCCTTTTAATATTTTTTAGAAATATTTATTTCATGATATGAATTTCATATACAGAACTCATATGAATAAAGCTAATTGATATGACTATAGTTGGAACAAATATTAGTTACATAAGAAACTTTTCTCAATAATATTAAAAGAAATTAAGTATAAATGATCATACCAAATCACTCGTCAGTAAACAAAGTTTGCAATGAACTCAGTAGGAATGATAATGTTTATGACGAAAGAACGAGAGTCGTACAACACTAAAGAAGTACTATTTATTCAGTGGATAACATTCCCATAATTAATTTTCCATAAACTTCTTAAAATTGTACAAACTTTTACCATACTATATTTTGCTTGAATTTCAATGCTCTGTCAGAATGTTGTTCTCAGAATATTTTATGTAAATTTCTACACTATATATACTGTGTCGAAGTTATATATTTTTTTCAACACGCTTTCACAAATGGTTATACGCGATTTAACGTGAAATATATTATACATTATTCTTTGTTGGTTTCTGATGAACATGCATTTGTGGCATAATTTGTGATAACTGCTTTCAGTATGAACAGTTAAAGATTCGTGTAGTTACGTAGTTCAAAGTTATTCATCTAGTTACTTTAAAGTTTCAGGGATTTTGTGAAAATTTTCCACAATTACTAATAATATTATCTAAATGATCAATCACATTAAGGAAGATAATTGGGTTGACTGTTAAAATTTACTAGGTTTTAATTAAAAGCGCTGATTGGTTGAAATTACTGTTGTCAGATTTTGACTTGATGTAGATTGTGTACGACTAATTATTAACATTTTCCAACAGTATAATACGTTAAAATCAGATAAATTAGATTAATTTATTTTGATTTCAAATTATTATGTCTTCGAAATTTTCTTTTAGGATCAGTTTGATGTAATTTTAGAAGAAAATCAACTTCCAGATGCTTGTGAACATTTAGCTGAATATTTAGAAGCCTATTGGAGAGCTAGTCATCCAACTGGTAAAGTAACAAAAGCTGAACGAATTCTTGGAATTGGAACAAGTGCAAATTCAAATCAACCTGCGGAAAATGAGACAGCACATGGAATGCATCGACGTCAAAGTAGTTCATTTAAAAATGACAAAAGAAAAGGCAAAAATGATCAAGATTATAATGGATCTAGAGATAATTCAAATTCAATTTCTTCACCTAGACGAGATTCTACTCAATTTGAAAATAATAGACGACATTATGTAGATGAACAAGAATTACTTTCAGATGGTAGGTATAATTGTAAAGTACTGTATCAACAATTAATTGCATATCCTCTTGTCTTATGTTACTCATTGATGATTTTTAAGTTAGAAGCGATCAAAAAAATACCAGTGGGAAAATAACAGAACTACCTTAAAAATTCATTGTGATCTGAGTGTAAAGTTTGTATTTATATTCTATAATTGAATGACTGCATTTTCAATCAGCATGTTTGATTGAAACAAGTTGTTTAGGTATTACTATTCAAATAAAAGAGAAAGAGCGCATTGACATAAATTGGAAACAAGATTTACTCCTCAAGGTATTCTATGTAGTTATGTAATTAATGAAAAGTTTTATATTATTTCATTATCATAACATTATTAATGATCAGAATCAATAATTATTTTTATCAACCATTTTTATTGAACAATTACTTTATCCCTATTAAAATACATTATGTAGACATGTTACATGTTTATTAAAAAGAAAAGATTTCTTATGAACTTAAATGTTTATTCAGTTACATTGAGTTGTATTTTTAATCAAAAAACATAAGCGTAACAGTTATTAGTTGTGATATGAATAGTTCAACTATTGAGTAGTTATGTATACATTAAAATTTCAAAGCTGAAAGATAAAGTTTGCCTGAAAGCATAGTAGTATTACATTGAATAAAACAAATAAATTTATGAGATTGAATACCGCAATAGCTAACTTAAATGGAATACTATTTAAAATTAATTCAGTCTCATTCTTTCGATTCAACCAATATGAGCTTTAGTCATGATAGCTTTTCGACAATTTACTGTCGAAATGTTGAAAAATTTTATGACTTAACTGACTAATAATATCATTGAATTGACTGGGATGGCTAAATTGATGATTCATACACAAAATAAAAATCTGAATTACGAACGACTAGTTATCACTGAACATTGAACAAATGTTTCAGCGAAATGAATTCTTTCATTATAGACAAGAAGTTATTATGACGACTACAAGTACCCTTCCTTGTAAACGATAGAAATGTAGGTAAAGCAAGATTCTTTCATTTTTCAAATATAAACGTTGAATTCTTACTGAAATACTTCATTATTACCGAAATACATAATTTTTATAACTAAATGAACAACCATATATTTTTCCCAGGCATATTTTAACTAGTTATCAATTTTTATATACTGAAATCATTTTAACTATGAATTGAATTGAAGCTTCTGATTCTCTCGGTTCTATATCATACTTTATAGGATGTATTCAATTTATCAATTAAGAATTACTGTCAATTTTTTTTTTAAACAAGTCTTTTTTCTAATTTTATCAATAGAAGATTATCATTACAAGCCACAGAATGATACACGGACTGTTTGGAATAATACTGAAAAGAATATTTATTCTCCATCTCATACACCTCATTTGTCGCCTAATCAGGTAAATGTATTTACTAGGCTATTTATAAGTTTTTACCACACAATAAATTGTTATAATATAGAAATTAAAATTTGAGAACATTTATATGAATATAATATGAATGTGTACGACTGGAATGAATTAACTTACTTTACAAAATACATCGGAAAGCTCTACAAAGTGATTGATGATATCAATAGATTTTACTTTTCGCTAATAGATTCATTAGTAAATTATCTCTTTAAGTTTATTTCAACTCTTGCTCATAAGTGTATCAAATAAAATTGACTAAAGTATGTAAACTATTGTTGTAACATATTACATACTTTCCTAAATAACAGCATGAAATTTCACTAGATTAACATGTTGGTTGATATTTAGTTAGCTATTTTTATATTCATTACATCTAAAAATGGTCCAATTTATTATATTTTTTGAAATCATGAATTGATCAATGTTATACCACCTCTTAGAAACCTGGAGGCAGTGGAAGGCTGTTTCGTTTATGATACTTATTCATAAGAGTTGTCTATATTCAGGATGGAGTCGTGATCAATCTCTCTTGGTGTCTGAGCTTTCTGAGCAGATGCTTCTATACAGTCTTTTTGATAATGAAAGACAGTCCTAAATGAAAACACCAGGGTGGCACATATCTTTTCAAAGAAATATCGCAAATGTTCAACAAGTTAGTCGCCATCCGGACTGAATAACTTAGAGATTTGAATTAACCTATTCTAGATTCGAGTTTCAGTGTCAATATCAACTCCTAGATTCAGATTTAACCAGCTGACGAGTCCTGTTTAGAATGAAGCACACACCCATGGCTTCGTTGTTAGCAACAATTCAAATATAATAAATTTCTTTTGTGGGAATTCAGAGGGTACACATATAAACGAAACGCTTGTCCAGTGTGAATCCAAACGTTGCACAATAGAAAGCATAAAATCAACATCTGCCTACGTTTAGATGTAGTTGCATCTTGTGTTATTTTAGATTATTAAAAATAAACTTTCCATTTGATCAGTAGTAACTGGGGAAAATTTGAAGCCGATTTGTATTTTGATCAGTTAGTTCGATTTCTTGTTCAAATATAAATATTTATGTATATTACATAACAGGTATTACAACGTGATAGACAAATGAAAGGATCTAATCGAATAGATCCTATATCAGTTGGAATTCATAGCAAATATAATCAACATCCACAGTATGATACTGAAGAATCCGACTCACCGATGGAGAATGATGTAAGAATATTGATATTTATTTGATTGGATAATTTCCATTGGTTTATTTTAGAATTAAGCATTTAGTCGTGTAATTATCTAAACAATTCATCAAAAGCGGATAAATGAACAGCTTATTATTATTATTATTAATCTTATGATAAATTAGAAAATGTACTTCCATTCCACTTTCCTTTTAATTCCTTGGTGGAAATAGGACATTTTACCGAATTAAAAATCTATGAATCTCAGTAGTTCGTTTTTATAGAAATAACACAGTCCTTATTAATAATAGGAAAAAGATTGTTAAACAACAGCCACTTTATGTATCGACCTTTCAATTGAATTTCAAGTTGATTATTAGTTTACCAGGAATTATATATTGTTCAGGTGAAAGATATTAACATTTATTATTTCACTACTCGATCAATTAAAAAGTTTGATTGCGTTGTAGTATAGTTTCATTTTGGACATTCTAATGTAAAATTAACTGTTTGTAAACTCACATGGCAGATTTTAATCGAAGTCAATTTAATAAGACTTACTTTTGTCACCCAATAAATTTATTTATCAATAGGTTAGTAATTTTACCTTCTGCATCCCATCATAAACAATGTTTTTTAAACTTTCATTACCACTGTCATTTATAGCAAGTTTGTCAAGAAGAATTATCTTACACTGTATACTTACCTATTTGTAAGGTAGTTTAAAAAGATAGTATTTCCTGTTACTTATATTGTGTATATTTGTTGTAAATGTACAAAAAGCTATTGCAACACTTTAGATTGTACATTGTATTGGACTTTAAAGTTCTGCACAATGATTCATTAGACAATTTAACATTTAAGTTCAAATAGTCAATGACACTTTCTAATCATAGAAATTATTAGTGAATACTGGCAGACATTTTCATCTATCAAATCTGTCAAACCTTCAGAGGAAAGTTGTTAGGGTGTTCACCAAATATCCTAAGAGAATTATTGGTTAATTCCTACTGGTCGATTTTATGGTCGTCCTAGATATAAATTTCCTGACTATCACTGTCACTTCAAATGTTGCTTCCTATTGGTCGTCTTAACTGTCAATGTCACAGACTTCGATGCTGTTTCCTATTCGACCTAAATGTGTAAATATGCATTGTCTGTAGCATTTTATGACCCGGACCCTGACCCCTAGTCCGGGAACCTGATTCTCTTCTGGACTCGGAACTCTTACTTTCTGGATGCTTATAGAATACAGGATCTACTTCATATCAAGTATTCTTCTTTTATTCAATGGGGGTTGGGATAATCGGATTTGAGTAGCATGCCGTGTCGACGGACCCTCTACCCTCCCTTTCGTATTCTGACTAAGGTAAACTCGTAATAGTTCAAGCATATCAAATTGACGTGTTTATGTGCATGCGTAACAAAAGCGTGACTTTATCAATCTTTACAAAAAGTCAAATATTCTTCTTTAATTTCTAAAAGTTTTACCCTTATTTATAGTTGAAAGTTATTGTTAATAGTTTTACAGGAGCTTTAAATCAGATGATATTTTTATAGGATTCAACTTTACTTCACTATTCAAACTTTCTATAAAATGGTCACAGAACCATGGATTAGGCAATAAACATTCTACCACTGGTTACTTATGAATGAATACGTTTCTAACTAATCTGAGCATTACTTATATCGCCTGTACATTCGTATTTACTATTATTAATCACATTGAATAATTATTTACTGCTCTACACAAACAGAAAATTCACCTCTTAGTTGTGAATAGAAATGTTCTTAGAGGGGATGGTAATACATTTGTGAAATTCATTTTAAAAAAATACCAAACGATCGTATAAAAATTCTGATAAAAATAAAAGATTCAATCACCAGATAAAATAATTCCTAATTATCCTACATTATTCATAGGGATAAGAGTTCTCTGAAACTAATTGTAAACAATAGTTTTATCTTTATATCTTTTTTGCTAAATATTATATAGTTAGCTAAAATGTTCAACATTTGATTCTTTTTCCATATTGTTCTCTCTCAGCTACCTATGAATTCAGTAGTTTCTTAACAGTTGCACTTAATCCTCAACAATCTTTGAAAAAAAATATTAATTTACTATTATTTGTAGTTATATGAAGTTGTTACTATTTAAATCATAATAAATATATGATTAATCATCTATTTTGATTCACTTGTTTTTAATTCTTAGCGCTTTATTATGGACTCAGGTTATCCAAAAGCTAGAAGAAGTCGTCAAGGTTCAATTATGATTTAAATGAAGTTGTGTTTTATTTGATCGCCATATTTATAACATGAGTCGTAAATGAATAACAGCTGACTATTTTCCATTACCATACTTTAACACTCACTGTAACACAATGTAGAGTTACATAGCATAATAATACTTACTACATGACAGTAATATTTTGTATCACATTGCTTTTTTTCTTGATTTATTCAACTTTAGTTAATGTTTTTCTCCTTTTGTTCTGTGATTTTATTTATTGCTGAAGTTTACATTCCAAATAAACTGTTTTTGTTAGTTTTTTAATCATGAATCATAATACCTATTATATTATTAATTCTACTGAGTATATTTTCTTCTTTTCAAAATACATTATGTTCAAGCTTTCAATGTTAAATATTATGACATTATGATGTACATATAATTGGAAATGCAACAAATAATTGAATGTAACATTTTATTAAATTTTAATATTCAAAAAGTTATTTTGTTAGTTATTATCACCAGGTTCTGTATTTGCTTGACTTGAATATTTTGCGTCAATGATTCCTTAAAACTCAAGCTTTAGTTGATTGATTACTCGAATTTTTTAAACTTCTTACATTATCCAAATTTGGAATATGTGGTGTCCTTATTTTAACGTTTGTCCGTTTTCTATGGTTTGTGGATTGACACTTACCAATCGTGACTTTTATCACAATCAAATGTAATTTGAGATTGTTGACAAAAAAATATTTACGAATGGAAATGATTTCTTTTATACTTACTTACTTAGGCCTGTTACCCCGATTGGAGCGTAGGCCGCCGACCAGTGTTCTCCAACCTAATCTACTCTCAGTTTCCTTTACCAGTTCTTTTCAATTTCTGTTCATTCTTCTGATGTCTTTCTCTATTTCTCGGCGTAATGTGTTCCTTGGCCTTCCTCTTTTCCTTTCATCCTGAAGTTTCCAAGTGAGGGCTTGTCTTGTGACGCAGTTGAGTGCTTTCCGTAGTGTGTCAGTCAATCAGTAACAACTTAGTACTTCGTACATGAGTACATAAGTTCAGGTTGCTATACCCCCTCAGCACAGAGACATAATTGTCAGTTCGAATCCCATAGTGGTAGAGATAGTAGAAGTATTAGCGGTAATGGAGAACATTATGGTTCGAAAATATGTTTCAAGAAATATGATTCAGTGAGACAGCTGTAGAAAAACAAAGATAGAGGTGAAGAGGCTAGAATCTGAGAGAACACAAAGAGTGGATGCGAACAATTTTGAGCCATGTCGTTCAAAGTCTCTAACCATTGGTGACTTTTGTCTCGCGGACCCCAACCAGGTAGCCTACATCTGTCAACATGACTCAGTCCAATCGTTAGTGGTCTTATGGATTTGTGCCATTTTTTGGTTTGGCCACCAATAGCTTTCTTTCAGCCTACTTCTACACTGCAAAACATAGCTCGTCGAGGCAGTCGGTGTTTGGGCATTCTAACACATGCCACAACCAAATCAACTGATGAAGTTTCAATACTTCATCAACGGATTTGCCATTCTTACCTAGTACTCGTTTCCGAACTAAAGCATCGCTTACTCGGCTGTCCCAGGATACAAGAGCAATGCTTCGACGAAATCCATAATCGAATGTTCTCTACTCTCTTCGGCCATGTTTCGTGTTCATAAAGTAGGACGGAGCGAACTGTCGCGCAGTAGACTCGTCCTTTGTGTAGCAAACGAATATCTCGCCTGTGCCATAGGTAACGCAACTTGGCAAAAGCAAATCCAGCCTTCAGTATCTGTGCCGAAATTTCTTCACACACCGGGCCATCAGCACTGATGAGACTACCGGATAAGTGAAACGGTCAACACTCTCAACTACCTCACTCCCTATCACTAGTTCAGGTGCCGATGGAAGCTTATCTTGAAGCAACATTTTCATTTTGAGGCGGTAAACCTCATCCCAAACATGCTTGCATTACTATTTGGAGAAGTCAGGAGACTCTGTATTTTGTCAGCGTCTTAACCGAAAAGAAATGTGTCATCAGTATACTCTAAGTCAGCAAGCGAGTCTCTTGGTAGAAATTTCACTCCCAAAAGGTCAGACAACGATAATGTTAACTATAGAAAGTTAAACAAGAATGGAGAGGCTGGATAGCCATGACAGACACCACTTGATGTCACTAATTCCGATGACAGTTGGCCATAAGCTTATTATCGACCATTAGTGTTCGAGTAGAGAGCCTGTATAACGTTAATGTACTTCTTTGTTACTCCTTTGAGTGACAGACACTGCCACAGAACCTCACGATCAACAGAGTCGAATTCCACCTTTAGGTTGAGAAATACTACTGTTATGAGACATCTGAACGTGTGCCTTTGTTCTGGGATCTGAAGATATGGTCTGTACATCCACGTCCAGGTCAAAACTCAGCCTCGTTTTCTCTAGTCTGATCTTCACGAGCTCTACTTAGGCGTCTAAAAATTATCGAGGCTTAGAATTTAGAAACTATATTAGTTAAACTGTTTATTGAGGCCATTATTTTAGAGACTATATTAGTTGGGCGGACTCGTCTGTGATTGTCACAAGGAGACTTTTGTCCTTTCTTATAAATTGGAACAATCAGGGATTGAGACCAGTCGGATGGAATTACGTCCAGTTTCCAGATTCCACCTAAGATCTCAGTCAACCTAGCTGCTGAAACTGGACCACTATCCTTAAGTATCTCAGGCGTCAGTCCATCAGGACCTGCAGCTCGCCCTCGCTTCAGATTTCCTAACGCTTTCTCAACTTCATACAGACTAGGGGGGGCTTACGTCGATTTGCCATTCAGGATGACTAGAGGTCGTGGGCAACGGAAGTGTGTTAAAGGCCGACTGAACTGATGCCTGAAGTGTTCTGCTGGTCAATCCAATCTCTTGTGTTTAAAATGAATAATAAATAGATCCTTTTCTGAGATAGTTTCACTGACAGATGGGCTTGATAAGTCGGAACAACTTTCTACTGTTGCCGATTGCCGCTGCCGTTTCCATCGCTCTTGCTTTCTCTACCCACCACTGTTCGCGATCATTGCATGGGCTTTTTATCAGCCTGACTTCGCTCTTCATCATGTGGGGTGATTTTAGGAGCGTCTATCAGTTTGATGGATGCCTATGAGATACATGGCTTCTTCCTAGCCATATATATGGTTTACTTTACTGGTGGGTATCACTGCTGTTCCACAGTCACTTTGATATCATTCCAAGCTGCCTCCGGATGGAAATCACTTACACTGCCGCCTAACAGTTTTTAATTGCTCCTGAGATATATTCTTAGCCATGCTATCATTAAGTAGAATCGTAAGAGGTTTCCTTACGGTGTCTTTCCTACGTCCAATAAGTTGCAAACAAATACGTGCTCACACTGGTATTTTATCTGAATCTAGACATGTGCCCCTGAAAGAGCGACAGTCCGCAGTGTGTATCCTATCCACTTCCGCCGCTTCTTACTGAGTTCCTCCTCCGCCGGAATCTGGTCCGTTTTCTCCCACAGAAGGTTGTTGATGATGGTTCCAGTCCAACGAATCCAAAGTATATTGAGTACTCATTAGTTTTATGTTACGAACTCGTACCCGAGTGACTTCAACTATGATGATTTCAGTAAAAATAGTGAGACCATCCTCAATGCTGAGGAATTACCGAACCACATAATTCGTAATTTTTACAAGTAAATTCGTAATCATACTTGGATAATTGGCCTACTAAACCACGCCGTTAAATGGATATTGTATCTTGGAGCTAAATTTAGAGAAAGTGTCTTCTACGATCTTACTATAATTTAGGCTGGGATGAATGGGAAATGGCAAATCATCATTCTTTTAGATGTCCGAAGCTAGCTGACAGTGGTTGACAATCGCAGAGTCTAGAATAGCCGTTTTATGCCCTTAGTTTTTGTAGTTAAGGTAATTTGTTTAAGAACTAGTTAACATAGTTGGTACGCTGAGTATGCCATTAATGCTTTTCTCAACAAATATATGACTTTTTTCAAATGGTATCAGCCAGATAATAGTAAGTCATGAAAATGTAATTTTTATTTGTCAAGACTCAACAGATAGTCACGTTTGCAGCATGAAAAACTTATTACTAGCTTAAAAATTCCCAGTCATGTCAATCATCTACAAATTCAAGAACTAATTAGTGCTGGCACCTATAATAATAAGTACGAAAGAAGTGAACTCTGGCTAGAGCTCCTCTGAGGCTACTGCCGGGTCACAGGCCTGGATAAAGGAGGAGGGTGGGGCATAGGGTAGACTACCCCATCCCGTAGGAAACTAACTCACTAAAAAATGCTAACCAGAAAACATAATTCAAACCATTTTAACTCTATCCTAAGGGGTAGCAGGTCTCCTTTCAGAAGAGTTATGACGTCTCATGATGAAAGCCCAATGTAGAATCCTTTTTGAATGTTTTGTTTTTTGGAAAATCCCTCCATGATTACATATTTTTGTTATGACATGACGGACTTTTTCTGTTGACATTTTTGGTATTTTATTTGATTCCAATTTGAGATTTTATCATTGTATATTGTTATTCTTTCTATATTTTGTACTTATATTGAAGTTTTTGTGTTTGCTTCTGATTGTATATATGTTGTTTAAATTTGACCTTTAATATGGCTACAGCCATATTTGGATTGATGCAGTGGCCGCTGGACTTAGCGTCACTTATCTATCGCTGTTTCTGATACTCTTCGGAGTAATTGTATCCTGGAAGGAGCATTAATTCCAGGTAATGCTTTGTATTTCCATGTCTATATTAAATAAGACCGCTTTCCCCTAGAATTTTTGTCCTTTTTTGATTTGTTTGGACCTGGGACTGGGAGAATCGAGTACAGGAGTGCACCTATTGGAACCCATTGGAACGGCCACTGTAGAAATTCATTTACACCCAATTCCTTCTAAAATCACGAGACCGATGCCCATTTTGACAACCAGAGCAACCATTCTTTTAGGTACATTGAATGTTCAAACATTGTGAGAGATTGAAAGACCATTTCAAGTTGCTACTGAAATGAAAAGATACGATCTGGAGGTGCTCGTAATCAATCAAACGCATAGAGGCACGTTGGACAACTGAGACTAGCTTCAGGAGAGCTGCTGTTATACTCCGGACATGAAGAAGAAAATACCTTACACACACAAGGTTTTGCGTTGATGCAGTCCAAATAAGCACAAAAGGCTCTGATAAGATGGGGATCTCATGGACCCAGGATCATCAAAGCATCCTTCAAAAAAAGAGGGCATTACGTTGCAGTTAACCGTCGACAGATGCTAATCAAAGGATTTGACCGTTGTGATGGGAGACCTATATGGACAACACGGGATATGAAGACGTCATGAGACGATAGAGACTGGGAGAAAGCAACGAAAGTACAGAGACATTTGCAAGCCTATGTGACTGTAACAAACTGGTTATCGGCCGCACAATTTTCCTACGCAAACGCACAAACAAAGCCAGATGGATTCCACTGGATCATACTAAACAGAACCGAATCGACCATATCTGTAGCAATAAAAATTCTGAAGGACCGTGGATGACGTGAGAACCAAGAGAGGTTCTGATATAGCCGCAGATCACTACTTGATGGTCGTCAAAATGAAGCTGAAATTAAAGAAGCACCGGAAAACAGCATCATCAAAGTTTGAGACGGTTTTCCTTCCGGACACTGTCAAACTCAACGACTTTAAGACAACCCTCACCAATAAGTTCCAAGCCTTTAATAATTTATTCAACGAAGAAGAGACTAACATGGAGAACAACTGGAAAGAGATCAAGGAGACGAAAACTTCAACATGTCAGGAGTTTCTAGGCAACAAGAAGTACCATCACAAAAAAATGGATCTCTGTTGGTACTCTTGATATGGTTCAAGAAAGGAGGAACAAGAAGGCAGCAATCAACATCAGTCAAACAAGAGCTGAAAAGGCCAAGGCACAAGTCGAATACACAGAACCAAACAAGAAAATGAAGAGGAGCATCTGGGCCCACAAACGTAAACCTGTGGAAGATCTAACAGTGATGGCGGAAAAGGCTGCAAGAGAAGGAAATTTGAAACGATTCTATGATTCGACAAAGAAATTTACTGGAAACCATGGTAAATCATTACAACCAGTAAAAATGAGGTAACCGAAACAATCACCGACACTCAAGAAGAACGAAATTTGTAGTTAGGTTACTCCGCAGAACTGTTCTATAGAACAGCTGCACTCAAGTTATCCAAAATCAATGCACCAAACACAGGCCTTCCAATCAATGTTGAAGAAGCGAACATTGTTTTCACACAAATGAAGAACGGCAAAGCAGCGGGATCAGGCAACATTCCAACTAGAGTACATAAATATGACACCCTTTCTCTTTCTCCCTGTGATTGACTGGGTTATCTAGCCATCAACATCTGAACAGAAGCACCGCGTACAATGGACAGCCAAGATGCAGCTGAACTATCTGGACATCTTGGATGCCCTATCTTCTATCCAAAGAACAAAAGTGAATTCTGAATACGGTGAGTTCGACAGCGGTGGGTCAAATCATATACAGAGATAAAAGCGAGATTCTCCCAGCTAAATCACACTTGGTGGAGAGGCCTTAGAGAATTCTCAACAAACACTGAAGTTAGAATTTTCAGTATAACCTTTAAGTTAGTTCTACGGTACGAAGCAAAAATGCCTTGCTTTTTATTATCGGTTGTTGATGAAAGAAGCTCCGAATCAGTTGACCAGGCACTATCAACAGCAACTTAATGAGGGGAGAGAAACCAAATTTTAGCTGAGATGGAAATTTGGGAAAAAAGTTGGAGGTGGATACGATGCACATTTAATACATCACCCAAGTGCAACACGAGATAAGTCCTAACTTATAATCCTCAAGGCCAAAGGCGAAGTGTTAGACTAAGGGACACATTGCTACTAGAATTGGTTGCAGACATGAAAAGAATGAGTAGCGACTGATAAGAACCGGAAAGGAGGGCCGAGAACAGCGTAGGATGAAGAATGTTGCTCGAGAGTCTGTTCTACTTTAGGGATAACAGGCTTATTAAACTAAGTATATCGGATGCAAGATAAAGATCTTTTATACTTTTCACTGTTTTTTGGGGACAAGTCTCAGTTAATCTCTCTGTTTTTAAAGGCTTCAAAGTAAAACAGTTAATCTAGGCATTTGTTATTACTTTGTGCTAGAATGATTTATCGTTTCCTGAAAACGTAAAAGGGAAGGTACACTAATGGGAACTTTAACATAGCTATGACGGTAAGGGTTGTTTTATTTTTCAAGAATCAGGGCTGAGCTCATATTTTTAGCTTGATCCTTGTGATCACTTTGACCTTCGTGTTTGTTCGTTTATCTGTATCACGATAATAATTCTATCTGGGTGACATTTTTGTCATCGTCGTCATTTGGCGCGATGCCTCCAAAAGTTGTTTCTGGTAAAGCGGCTAAAAAGTCATCTAAGGTCAAGACTCCTAAGTCTGAAAAGAAGAAAAAACGAAGGAGGAAGGAAAGTTATGCCATTTACATATATAAGGTCTTACGACAAGTTCACCCGGACACAGGGATTTCATCTAAAGCAATGTCTATAATGAACTCGTTTGTGAATGATATCTTTGAGAGAATTGCAGCAGAAGCTAGTCGCCTAGCACATTATAACAAAAAGTCCACTATTACTAGTCGTGAGGTTCAAACTGCTGTACGGTTGTTATTACCTGGAGAACTCGCAAAACATGCTGTGTCTGAGGGCACAAAAGCTGTTACTAAGTACAGTGGATCAAAATAAAATCATTTCGACTTGCCTATGTAATGTTTTCAAGCAGCCAATAAATTTATTTTCATCACTTCGTAAATCTTAGACTCTTGCTAACTCGTCATGGGACTAAGCTCAACCTATAAACTTTAGAAAAATGCATTTTTTGGTTTGGCTTCCAACCTTAATGAATAGTTGTTCCTGGTTAGAATCATATTCACCATTAAATATAGATATATAGCTAACTGGGTAAGTAGTACACCAGCGAGTTTGTCACAGAAGTTATGGGCGAGTTGGTAGATAGTCAAATGAATGTTATTTAATTTTCCCTAACGTGAAATTGTTTTCGATGATCAAATCTATATCGTGAGTTTTCCAAAGCCGCAGCTTTCGCTAGTTTTATGATGTTAGTTAGTAGTTCAGATGGGGAAATTTTTCGTTCTCCGTAATCCGCTACGAGAATAATCAGGTGATCCATAGTGGGACGATTAGGCGTCATTGTAAATCGTTCTTCTCTTTGTATTATACTTCAACCGTACAGAAATATTCTAATTCCCACTACTAGTTAGCCTCTATAAGTAACTACGTCATTGTCATTTTCGGTGTCAGGCAAGTAAAGGGTTCTTAAAGGTTAGAGTTCGCATAGTATTGCTCAGTTGTCACCCACGTTTTATCAGCTACGACGACGAAGTAGTGATTCGTCAACTACTGGACTTTCAACTGTTAGTTCGCAAGTCTTAACACCTCTTCACCTACTTCGAATTGCGCAACTGGGTAGTATCACTAGCTTTTATTGAATTCATGACCCAAAGCTGGTTGTCTGAGCTTCTGCCTTGTTACTCATTCGATTCATAGTCACTGACTACTACATTACTACTCGCCTTCTTGTTTTGATATTTTAGAAAGTATATTTGTGTGAAACAGCATGTAATTACTAGATTTAATACCTTGGTATTTTCATTACCTTGAATGCTACGGAACAAGAAGTCAGTATTACAGTACAGTATTGTCTCTGGTGTCTACTGAGGAGACAAATCTCTGAAATCGATTTAGTTGAATTACATATGCAAATTTCTGATATCTGTTGTATGAGCAAATTGGTTAGAAGTTCCTCTTTTCTAGTTATGTGAAGTTGGTTATTTACGTATCTTCTGTAATAACGTTGTATTTGGTTTAAATGACAACTCTTAAAAACGCTAGCCAACTAACATTGTGTGAAAGGATGTATGAAATGATTTAGTTGTATTTAAGCACCTATTTATTTGGACAGGAGCAGAGGATTTCCTATGAACTGCCGCTTCTGCAAAGTACTGTTGGCTAACGATTGGCATATTACAGTAATAAAGCTACAAATGCTTCTAAACATGAGTTGACGATAGTCGTGTCGATTAAGTCAATAAAACTCATATTTACCTAAATAGGGACTTTAGTTGATTAGAGGTAAATTATGTTGATCTCGATATAGTTTACAAGAAGAGAGTTCTAGTCGTTCTACTTAATTTAACAAAAATTAATTTCTTCATATAATATTTCATTCTTTCACAATCGCGACAACAGGAATAAGTGAAATAAAGTTCTTTCCACTTCATTGTTTTATATTACCTTACCGTTTGAGAATACTATTGAAGTAAGTTACTGTCAACTCGTTACAGGTAACCTCAAGCGTAATAGTTAAATTAAACAGTATGATACTTCAACATTATGAAAATTGATGTATTATACAAATAACACATGATATTACTAGTTATACTACTTCATCGGTAGTTAGTTATTACTCTACTCGAGATGTTATTACTTTATACAAATTGAAAATTAGTATTATGAAATGTTTGCATTAAATTACACTACGAAAACATTGTTATTATTGAGTGGTTGTGTTTGAATTCCTTTTCCTGAATTCAACTTGTTTTTTTCTTCTTATTCTAATGTAATATAATTTGTAAGAAATAGGAAGAAAGAATTATTTATAGATATTCTACACACAAAGTACTACTATTAGTTTGAAACATAAATAAAGCTATACTGGTGAATGTTTCGAACTCAATATCTGAATGTACAATGATACATTTTCACAGGATTTAGTCATAAGGTATAATCATTTGAACAATTATTACTAAACGTCAGGAAATCCTCATCATATCTTCACGCTGATATAAGGACGGAGAACTTTTTCATTCAGTTGTCTTCAGTTTCATGGTTAGTTGACGTAAAGTAATCATAATCTATGTTTGAGGAATCATTCATGAACATGTTTAAGTTATCACATCATATCAACACAGCATGATGAGCTTATCATGAGAGAGTATTAGAAGTAGTAGCGTTATCAGTGGTAATAGATACCGGTCATATAGTCAGCGCTTACCAACAGGATTCAGTTGAAGCTTCTTTAATTCCATAAACTGGTACCGCTTTCTGGTTTCTGCTCCGTAGAGTTTTTTCAACTTACTCCTCCACCAGTAAGCATCGTGCATTGAGATAAATGCAGCTTGGGAATACCTAGTGTCCTAACTATCTCATTAGATGAAATTTCGCCAGCTCAGCAATTAGTTTGTTATTCTCACCTAGTATTTTATTTTTAACTTTGAAATAGCTCATCTAATGCTCTCATCATTTGCCAGGAGTATATCTAGATCTTTTATGATCGAATGCTAGTAAACTACCGACGTTCTCTGTCTTTAAAAGTCACTTTCCACAGAGATAAAGTGGAACACAGCAGAATTCTACATAGTATGTCAGTCCTTTAGTTGGTACACGGCACCGTCTACTACGCAAACGGCTTAAGTTGACAAAAAGTAATCGAACTTTATCAGTTCGTGCCATGATTCTGCCGGACACCTACAGACTACAGCTGACCAACTCGACTATTTTACTCCATATGATCAATCCAGAGGGTGGTGAGCGCATTCTTGAAGCACTCATGAATTTAAAGGGAGAGAAAAGTATCTCAAACATACAAGTAATAGTGACCTCAGTGCCTAAGAGGCAGATGCTTGAGGCTGTTCATACGATCTTCCTGTGAGTAGTTCTTTATGTGTTTGCTCCATACTTTGAAAACCTTGCCCCCGCTATGGTAATTCCTTTGGTAAATTGAGGTGTGCTAGTATTGGTCCCGAGTTTTCGTAACTTTTTTCTTCCCATTTTTAAAGTCAGGACCGCTAAAAATGTTGATTTTCTATGGCTGATGATGATGACTGACTGATTTTCCATGGGAAATATAGTACTCCATCACCCTCCAATATAATCATCTGTATGACTTCAGCTCTGAACCTTAAGTTACTGCTCTCACTATTACTGCTCTTTGAACGACCTGTCCGGGATAATAGAATCTAGACAAGCAAGTATTTCAGCCAATGAAGCTCGACTGGGTTATCACGTCAGGTAAGCCCAACCATCTTTCAGAGTAGTGTTTACGGTTGAGTATGTTGAAGATATTAGATGACACAGGTTGGAACTGGTCAATTTAGCCTAGGTGCATTAATTACTTTTCTTCTAAGCTCTGATTTTATTCTTAAGTCTAATTTCATTTGTTCAATATGTCAAGAATATTTTTACCACTATCCGGACAATCAAAGCTTAGTCTTTGTGTTAAAAATGTTTAGTATATATGATTCACCTAGATCTATCTATCGATCTGGGTACAACATGATCCAATGAATGTTTGAAAACATACTATGGTAAACGTGATTTACAACTCACGTGCATCATTTTATTAAGTTTAATTTTCAACATACTTATTTTACGCGTTGTAGACCTAATTGGTACAGCAACTCCTAAACTTTAAATTATTTTTCTCTCAATATTTATTACAAAGATAAGTTTCTCTTTGAAAAATGTTTTGAAATAGTACATCATTTCCAATACAAAAGGATTTATTTCATATTTTAATGTTTATTGTTTGAAAGGTGTCAGTAATGAATAATGAATGTAACTTATATAATATGTATTGGTTGATGTACTAAACTGCTAGCCACAGTGTGTATGACTAGTATTATTATGTCTTGATATGAGGGAAGAGGTTTTCTTTATTCTCGTTATGATCAAATTAAAGTTCGCATAGGCAGTATATGCAAATTTTTTAAAAAATATCCATATATTTTGGAAGGTTGGATGGCCATAATTATTTTGCAAATATTTTCATAATTCAAAGGAATTAAACTTGAAGTATTATTAAGAATGATTTTTACCAAGGTTGTGCAGTAACAACAAATATCTTCAGTTTCTGAAAAAAGCATTTGAACTTAGTACAGATAAACTACTCATTCCATTAGTTAAATATTCTTCATTTTTCCTGTGTCCGTTAACGATGAAAATGGGGTTATTTCAAGTATCAAAGTGTTTCAAGGAATTTTCCTTCCATAAGTAAGTATGACTAAAATATCCGATTACAGATTAAAAATAACAACTTAGTTAACATCCGTTGTTGTTACTCATCCAAAAGAAACCAGATTGATCACTTGGAAATATTGTTGTTAGAAAAAGGACAGAAGTGAAGATATAGAATCTGTTCTATGAAAATATGTTCTCATATTGGTTATAAATTTTGTTTCAGGCAAACTCTATGAGTACTGTGAAATCATGAATAAATGTTTCAAACTGATTACTTTTAAACTGCTTTCTGTCTTTTGACTAGTTAATTTTTAGTAACTTACTTGGAACTTTTGTATTTAAAGATCTGGCACTAATAATACCGCGCTTATTGGGTGCTGAATTTGATAATTTTCTCTGAACACTTGATTTTAGATTACGTTGAATTTTGTCAAATTGTTTTGGTATTACACTAGGATTAATTTTTGCAGATTCCTCTAAAGCATCATTTGCAATTTCCATATTGTTTAAACTTTTCGATTCGTTAGACATTATCCTTAAATAATTAGAAACGATATCAGGATCAATCATAATCTGAAAAAGAATAGAAAAGAAAAAAGTAATTCAAACCAATTTCTCGCATATCAGATCCTCATATTAATATCCATATAACTTTGTACAAGTTAGTCGACTGATTTATTTTTCATCTATCTAGAATTAGTTTTGATCAATCAGTCAGTCAACATTTTACTTCAAATTAATTAAAATTTATTCAAGATCAAGCTATTAACTAATGAGAAGTTGATGATTTTTCAGTTTCTTAAATCACCTGATAATCTTGAATTTGGTTAACTTTTCCTGTGAGTGATTTTGTTGATGAATGAGTTCAGATTAGAAACTTCGCAGATATCTAGACACAGTTGTGAATTGTTTTTGAATTTAAGTAATGAGTATCTTATAATAAAGTAAACCTTTTTTATATGTTGATCTAATTTTGGTGAAAATCATTTTTATCGCTAGACAGAGTAATCAATACTAGACACGACTGAAAGACAGTATAACTTGTCATATTTAGTAAAACCAATGGAAAGAGAATTAGAAATCTGTGAGAATATTGAAGTAAACAATGATATAGGTGGACAATAAGAAGTGACAAATAATAAGTAGTAAAAAATTCAACGTTTGGATAAGGATGAAGTAATTGTGTAGCTTTCTTTGTAACTGGTCCTATGCCATGCCAACTATTCTTTCTGTATACCTTTTTACATCAATCTAACGACTGGGACTGGAAGGTTCACCTCTTTATGATCTATGCAAACTTTCGTTACTTTCATCAATAGTTTTTTTAAACATTTTCTCGCTTCTACCAGCATCCCATCTGTGGGTAGGGAGTGGTTCGGTCATCCAGTTATGGCAGTTTGTATATGTTTAAAATTCGCAAACCGATTTACTCTTGCTTCCTAAAACGTAACAGATTACTTTATTATTGCTGAGTTATCAAGTAACCATTAACCGTTTCCATTTTTAAGGAATGTTTCAAAGTCAAAGAGTAATACAGAAAACAATACTAAGCTCTACACGACACCATTAAGTAGTAATGTATTTGACCAAAAATTACTAATGAAGCGGGCTGATAAATTTCCAAGAAACTTCTTGCATGTGTGTAGAGATCTAGAACTTGACTGTGTTATGGTTAACATATCCTCTTAGATAGGTGAAGTCCTCTTTACTTCCAAAAAGCTAACTTCGACTTATACTCACTGTGCATCATATACACTTGTATACTTCGCCACCTGAATAAGATAAGGTCATTTGAACTACAGTGGCGTACACCAGTATGTTTATTTATTTAGAAACAGTATATGCACCTAGCTGTGAGCAGATTTTTTTTTAAATCTGTACATAAAACTAAAGGACTTGCTCGTCCTTCAACTCTGATAGTTAACCTTATCACATTGGTTTATTCACTGTTCACATTACTTAAAAGATAAAGATTTATTCGTTGTAATGCTGCAAGCTATCGGCAGGCCCTGTTTTTTTCAACTGTGTATCTCTTTGAAGCATTGTATTAAATTTCTTGTACCTCAATTCTGATGAAGACATATTATTACATGTGAAAAGACATTTTCATGGGTCCTCCGAATAATGTTACCTTAAAATTCTACAGAATTTGCCTTAGGCTTAACAAACTTATTAAGAACAATGACATTCAGGATTATACCACACAGTAAAGATTATACCGCATAGTAAAGATTGAGATTCAGTAAAACATAACCAGATATTTGACTTCAGTGATGGAAGTACGACAAAAGATTATTCTCACTATAATTTTTAAATCCAATAAACTACAAAATACCAGCCGTTTTAAGTAGTACTTCTACTATTTGTTCAACAAAATCAATTTCACTATTATTAAAACTTACATCATAAGTAGCCAAAGGTGATTTTAAATCGGAAGGGAAATCTTCCATTATCATACCAGACGGAGATTTATCTGTAGCTATTTCTATTCCATGAACAGTGTTCAAACGAATTATATGATGTGACCTTTGATTCTGGTATGATAGAACATTATAATCTGAAAGACCTTTGGATTCTCGTGTATGAGGAAATGAAGATTTGGATCGAGCCATGGATGGTGTAGATGATGTGAATTCCTTATTTGTATAAGGTCTAGAGCTGCTGATACTTCTTAAGTCTGGTTTTGAAGTAGACACTCTAACATTAACTGGCGTTTCCGGTTGTATTTCCTGTGGCTCTTCGTCTTCTTTACCTTCAAGTTGTGGCATATCATATGGTGGAACTAACCAAATTTCAACAGTTCCAACATGATATAAATCATGTATTTTCCTTATAAATTCACTGGATTCTATTAAAATAATTGGTACATAACACACACAGTCATAAATGTGATATTTAACTCGATGAATCTTTTTATATAAAATATTTCTCATCCTGAATAGAACTCTGATGGAAATCTAATGAAATCGTGTAAGTATAGGATAACTTAGTATTTTATCTTAAAACACCTCAGAAATACGGATTTTCAGTCCCATTTAAGCTTCAACTTGGATCCTAATAATCAGGTTGCTCTAGAAGTATTTCGTTACAATGTTGTTAACTCTATCTTACTTTTTGAATTAAATGTACGTATGACGTGATAGCGAATTCGTGTAAACGCAAAAATGATAGGTTATTGATTTGATTCGAATGAAGAGATGGATTTGAATTTATACATCCCCGTCACTTTGATTGAATTTAATTTAGAACCTTTAGATCCTCTGCTGTCATCGTTGAGGTTTGAAAATACTTTTTAACCTATCTAGTCTATGATCTATTAATTCACTAGTTGTTTATATATGTAAGTTATTTACAGTCACATAGCGGATGCAATCTTTTACGAATTAATGTTGAATTACCTTGAAAGAGTTATTACCTGTTTTCGGCTAAGCAACTGAAAATACTATAGAACGAAAAATAATCTTCCAGTAAACTTGAAATACGACTCCAAGGGCCCCTCACGTAGCCACAACTATTGAGAAGACAACAGAACTCAAGAGGTTTATTGCCTGTACAGGAGGAAAAGCTTGAGCGCTTACGTTTTCTAGTGTGCTCTAAAGAGTAGACTGTTCAGGATGTGAGTTTGATGGTTCCCTACTTAACTGTATGCTTCCGGATTGAAAATGAAAAATGGTGACCGTCCAGAAAAAGCTGTTCTTAAATTACTCTTGTTGGCATTAATGCAGTTCCCGACAAAAGGTGTATTTCTGATGGGCAAGTTATGTCGGCATTACTAAATGAAGGCTTGTTGTTAACTAAAATATTTCATTGAATATGCTGCAAAGATTATCTTATACTTTCAGCTTTAGTAAATAGAGCTACTTTTCTCAGGTTTATCAGGATTCGTTTGTCCGAAAAGTCATTATTTATCAATTAAAATACTAAGACATGGCAGCATATTTTACATTTCAGCTCCTTTCTGTGGTATTTCGGTCGAAAAACTACTGTATCTCCTGATCTGTGGCATAGGACTGAAAACAGTTCAAACAAATAATGTCTATCTTGCCAACATTCATTAAGAGTGGGATATGATGGAATCCTTGAACTCAATATTTTTCATTCATTTTCTTTTTATACAGTGTTTTTCTTTTCACTTCATTTCTTAGATCTTTAAATGCATAGAAGTTTATGACCAACGCTTGCATAATTCGGATCATTTGACTGACAACTACTTCATACAGCATGGAGTTCTTATCAACCATCATTTGTCTTCGGTAGTTTAGATCAAAAATGGACTTTAGATAGTCAGTGATGTTTGCTCGAAACTTCGGAATCTTCATTCACCAATTAAATTTTACAATATATGATTGTAGTTTTAGATTAATTCATTTGAACATACAGGTAGAATTCTGTCATTCATTCAAGGCCAACACATGATAAACGTTTACTTGCTACACAATACGATTTAGTCGTAATGACATATTTCATTTATGAATGAGATCGCTCATCAGTATAACTTGACCTAGCTAGACTTTGGAATTACTAACCCACTATTTTGACAAATAAAGATGTCAGCAATGTTAGTGATGTTTCGAGTTCACAAGACCCACTCCGTATTTCCAATAACCGTATTCAGGTGTCATTTTAATTAAGAATGATACAAATGTTGTTAAAAAAACAACGTTATTACCCATATTCTTACTTCTTATTTCACTGTTTTCTATCATAGTCTCGAAACGATTAGATAAATCTTGATTGATGATCGTTGGTGATAATGGCTGGTCTTCTACGGATTTATTTTCTGTAGATATATTATCCAGAGTTTCATAATTTTCAAGTGTTTCATTTGCCTGTTCATACCCGAAAGTAGAATCTCCCACAAATTTTTTAACTTTATCATTACGTTCATCTTTATTTTGGTCAACTGGATCCTTAGGAGTAGGCTTATTGATCAATTCTGACAGGTATTGCAATCTAAAGTATGAAAACACTTGTTTAATAAATATCAGTGAATCTTGAAAAACTATCAGATTCATACTATGGTTGGCTTCTGGCAGTTTATTGTGGTACATCTGACCAGGTTATTCCCAGGACATCTGTTATACTCTAGATTTCTTTGAGTAAAAAACCTTATCCATTTTCGTCTCTGATTATATCAAATTATGGTCTATAATTTTATTAAAACAATTGACATTATTTCACTTAAGTTATACTAATTCATTTATAACATTCAAAAAAAATGAATTAACGCTGATAGATTTTCCATAAGAATTCAGTAAACATTTATCTGCTCTTTTAATTAAGGCTTTATGAAAACCAATGATATTAAGAAAGAGAGATTTTTAACGGTGTAAAGGCGGTGTCCACAATATTCCCATTATTCACAAATTGTAATATTGAATCTTTTTAGCTAGAATGATTTGTAACACAGTAGTTTGTGAAATCAATTCTATAACTAGAAACTGTAGCTATGGATGCTTGAATTAATTCATTTTTTAGTTCATAAACTTAATGACAATTTTATTTGTTAAAATTTTTTTTTTAAAAAATAACTATATTGTTATATCCACTTTATTTTCATACTTTTTTTAATCAGCTTTTAATATCATGTAAGACTAAGTAGACTGATTGATAAACTGAAGTCTCGACCTGTTATTGGACATTTCCACTTGAACTGCGAGATTACAGATTAATATATTTGCTAATAGATCTTTGTCATCCTGAATACCGATTAATAAAGTGAACATTTTAATTTATCACGAATACAATCCAAAAGTACACCTAACCTTCAATAATTTTAAATGATTTATGAGCAGTTTTAGCATCTTTGAAATTCTTTTTAAATTTTCATACACTGAATATTATTCTTAAAGTAATTCAATTTTCTACTCTTTAGAGATCTCCAGTGTTTGTGCATGAGTGAATAAAAAAAACTATTGTTCAGAGTTAGGTATTTTTTTTTCAATAAGAATTTACTGATTTTTGTTTTAATCAATAGGATACATAGACTACCATCCATTCATATTATTATTGTTTCAGATTTTGTCAGTTGTTAAGTACAATTTCTCAATCTTTTACATTTGAACAAACATTGGTACATAACTACTCAGACTAATTGCTCGTACTAGTAACTATTATAGTGTACATATGTGTTTTTTATACTGACAGGAAGATTGTTTATTTGTATATGAATGAAGTTGTTAGTGAAATAAAATTCTTTTTTTGATGTATGATATTCTGATGCATTAAACAACGTTATCATCGATTAAATACTAAGAGTCCATCTGAGTATAATTTATGCAATCTCTGGTATTCATTGTTTATGAAATTATACGAAGTAATATCGGTAGAAACTAAACTTAACCCACTAAAATCAACCTGAAATATTTTGTTGTTAACATGTAGAAGGAAACAAATTCAGAACAAAATGAGTTCAGGCACCAATATGTAGTACCTAATATTATTGGTCAACTCAAGTAGTTAGTATTCATCAAATCATTTATCCAGCAAACGAGATTATAATTAATCAACAATGTTGATAAATATTACTAATACACAGTGGACTTAATTAAACAGATGTGAGTTCTTATGCATACGAAATTGTATGTCCCAGTGTTTCGCTCTCATTCTTCCACTATTTTTTTTTTGGGGTAAGACAAAATATTTATAAAACACACTCTTATGCAAATAAATCAACAATAAACACCATGCTTTTTTGTTTTTACAAATACCATTAGATGATTATTCAACCAACTTTATATTGCTACGTTCGGAATATTTCTCTTCCAATGATTCCATTGGTTCAATTTCAAAAATACACGCTGTATCTGATAACAATTCATGTAATTGTATTCTTGCATGTTTACTTAATAATTCTGTAGGCGATAATTTTGCACGTTTCTTTACATCTTCTATTGGTTGATCAGTAGGTTTATGCAATCTGGCAGAAAGATCAAAATTCATTTCGGCAAAATCCAATGTATCATTTTTTTCTACTGTAATTAATTCCGATGGTGTGGGACTACGATGAATCACTGGTGCTTTTTCATTATTTTGAATACAGTTAGTGTATAGATCAAATTGACTAGCTGGTTTAATTTGTAAATCACCAGTAAAACGTAATTCTAAGCATAAACCATTCAACATTAATACATGGTTAATATCATATCCAGTTACACGGTAATAATTTATTTCATTTGCTTTCTATGCATGTTGAAATGAAAAAAGCAGAAAGATGAAGCGAAATCAAATTAATCACTAAAAGTACAATTGAATTGTTTTTACCATTATCCAACAATAAAATATTTACTTATATTTAGTGCATATAACTAGCAAGTCATGGTGAAATTAATCCGAACAAAGGATGACCATACACTGAATTCACATGGAATCGCATTGATGACAAACAGCAATATAAAAATTGGTGATATAACACATAGGAAAGACTCATTTACAAATTCATATCAATTTACATTCTGAGATGTTGGAGAAGATTTTTGTAGCTCAGGTGGATGATTGTGGTGGTGGTGTTTGGTTCTTTGAGCTGGATGTTTTTGTTGTGGAGCTTTCATTGTTCTTCTGAACAAACAAAGGTGCAAACAACGACAGATTTAAGGTCAACAGCAACCAATCAAGATTGAGGTTAGCAGAACAAGCTATACAGGTCAAACGTGGAGAAGTTCGAATGCTTCACTTCGATCTGAAGTTTGTGATGATGATGTTGTTCAGAAGAACAATGAAAGCTCCGCAACCAAAACATCCAGCACACAGAACCAAACACCACCACCACAATTCACATTATATTCAAAGTAATATCAGTATGTAATATAACTGATCATTTATTTTGAAAATATAATTTATCACAGACTGACTGGTATTATCTGTGACAAACTTGAAACATATTCTACCCATTTGATGTTAGTTGAAAGATGATTTGGGTTGACTTGCATTTCATTGGTACATTGTTTTATGGTCTACAAAATAGGGTGCAACGCTTTATAACGTTTACTTCAAAATTAACCTCAAAACCTCCTGATGTATTTAATTTTCACTTATTAAGTAATTTGTGTATCATTATAATAAGAGGATAATTCAATTATATGCTTACTTACTTCATTTTTAACAATTCGATTACATTCTACTGATTGTAGTATTGCATTGTTGAGTCCAATTGCTTTTCTGACTACTCCATTACTAAACTTGAAATAAGCGACAATGAATAGGCCAAAAAATAATTTGGTAAAGTGAAAAAATAATAATAAGTGTGTGTATGCAAACAGAAATGTTACGCTCGTCTCTAGGTGTGCTTAAACTATTACGAGTTCACCTTCGTCGAATAACGAGAACAAAACAATGAACCAGAGTCCAGGTAGGCTACTCTGATCCCTTGACCCAAGTATACCAGCAAGAAGTCTTGATATAGTGTAGAAATTGTATTCTACAAACACACAGCCAGCATACAAGGAATACAAGCACTCAAATCGCGCTTATTTATACTTTATAGAGACGTCCTTGGGACAGTCACAAAAATAGCACACTAAAATGACACGGTAACCAATCACAGCCACGGATTTTGCAGGTGGGAAATGTGATCTCAAGGTGAACTGCTCAGTCCATGAAATAAATTCGAAATAAAGATATTTATCAAGCGATCTCTGGGGATCTAACATCCCCAACAGGAAATAAATTAATAAACGATTATTATTGTGTCAAATCAATTCGTGATTTTGATTGTGAATAAGGAGTGATAGAATTGTTTAGGAGTCAATGTATCCAAAGATTTATTTTTGAAAGGGATTATAAATTATAGTTAAATAATAATTTACTCCGTTTATCAGTTTATTTAAAAATGTTAAATCCTAATGGAAGCTTTTAAGTTCGTAGCTCATGTTTATTTGCTTGCATTATGAACTTATTGTAAACCGAGCAGCATTAGAAAACTGTTTCGTTTTTCGTTTCAAACAGAGATATAAAGTTTATCATGTTGATTTCAATAGTTACAATTATTATCTTTAAAAAGAAGCTCAAACTAACATTATGCAGTAAGATGATTATTCAAAAGTAGAGTAACCTCTGATTATAGTAATAATAATAATGATATCTTCTTAAATTATGTTTACCCTAATTAAGCATTTTCGGTAAGTACATAGTTTAATGCATCCCATAACAAAATTTCGAAGTGAACTTGATAAGAATAAAATGGTTAGTAGAATTATATGATTTTATTTTTATGAAGTATTTTCATTTGTAAACAGATTAGAACTTCATTTAGCTAATAAGTCTATGATAATACGTCGAATACCCTAAAGATGATAAGCATGAACTGTCAGGCCTAATTTTAATGCAAAAAAATAAGAATATATAAATTCAAATTTTAAGAATAATTAAATTAATTTATATTTATATATTAAGGTGACTGTTTACAGCTAAAAAAAGAACCATAAAATAAAATGAAACTTTCTCTTCGGTTTTATTGTTAATAGACTCTCTCTCTCTCTCTCATCAAAAAAAAGTGCATTCCTGCAAAATATTGATTATCTGGATCATTTAATCAAACCAGTTCAAACTGGTAGATTTAGAAGATTTGGTTTTAATGCTGAAATTATTGTCAGTGAGTTCAGTGAGTTTACAGTCTAATAAATTACGTAGTGTAAGAAAACATGAAACGAACTCGCTTTACTCAATTATTTCATTTTATTTAGAATAAATCATGCAATTTAATTCCAACGGTTATAGTGAAATGAAATGAAACGACAAATTATTCTACTTAATGTATAGTGTAAAACGTTTTTCAAATGAATCATTTATGTCAATTACTTCATAGAATTCCATTACAGACATTTCATGGAATTTCATTGTATTAATTAAAAAATTCATTTCCCTAAATAATTATGAATTTTTACAGTTGAAACGATATCCTTGAATAAGATTGATTGGGAATGAAGTGTCACTTTACAAGATGGTCTTTAAATTAAAAGCTGGCCACGAATCAAGTTAAAGTTTGTACTGTTTTTTATAAGTTGTTGAGAAATTTTAATGAAAAATGAACAATTTACTTGTCATGTGCACTTTTGAAAAGTTCACATTTGCAAAAAAAGAGATAATCATTTAGCGCGCCGTGGTTTTCAGTGACACTTCTGTATTTTATGCTAGACAAGCTTAATGGCTTCTGTTATATCAAGTCTTTAGATGTCAGTGTTGGATGGCGTAACTACAATGTTGCTTTCATATCATTAATTTATTTCTTCCTTAACTTAACTTAATGGCCTTAAATAAGTCCATTTTTATTTACTTTATCACAATGAACAAGTGATTAAATGGAAGCTCGAATAATTTTCAAAACATTTAAGATAAATGATTTTCTATTAAAATTAAGCAGTGACCAAATACTGTTTATGTTAGTGTAACTACTTGTGAAATGAACTCTTGTTTCAGGATATAGTTATGCGAAGAAACTATGACAACTCGGAATAGTTACTGCTTACTTAATACTACCAATCATCTAGGCTTGACTTTGAGTCCCAAATTAATTCTGATTGAAATGTCACCTATTATGGTGGATTCATTACTTTGCTATAATGGCATTTCTAATATGAAGTTCTAACTTGGCGATCTCAATGTTTTTTTATGAAGATAACATCAGAGATTAATAAGTTAGATATCGATTGATAAACTTTTGCAGGTATCATGGAATCTTACTATTTAATTTTGTTAAATTTATCTCATAGATGTTTATTAGAAATTATTGTTTCGAATCACAAGTAGTCAGACAGAAATACTGACAATGAATGTTGAATTTTAGAGTAATATGAAATAAGAAAGTAACTTTTTTGCTTACTTGAACAAGTGGAATAAAGCCAACCGAAATCAGTTTTTCAATAACTTCATTTAATACTGTTTCAGGATAAACGTTAGCCATAATTCGCCAACTATCTTCAGTTACTTGTAGGCAAATTAGCATTGCACCAGGTGGAGCATACGCTAATGATTCAATGTGTGTCATTAAATGCTCCAATTTATCATTTGTTCTGTACTGTGAAGTCGGCGCTCCGATTAGCACAAATCTTTATTTACATTGTACAACGATAGCAAGCATAATTGTCATCATAAAGATCAAAATAAACAAGACATAAAATGATAAATTAAATCATTCATATTTATAAACATAATTTAACAATCAAGCTTTTTGAGGGTTTTCAAAATATAGTGGCTTTTCTAAGTGAAAGTATTATTCAGTTAGCTTATATTATGAAGAAAATGGTACACTGATTTAAACCAATATATAATTTTGTATTGTTGGTTAGTCTCTCGAGTGTGTGCTCTTATTAAACAGTAACCTATTGTTTTCTCTCACATCTATTCTTGTCATTATATAAGTAGGTATTTGGAAAATGCATACTCTGTAATCTTGAATTCATAACGGTATATGAAGAATTTCAGTTGCTCTACCGTATTTTTATTATCTAGTGATGTTTATCCAATTGTCTTAAACTTTGTTTCACTTAATTCAAGGCCCTTCTGAATTACTCATCACCTTTATCTTTTTCTCTTAAGTTTATTTCACTAGATGCTACTTCTTGAATAGTATCGTCGAACTATAACATTTCCTATCACTGCTTATACTTCTACTACCTCTACTACTGTGGGATTGGAAGTGACAATTGCACCTCTGTGCTGATGTGGAATGGCGACCTGAACTGATATATCTACGTACGAAGTTCTATGTGGCTGCTGACTGACTAACTCAAGGCCCAGCTTTGGTCACTGGTAAAATTTTTCTCCTTCAATAATTAGATAGATTTCAATATAATTTTGTTACAAATGCGGTTTCAGAAGTCATTTGAAAGCTTTCAGTTATTTAATAAGTCACTTTGTCTTTTTTAACGATAACATAAGTTTTATAGAATAATTTTTTTTTCTACTAGTAACGTAATATATCACCTAATATCAATGTACACATTGTACAGTTAGTTACGGTGTAGTTACAAACAATCAGTGTTTATTTCGTTTAACTGTGACATTATTGACTAAATCAACCGATGTCATCTAAATCTGAGATAGCACGCACCCAAAAAATAACTCATATATAAATGAAATTAAGTATACCTTCATATTTTCAAACAAAGTAGTTTGTAGTTGTTGTTGAAAGTATACCTAACAGAGCACTTTTTTTATTTAACTATTATTACATTAAATCATAACAAATCATTAACCTCAAACAATCTACTTGTGAGTAGTCAAGTTATTGTAAGTGAGTCCATTGATTATAAACAATCAATAAATAATATGTATTGCGGTTAATATAAGTCAGTGACTTTTATTCACAGAATAAACAGCAATAAAAAAATGTAATTAAATTTAAACAATTAAATTAAACATTTTTGTGTGAACATAGAACATGGCTAAATTATGTATTTCTTTGAGGTTACATTTTAACAATCATGTAATTGTGAAAATAAATTAATTTAAATTGAAAAATGAACAAAATATTTTAGAAAAACACATTTATCAATGAAAAAATTTCTTAGAGAAAATAGATAACAATCAATTAAATGTGAATTAAGAAGAAACCTAAAAAGATAATGTATGATGATCAAAGTGAAATGTGAAACTATTAAAATGAAAGTAGATGTTTCAAAAGAATCATTTAACAATTACATAAACAATAAAACAAAAAAAACTACTCTCCTAATACACTTTCTTTAAATTTTATATTCTCAATGGCTTATAGAAATAAAATACTGAATAAGTAATTTCGGCGACGCATATGTTCACTATAGAAACAAACATCTAAACACATTGTCATTCACACATCTTCATTCATCTTTCTTAACTGTTACTACCATGTACATGTACATTTTAAGTCATCAAAAATCATTCAAGACAGCATTGCTTGATAGGCTGTCCAGTTAAGTCATGGATGTGCAACATGAACAGTAATATTAACAGTCTGTAGCTGAGTGTTTTATTCGATTCTCTCAATTTGGACACTACATAAACAGTAAATGTTTATGATGTGCTTGAAACAATTACGAGTGCGGCCTACTCGGTAAACGAGAGTGAAGACAAATGATGCAGTGACACGATAGGCTATTCTGATTCGATTGTCTTCGGCCCTGCTAACTATAGCAAGAAGTCTTGATAAGGCGTAGAAAGTGTATTCTACAAGCACCCAGAAAATATGAGGTTTCCAAAGCACATAAATCGAGTTTATTTATACATGACAGAAACGTCCTTGGGAGAGCCACAAAAATAGCGTACCTAAATAATTCATCAACCAATGACAGTCAAGGATTTTTCGAGTTGGGAAGTGTGATCAAATAGGTCAACTGAGAAGCCAATGCGCGAAAACACAAAATCCAAAATTAGGACTTCAAGTGAGCTCTGGGGATCAAACGTCCCAACAGTAATATATATATATATATATATATATATATATATATATATCATTGAAAGTACTACCTCAATTGAAGTAAATAGCTTACTTACTTTCCTAAAGTTGTTGTATCAAATGATATTGTTCTTTTAGTATAATAAACTGACTGTTTCATTGTATGCCATAATCCACCTCTTATACCAACTAACAAATCTGACCATCCTAACTGAATAAAAATATTATCTATTTTAAAATTTAAAGAATTTCCAGATTCCATACAATCCATATTGTCAAATGATTTTGTTTTAAATATTTCATCTTCATTTATTTCTTTAACATTAGCATTTTGCCAAACAATTTTTTTAATATATCCAGATGGCTGTGATTAATGAGATAAATAGATAGAAAATAAATTTATTTAGATAATTTTAATCAATGAAAAAAGTAACAAATGTAAATTTATATAGTTCGAATGATCATTAGAGGTTTTATGTTGTTTGTTATTCAGATTTAATGAGCTGAATGACTTTGGAATGACTTATTAAACGAAGTTTGTTTCATTTTCATCTGTAAGGTGTAAACTTTCTAAACTTATCTCACTGAATCATACTTCTTGAATAATATCTTCTAATTCTAACCTCTCCGACTACTGTTAATACCTTTACTACCTCTACTACTAATGGATTTGAATTGACAATTATATCTCTGTGCTGATGTGGTATGGCAACTTGAACTGATGTACTTGCGTACGAAGTTCTACGTTGCATCTGACTGACTGACGATATAACGAATTCACTGCTGTTGAAAAAAGAATTGAAATGAAAACTTCAACCAAGTTATTAAGGTCTTATCTTATAGGAAAAAACTGTCAAAACAGTTCATCGTAAAACAATTCATTAGCCAATATCATAAACAAAACATTAATGTACATTCGAAAATTTTATGAAAGTAATTACAGGCTAATGTATACTAATTTAAAGTGTAAATGAATGACATGTACATTACATGTTTCATTAACAATTTCCTTTTGTAGAAGACTATCCCTACTTACCATTTACAGCAATCTTTTAACGTGTTACAGTAATTTAAGTCTGTTAAATCTAAGTTAGTATATATCATGTTAATTTGCCTAGCCGGAATAAAATGCAAAGATTTTTGTAAAAATAATGCAAACCGATCTTTTATCAAAATGAATAAAAAACAAAGGTTCAACTGAAAATTTTCTCAGAACCGAATTTGTTAAAGGTGTGCAAGTATTTTATTTCTTATATGTTTATCTGTTCACCTCTTTATTTGTTTAACTCATAAACAAACTAAAATAAGTTAACTGGATTGGCGAAATTAATGTCAGGGAGTTAAATTCATAAAAATGTTCAATATATACTAAAATAAAATTCTACTTAGATATGAGCTTCCCATATAAAGATCTATTCATCGTAACTATTCAAATTACTAACAATTCATTGAAAAAGAGTTTATCACACTGAGCTAACAAATTCTAAGTGCACAGAATGTAAGTCATGAAACGATAATGCCTTATGAAGTTCAAAATAAATAAATTTCTGATGTCTTAGTGCTATTATGATGACAGCGAATTTCAAACATTTCAATGGCTTGAGGTATTAATTTTAGACTCTTCTTTATTGTGCAGAGTGAATGTTAGTTAGTGAGTTTTTGATTTGATTTCCTTTTTGATTGACAAGATATAATATTCTTAATACCTAAATAGTTTTCAATAAATGCTTGTTTGTAGTAATAGATCAACCTTCACATTTATATAAAATAACTGGAAAAGTACACTTCCTAATCTATCAGCTTTTCATTAAATTCCGCTTTATCCTCTTCATTATCACATGTATGATAACTTTTTCAAGCATCGATCGGTTAAGATTTTTTAGAATGAAGGTGTAAACTAAACATCACAAAATTGATCTAGTCCGCTTCTGTAGAACACTTGAAGTATACACTAGTACTGTTTTCAGTTTTGTAGTATACTGACCAGGAAATCTTATATTCTGTTTTCCTGTAGCCTATCAGATGAATTCTTTTGAAACGAAAATGAAAATCAACAAAAAACAAATGAGAAACAAAGCATACCTGAAATAGAACAGTCAATCTATCCACTGTAGATAAAGCTTTACTTGTATTTTCTATATGATTGATAGCTGTAACTGGTAAACTATCCATTTCACCACCATTCACAATGATACCAGTTCGTTCTGAAGAACTTAATGATTTATTATTACATTTATCAATATACCATTGTGGTAATGGTAAGTGAATTGTTGCTGGTCTTTTCAATACTACATTACGTAGTTCAAATTCAAAAATATCCGAACAACCTTCAATTTCATTGAGTTGTGAATCGAATTGACAAGCTGAATTTAACAAATTATTTCTTATTTCTATTTTCTTTAAATTTTCACATAATACAATGTAAATAATCAATGAGAAAAAGGGAAATGAAAATCTGGAAAAATTAAGAGGTTTTTAATCAAATAACAATGTATAGTGAGTGTAATAAAGTGTAATTATTAGTGAATTATTTATCTAGGTGATTTGTGAGGATTCCTTAGAACTAAAGATGGATTCTGCCATGAGTTAACTATGAAGAAGATTAACAGTTATTTAGCCAGATGCTAAGGAATTACAGTTGTGGGCTTTCATGAACCAAGCTCATGAATGTCAGATTATGTGACAGCTAAACGACTATTAATTCAAGCTTGAAACAGGAATTATTAATGCTATTGTCAGTCTAAGATTTACATCGATTTGAAGTTCAGGCGTAGAATGCAACATTTATCCACTGTTTTCCCTATGTTCAGTTGGTTATCAAACCAATGTTTGATTGTAAATGAAAGTATTTCAAAATAATCATCATATCGATCAAAAATTAAAGAATGTTGTATTTTTAAACTAGCCTAACAGCAGTAAGCCATCATAAAATCTCATTGAAATTACAGTACGTACTGTGTTTTGTATTGTTTCACCGACTATTTCAAAAATCATCACACTTTATGTCTAATATGTGTTAGCTTGAGGGCATTGGTAGGGTTGTATTTATAAATAGTTATAATAAATATTGGTCACATCTTTGTTTCTTTTTTTTGATGTTTTTGTGATTGGATTGGAAAGTATTTTAATAGAATAATGGAGTTTAAAATGACATTTAGTTAACTGGATGCTCATTACAAGTTTTTTTCATTTAGTGGATAAAAAAACAACGAAGGGACAAGGTATGAGAACACTGAATGATACACACTAATACTATTTTATCCATTTTCTGTCAGCCTGTATATATATTTTATGTATGGTTTACATCTGTATAGTTGTCGATACATATTTCAGTTGAATGCTGTACTGTAAAATTCACAGCTTTACTTACATTTCCACCTTCTTAAACATTGGAGTCTAAAAATGACAGAAAATATTAATATTTTCAAAATAAAGTCATCTTTGTCATAAGTCTTCATTCGGCTGTCATCGTTCTCATGTTTCATTCTTGTTAAAATATTTTCATATAACTCTAGCGTATTAAATATTACAGAATAGTTAGTATTTTAAGCTCAAAAAAGATTGCTTACTTTGAAAATAGTTTGTTCAGAAGTAGGACAGACGCATTTCGGTATACGTACAGATAAGAATGGATCAAGTAATGGAGACAAAAATAATCCACCAGTACGATTTATACAAAATTGTTCTGCCTTGGTTGAATTCACCAACACATAACAATGATTTAATTCATCTGTGTGAATAAAAACACCACCACAATAATTTTCAATTTTATTCATAAAATCATATGGTGGATTGTCATCATTTGATTGATGATAATTTTGTTGACTTTTAGCACTCTTCAAATTACTTTTCTTCATTGTTGATTTACCCGAATCCATTGAAAGAGAAGAGAAATCCCATGAAGAAGCAGTATTTGGTGACCATCGACTTGTTTGTGATGTTAATTTGCTAGCTTCTAATGGCCAGTCAACAAAAGGAATTGTTGGCTGAACAATCTAAAAGCAATAAAATAATATCAATCTCTTTTTACGAAGAAATAACTTACTTACTTACTTACGCCTGTTACCCCCAATGGAGCATAGGCCGCCCACCAGTTTTCTCCAACCAACTCTGTCCTGGGCTTCCCTTTCCAATTCTGTCCAATTTTTGTTCATTCTTCTCATGTCTTTCTCTATTTCTCGGCGTAATGTGTTCTTTGGCGTTCCTCTTTTCCTTTCGCCTTGAGGGTTCCTACTGAGGGCTTGTCTTGTGATGCAGTTAGTTGCTTCTCGTAGTGTGTGTCCTATCTACTTCCAACGCTTCTTTCTGATTTCCTCCTCCACTGGATTCTGGTTTGTTCTCTCCCATAGTAAGTTGTTGCTGATGGTGTGTCTAGCCAGAAGTATTTTGCGAAGACAACTGTTAATAAACACTTTATATCTTCTGGATAATGGCTTTGGTAGTTCTCCAAGTTTCCTCTCCATACAGTAGAACTGTCTTGACATTTGTATTGAAAATCCTGATTTCGGTGTTGGTTGATAGTTGTTTGGAGTTCCAGATGTTTTTCAATTGTAGTAATGCAGCCCTTGCTTTGCTGATCCTCGCCTTTACATCTGCATCGGATCCACCCTGATTGTCGATGATGCTGCCCAGATATGTTAAGGTGTTAACGTTATGGATATAACTTCAAAATATCACAATCAGATACACGAACAACCGAAAGTTCTAAACTATAGTGAAGCTGCTTAAGTTTGTCACGTTATCACGTAGTAGAAAGGGATATTGAATAACTGAATTTTTAAAAATACTAATTGATGAATTGAACAAACGGTTGAATTGCTGCTTGAAAAAAAAGACCTACTTCTATCAATTAAGATTTGTGTCCATTTAAAATAAGTCATTTATTTTATATTGTCTAATATACTTTAACAACTAAGATTGTCATCATTTTTTAGTTAAACTAGTTGTTTTTAATCCCCTCCTACTTTAAGCATAAAGTAGGCAAGAATAATATGAAAATATAATGTAACTCAAGTATCCCATACAAAACAAGTTTGTACACCCCACCAGTCTACTTATATCTGATACCGAAAACTTAAACTTTAACACAAAGCTACTCGTATAGCAGTTCAATAGTTCAAAAATGTTGTTTGAACACAGTGATCATCTGTATGCTTTATATTTTCCATACTTGTCAGTACCGTAAAATAGGGTAGTAAAGGAAAACCGAGAGTACATTCACACTGTATACCAACTGTTGATAGATAGTAAGTTGAATAACTAACAACCTAAACAGAGTAAAGCAGTGAACTAAATTCGAGTTTTGTACTGAAAACTGTATAGAGAGATAGAAATATTAACTGATTCAACGATATATTTTCTTAAAATCTAGTTGGTTGTACATACATGCCAGTCTAGAGCTTTTGTTATGTAATCTTAGCGAGATCATGTTACATACCAAACAGAATCCGGTAACTAAGGTCATTACAAAGTAGTGAACCATTGAAAGGTACCAGTCTTTTACCGATTAGAAATTCTCTTTGAATGTCAGTATTTCAATTTTTTTCTCCAGATGAATATATTTTTGCACAGTGTCTTCTTTAACACAGAGATAATGTTCTCTCTCTTTAAAGTTCATTTACATTTCAATAAGCCATTTTCATTTCTTCCTAGAATTTTCTTTGAATGAAAAATGAGTTTATATTCACTGTGATAGGTAAAGGATATTACTAGTGTTTTTATTTATAGGTTTATTGGTATTAATTTTATTTACTATTAATATAAACTTCAAATCTATCTTAAATTCAAATCACTCTCTCTCTTATCAGTCATACCTCTACACACGAAACCTTTGACTTATTTGTTATTTTAAGAATAATTTGAGTTGAATAATAAGATCTATCGTGTTCAGAATAAGACTTAAATCACAGTATTTTAAGTACTCCAGAAATGCAGTGATTGGTGATTTTAAATGATCAATTTCAGTTTACTTAAAAAATTGTAATATTGAACATTAGTTAAACTAAAAATATTACTTACCGTAAACTTGTTCACTACATGCCAACTATCATCTCCAAGATGGCATTGTAGTAGAGAAACACTTCTAGCATCAATTAAACTGGGTGCATTTGAAAGATCATCTCCAAAATGCATTGAGTATGATGATTTCCCTTTTAGTTTAGCCGAATTTTTACTTGATTGAATGCCGTCAAATACTGTGATGAAATAATGAGAATAGTTATTCTATATATACATATATCGATGTTCAGTAGAATGTTCATAGGTTAGTAAAAATTACGTATTTACGTATAAGTGATATATTTACTATCTCATGGTGAATGAAAAATATCAACCCAGAAAACGGAAGTTGATGAGCCAAAAAAGAAGGAATATCTCTAAGTTCATTCAAAACTTAAAGTTAGATAAAGAGAATCCTAACCTCTTTTATTAACCATATGTTGCTGTTAGAAAACTCAACTAGAAATTTTGCACCTTGTGATAGGGTTGAGTCCAGCGATCGGTTATTTAGTACACTAACCTTATGTGATGGTTTGTCTATCCTCTACCTTTTTTGTCCAAAGTAAATCATGACTAACTTTAGGCTTTAGTGTTATTTATTATAAATGTACATTCCATAAATAAGCACTGAGCAGAACGTCTCTTGGCTATTTTATTTGGCAGTTACTGATTTGTAAAATGTTATTTGGTTGTTGGTTGTGATTTTTTTCGTTTTATTCTCCTAGCTTCTGAAGAGACAGAGACCAAGTAATATTGTAATGAACGAACATAGTAAGATCAGATGGAATAAGTGATTATTTTAAGGGAGATAGTTTATTTATCTTCATACTTTTACATGCAAGACAAGAGGATTATCGGCTGTCTTCTTCTATAAGTTATCTAGTCTTAAAACACTTTGATCGCGTCATACATCCGGATCCGTTACTCTTAGCTTTAACAGTAACTTTAGGGCAACACTCTTCCGCATATCCAGTACATGCTACTTCTAAACCACGTTATGAGTAGTATGCACAGTGCTTGCAGCAAAACCAGTGACTCAGTGAAGATACTGCTATTTGAAGATTTCGCCAAATTAATGTGTTTCTGTTACACTCGTCTCTAGGTATGCTTAAACTATGACGGGTTCACCTTAGTCGAATAACTAGAACAAAACAGTGAACCAGAGTCCATGTAGGCTACTCTGATCCCTTGACCCAATTGTACCAGCAAAAGTCTTGATATAGTGTAGAAATTGTATTCTACAAACACCCAGCCAGCACACGATGAATCCAAGCACTCGAATTGAGTCTATTTATACTCTATAGAGACGTCTTTGGGACAGTCACAAAAATAGCACACTAAAATGACACAGTAACCAATCACAGCCAAGGATTTCCATGGTGGGAAATGTGATCGGTCCATGAAATAAATCCAAAATAAAGATATTTATCAAGTGAGTTCTGGGGATCTAACATCCCTAACACTTTTCTTTATTAATAAAATATAAAAGGATTTTCCGCGTCTCTGTTGCTAAGCGCTTTTCATTGTTTTATTGCCACCATGATACGAAAAACATCTTCATTAAAAATGAGAATTACATTAGATCTGAATTCATTTAGTGAAGCGTTTATTTTTGATGAAGTTTTCTGAATATGATAAGTTACAGTGGTGCATAATATTTGAACCATTATTTTAATAGTTTACTTAGCTAATCGTTATCCCACCTAGCAATTAAATTGATAAATTATGACACACATCAATACAATGAATAATCTGTTACAATGAATTTTTTTCTAATAAATCATAGCCGGTTAATAGCTTTTTTTTATTTAGTTAAAATGTTGTCGAATCATTTTAGCCCGATTGAGAAGTTACGGAATAAATAGAAAAACTTAAATATATTATTTGAATAAGAATTATAGGTTTAGTTAATATTTCATTTTAGCTTACTTGAAATTTTAGAATCAAGTGTTTTTGTGTATTCAAATGGTACACTAATGGATCCAGATGGATGATACATTTCACGAGCAGCAGCAAAAGAGAAAGGAATAAATACAGCAACTGGCATTTTGAACTTGACTGGCGAATACAACATATGCACATCACTTGCCATTCGCATGTCTGGACCTAACCATGGTCCTATAGCTCCTCTGGCTGTACTTGGAAATGCTGCGCAGATAATTCGTTCATTACGTCCAGTGGATGCATATGGTGGAATTTCAACTTTAACACCATGAGCAGATAGGAAAATACCTCCAATTCTTTTAACTGGTACACTTTGTTTAAGAGGACAACTTCTAAAATATTCAGTAATTAATCAATGAATTAACGACTCAATGTGAATCGAAACTTATACATGTCTTTATTAAATAGGCTATAAGTTTTTTTTTATATTCCAGTATCATTATCTAACATCGTTAGGTTTAATAACTAACTTTAGTAACATTGAATATAAACAATAATACACATAATTTTGCGTTTCCTTATTAAGGATCCGACTTTTTCATGTAAGTCAAGACGTATATATATATATATATATATATATATATATATATATATATATATATATATATTACCATATCAGAGATTCAAAGCTCAGAATCTTTATTTATCTGATACCTAGAATCAATTCAGAGGTTAGTTCAATACTACTTTCTGTTTATTCATCACAGATAAATATTATCTATTGGCAAAAGATACCATAAAAACCAATGCAGTATAACACCTAATCATATAAGAGATTTATAGGGATAACTGAATTTTCATAGACTGTCACAAACTGATCTTAGACAAATATTCAAAGTTTGGAAGTAATAAATAGGCAGATGTCTCTTTTTAGCGTAGCACTCATCAGAAGTAGTCAGTAGCTGATGCGATTTGTAAAAATCCCACAATCAGTGCAAACCTTCCATTATAATAATAATAATCCTTTGCTCATTAGTGAATCAGTTTAAGACTCAAACTCCTAGTATTCTTGTGAAAAAAATACTGTGATTAGTGGATTTTAAACGTGTTAGTTGTAAGACCATAATCTACTTTAGGCAAAGGATAATGAACTCGCAGTATTACTAATCGAATGAACTTAGATAGATGCTAAATGTGGATTTCAGCTCACTTCAAAAGTCTTGGATTTAATCTCAAAACAGAGAATTGGGAATGTGCATTGATTAAAAGTTACATACTATGACAAGATAACTATCCAAAGTGGCCAGGTTGTCAATTTTCGAAACACTAAAATCAGCTCATTATGTAAAAAGTTAACAAATCCTATTGTAATCTTCTTGTCAATTTTCCCAACTGTATGTTCTATGTATTTTGTATTTAAAAATTCAAATAAATTTGTTTTTAAATCGTCAGTTAGATGAGTAAAAGACTAATAAAAGGTTAGTGAAACAAATGTTATAATCAAGTACAGAAACGTATAACAGCTTATTGGAAATCGTAGGTTATCTTTCAAGATTTAAAAAAGACTGACAATAACGTTTAGTACATCAGTGTTAGCCATTTTTGTTACAATCGTCATTTCTTGTTACGGTTTCGTGTATAGTTCAGAACTTTTTGTAAAGGAAAATTTAAGTATCATTCACATTTAGCTTAGATTAACATACGATTCAATTCGTTACGAGACTATGTATAGTTTTAAGCTGGATGTCAGCCTTAAATTTGTAATCTGCATTAATTAAGACTAACAATTACGTTTCTAAAAATCTAGAAAAATATGATTTAAACTATCTAAATGGTGCTAACAGTTCTCTTGGAGAATTTACCTTGAAAATCTACAAACTTTACCCCCAATAGGACTAACAGCAATGTACATGTTTATGAATCACATTCACAAATCAATACAACTACATTCATTTCTTTCATATCATAATACTACATCAATTAGAATTAGTATACTGGTTAAATGCAGACAGATAACACTAGTCTAATTCACCTCCCTTGACCGTTAGTTCATGATATCATCAACTGACTTCGTTAATTTGTTACAAAGCCTTACATCTATATTATATTGACTCAATCTAATGAAAAATATTAAAATAAAATAAACTCACGCATTTTTTACATCGAAATTAATCAAATTAGCTATATATCCTTCATTTTTCGTCTCTTTGCTTGGTACTTTAGGACTCATCACCTCTTAACAAGAACAAATATTCTAGTTTTCTGAATTCTGTAATCAACAATCAGTAGTAGTCCGTGGTTATTTATGTATTATCCCACTGACTCTTTCAATATCTATCACAAAGATTTATTTGATGTTGGTGGAGTTGTCTTCTCTAATTGAAAATAGAAGTAAATTAATATAAAAATTAGTTGTTTTTTTCTTTGAATCAATTATGGAGATTTTATCATATTGTTGCAAATGTGCATAGATCTCTAGCTCCTTTTTCCTAACTATTATTCTTTGTTTAATACAATTGATGAAAATTGATTTTCTGGTTTATCTAATAATATATATATATGTCCAATTATTAGTTTACTCTATGATTAAAGTACTTATGTATGTACATTGTATGTATGTGAGTGAGTGAGTGAGTGAGTGAGTAACAATGAAAATAATAATAATAATTTGACCTCTGAAAACAACGAAACACCTTAGCCGTATAAACTATCATCAAAAATCACTTGATCAAAAAACAAAACTTAATTTGACTGAGCACCAGCAGCTAGCAAATCAAAACAGTATTGATAACTTTACTAGTTAGTCTTGACACTATCTACAATATCACTGATTCAAGAAAATATGGAAAGTGATTAACAAACCAGGGTGTATGTTCGTGTTCTATTTGGTAATTGTCAGCTAACCGCATAGGGTACACATATGTTGACTAATAAGACTTAGTGAATTTCAATTAAAATATCAACAGTTGGATAATTCAATGAAATAATGAATTGAATTGTGATAAACTAATATTTCTGTCATGATTTTTACTTCAGTCAAGAAATGAAATTATTTACGCTAACATTTTGAATTCACTTTTTTCATAAATAATTCTCTACATAGTGAATCAGAAGAATATTAACTCTTTGCAGCGAATAGTTAAATAGCCTTATTCTATTATTGATTTAACTACGCATAATAATTTATCTACTATTTACACTGCTATCAAACTGGTTCATCAAAAATTGTATTCATTAATATGAAAAGCTTATAGAGTATGAACAGTATTGTATGAAAATTAGTATGTAATACAGTTGATTGAGTTGAAATCATGAAAAGTACATAAAACTTATTAAGACATCAAATCCAAATAGTAGGGAAACATTTTTAAGTGTATTAGTTATCAGTTTATTTATTGACAAGAATAGCAGCTATATTGTTTTATTATAGGCAATCGAATTTAGAATGTGCGCTTCGTTCAGTTTTCGGACTCGTCAATATCCATACTCAGATACAAAGTCGGATTGAACGATTGGAGTCCATAAGACAAGCGTTTGGAGGAAATGCAAACCTTTATTTTTATAAAATGCACAATATTCAACTCCGATACGTTCGATGTTAATGTACCATGAAAATTTTGTACACAGATGAACAAATAACAAATGTTTATTAAACGTTGAAATGTAATTTACTCATAACCAGTGAAAATTTGGGAAATTTATGAACTGAAATTCTTTATCTAACTACATACTGTAATCAGTATCAATTAGATATATTGTTTATAATGTGAGCAATTTTAACGACAGAATCACATTCCAGTGTTAGAAGAGATGTCAGTTCAAATCCAATAGTGGTAAAGATAGTAGAATTATTAGCAGCTTGGCGTGAAATAAACTATGAAAACTATCAATCAGTCATTCAGTCAGTTACAAAGTACTTGAGTACATAAGTTCAGGTGGCCATACCCCCTCAGCATAGAGACGTAACTGTCAGTTCAAATCCCATAGTAGCAGAAGTACAAGTAGTGATAGAGAAGATTAGGGTTCGAAGATATGATGAAAAGTATAATTTAATACAATGACTTTAGAAAGAGAAAGATGGAAATGATGAAGAATTCAGGAGGTTAGAATTTGAGAGAACACAATGAATGAATGCATCTGCTCCATTGCTAACGACTTTGAGTTATATCGGCCAAGGTCTCTAACCGTTGGTGACTATCGTCTCGCGGACCCCAACCAGGTAGTCTGCATCTACCAATATCACTCAGTCCACTTGTCAGTGACTTCATGGATTTGTGCCATGCTTGGGTTTGGCCGCCCCTAGCTTTCTTCCAACCTACTCCTACACCACAATACATAGCTCGTCGCATACGTAACGCATGTCCCAACCTCCTCAACTGATGAAGTTTCATTACTTCATCTATTGATTTGGCATCCTCACCTAGAACTCGTTTCCTAACGACATCATTGCTTATACGGTTGTCCCAGGATAGGACGGAGCGAACTGCAGCACAGTACACTTGCCCTTTGGTTAGCAAGCGGATATCTCGCCTGCACCATAAGTGACGCAGGTTGGCAGAGGCCTATCGAGTCTTCTGTATCCGTGCTTAGATCTTGTCAGTCACCAGGTCATCAGCACTGATCAGACTCCCCAGATAAGTGAAGCGGTCTACATACTCGACTACTTCACTCCCTATCACTAGTTCAGGTGCCGATGCAACCCAGTCTTGAAGCAACATTTTGCATTTCGAGGATGAGAACCGCATCCCGAACATGCATGCATTGTTGCTTCGGGTTGTCGGAAGACTCTGCATTTTGTCAGCGTCTTCACCGAATAGAACTATGTTATCGACATATTCTAAGTCAATAAGCGAGCCCCCTGGTAGGTCTACTCCTGAAAATTCAGACGAAGATAGGGTTATATCTAGTAGCATGTCTATGACAAAATTAAAATTACATTGAACAGAAAATAATGATAATATATTACTAAATAACAAAAGAATATTTGTTTTATGTTGCTAAATTTGGAATAACCGACTGTCAGTACCATGTTCATACATCCAATCCAACTTCATTTATAATAGTACACTAAAGTTATGATGATGTCTAGTGTCTGATAGTATCATAGATTGTAGTCTTTTATCCGAACTTAGGTTTATTGTCACTGTGTAGAAGAATTTCACTCAACTCTAACAGTAGACTATTGGATAGAACGAAAGAAAACCAAATACTGACCATTGAGTTGATGTAAGTAGGCACTGTAGTCATTCATAGCAAACCATATTCATTTAGCTTATTTGATTAAGGCAACTTTCTTTTGGTTGTACTATTCAATAATTAACTTGAGTTTTTAATCGATTTTACACAGAACGACTCAATAAGTATTTATTAAATATTTAATAATTTTAAGGCTAAGAAAATGAAATACTTTGAGCTAAAAGAAAAATTGTCCCCAACTTTTAAATCCCAGTATGATATTGTCCTTAAAAGCTTATTTATTTGGTCAACTAAATAATATGTTTTTTAATTCAATGAAGTAAAGAAGCTTAACGATACGTTTGTGTTATTTTAAACGTTTATTACATTCAATCGACCTTACTAGTGCTGAGTATTACACTTCTGTCTTATAGTCACGAATAAAGTGTTTCTTCATAAAGCACTAGATACTTTGAATGAATACACAGACCAGTTAGTCATAGTTATCGAAGAACACTGTTGTTAATTCAAGTTATCGATTATTCATTTATATAACGCTCAATTATAGATGGTCAAATAAGCCTACTAGTATTTTTTAATCTCGAATAAACGCTATACTTTTAACAGACGGAAATTATTTCATTCTATGGTAAAAAACATGATCAACTTAGTCTGTTTTTCTGTTCACCATATGATACTACTTTATAACGATAAGTAGCAGATTCAGTTATTGATCAAGTTTGCACATTGTCACATATATTATCATTTTATTGCAGTGAGTCATCTAATTTGTCCATTCAATCCCTTGTTGCTACATATTACTTCATTCTTTTACATAGGCGTACACTGTTCTCCCTTCGCATCGTTTATTTTCAGTGAAAATCCTTCATGTAGTTACCTAAGACAATAGTGTACTGTTCGCCAAATTATAATTAGTGCTGTGACTGATTTCTTATCCCATCGGTTAGATCATTAACGTCTGAATTTCCTACTATCTGAGCTTTGTAAATTCTCAATTCTATACTTTCAGAGTGATTTTATCCTTTGGTTTCAGGAATTCGGTAAATCAGTTCGTGATTTGAATTAAAATTTGGTTAAGACTAATTTACACTGTACACTGATTGATTAATGGATGGTGATCATTGTTACGTTTATACAGTCGTTAATCCTAATGCAATTCTATCGATCACATTCTAATGCGGCCAGTAGTATAAGTGACTCAACATCCATCTTATTTATATTTTTACATTACATAGCAATATGAAATGGATGAGTTAAAATAATTAACCTAAGTAACTCATATTATTTTGTGAAGTTTTAACATCCAAATTGTGCATTAAGTCATTTGTCAGCAAGATTTCCAAAAGTTGACTCAAATCCACTAAACGTTACCACAATATCGAGTCTAAATAGTTAGATACGTCAGAATACATTCATCGAATGCAGTTTTTATTAAGCACAATCACCTCTCATAAACTCTCTGTAAAGGGTGAAGTAGTCTTTTCACTGAGGAATATTATGTTCAAATGTTTGAAATTATAAAACAGTGTCTTAGTTTCCGATGGTATTTGGTTTGATATCGACCCTTGATTTATTTAGCACAAAAACAGCTATATTAATTAAACTGTCTATTGTATGACACGAAATATTTTCACATTTTTCAATGATTCAATCCAAACCGTGACATAATCGATACACATTCAAACAAGTATAACATAAATATATCCTCATTCATCCAAAGTTCACAGTGGTATACACTTGTGATTTTCATTTTTATATGTGATTCATTGTTTTAGTGTAACTATCTCGGTCACCTTATTAAAGTAACAATTTTAATTTGTATATTCGGTCTCGAACTAGGTAAACAATGTTTACACTAGAATAACTGAATAATGATGAAACAATGCATATAAGTAAATAAACATATACATATGTAATTTCATGTACACATAACAATTTTTCACATGACATACCTAGTATGGCTTACCAGTTTTAAACGATTAATTTTCAATTGTTTAAATGATGAGCCTGCCTATATACAGTGTCTGAATGTAACTTGATTTGTCACAAATAACATAAATGTGTATAATTTCATTGTTCAGTGTAAGTGTATTATTATCTAACACATTTGAAAAATCAGGATGACAATGGATTTTATGCATAAAATGTCAAGAAATCACTTATCTCTCGTATACTTTATATTCTTGTATTCGCTACTCATAAAAGCTCAAAGTATCACTGATAGAAATTTATGGCAAATTATCACTTCATATCCGAATGCTACTAAAGTGAGTTTTTTATTGATTATTATTATTATTATGATTATTGTAACCTTACTCTGATTTGTTCACTTGGTGTATACAATTTATATTGGATTAATAGGATGTTTTCTTAGTGTAAATTAGTACAAGACCATCACAAGAATGTGCAATTAAATCCAAAATCCTTAGAAATATAATTTCAACCAAACAGTTAAATAAAAAAACTAAACAAGTCAAATATTTGAAGAATCGAACATGGCAGGTCCTATTAAGACTAAAACTATTTAAAACTCAGAAGATTGTTGTTTATTCACATTACGGCATGCATTAATGGCTTAGTTTAAAAGTCCTATGATTGAGCAATGACAGAATCGATTAAAATGTTGTCTAGTAGTTCGTGGTTCTCGCTTATAGTTCAGATGGCATCGATTTTTTAACAGATGACCTCTGGAGTAAATATCCATGATGTCATTTGTTAAACATCATTTGTCTTACCTACAGGCTATTATGAATATTCAGTTTTAGATCATGTTACCATTAATAACAAAAATTTTAATATAAAGCTATCACATATGTGAATATTTTTTTAAGTAGAAATTCAGTTCAATGAAAAAAATAAAAAGCAATACTTGATCACATGACTTAATAACTTATCATCTGATTAGAGACAGTAGTTAGTTATGAATAGAGCTGTGTAACGAATCTTATATTCAACAAAGTCAACAGCGAATTCTAGCTTTCAGTTAAATGGGTTCAGTGTTCTGTTTCACCATTTACACTCATCCACAAAGTCACACACTACTATAAGCAATTTACAAGATTGATAATGAGTAAGATTTGTGCATGAAATAAGACATTTTTCGAGTCACAAATCTTTCACTTAAAATGAGATAAATCTCATTACGTGTAATGTATATTATTGAATATTCATGCTTTCTACTTATCAGAAATTGAATCGCTTCTACATAGATTATCACTAAACTAGACTGAATACATATCAAAATTTGACAACTCCGACATACAGTGATGAACTAATACCCTATTGCACGTATCAAATTAAGCTACAAAAATGATACTTTTTCTATGGATCTCATTGTTTTCTCACATAGTTTAGGGTATGGTGACAGTATATAAATCAATTTTCATTATGATTAAAATTAAGTTTATTTCTAATAATGTTCAGTAACCGTAGTTCTTACTGAGTTCACCATCAGGTCTAAGTTAGACAACTAAACATCTCCACAACTACATACTGATATGATGATAGAGATGAGAAATGTGCTTAATGTATGTAAATCTATATTACAGTTTTAGTTGTATTAGTCTAGACATACTGACTGAATTACGTGATCACAAATAATAAACTAGACAAATGATTTAAGTCCAACTTTTAAAATAAACAATATCACTGTTTCTTTAACTATAATCTCAGACTACTTTTTAAGTGGATAAATTTAAAATTAGTTATAAAATCGGTTGCTTTTTCTACTATTATTTTCTTGTGTAATACTACGAATTTAAAAGAGTCATTTGAATAAATAATCTTTAATTCGTAGTAACCCCGCAATCACATAGAAAAACACATAAACTCACCTTCACAACCTTGCTAAACAAATGTATCAATCTAAACTGTTTTTTCATAGATTATTTAAAATATTATTCTGTTTTACAAATTTCATTTTCTAAACATCCTATTAATTGTCTTATGTTATTTATTCTAGTTTGTAGATTTTATACGAGAAATAGGATTGCAGAGTTTACTTGAAAAGCCCGGTTGCCTTGGTGATGATGAATGCCTGACAATAATTTTGCCTACAAATGATGCAATCGATGTGATTGCTAATGATTTAGCATGGTATACTTTAAGCGATTATCAAAAACTTTCATTTATACGTGGTCATATAATTCAGAGTATGTTTTTCAATCAATGAAAAAACCAGAAGCATTCTTTATCGTTGTTTTATTTTTCATGTGTGTTAAACTTAGTTTTAATAAAATACGCGGTTGTAACTCAAAAATACTCATACATACTGATGAAAAGATACAACAAGAGAATTAATTGAAGTCTTGTGAAATCACCATCGTAGTTAATATTAGATGATAATAAGCGAAGCATTTTGTAGGAAGTATTCGACACTATGAATGTGATCAATATCCGTCTATGGATACAGAGGTGAGATTCACTACGTGTTAATTGAGTCAACCTTGTGATAGGAGAAGAGGTACAGCCAAAATATCCTACATTATCTGTTATTCTCATCGCATCTCGTCAATATTCACAATGTATAACTATTGTTAACTAATCTTTCTAAATGTAAATTTTTCGAACTACACTTAAACCAATAAACAAGGATGAATGTGTTTGTAAAATTCGTCGCACATTCGGTACAGTCGGAGACAAATAAAAATACTCCTTGTAGGCAATCATCTTTATCCTAGTAGCATTCTGAGATGATCATAGACAATTTATCTAAGTATGAAGTTGTAGCACTTAGTTAAATAAGTGTATAAAAGTTTTTTCAATAAGATTATGATTAAAGTTCACTTAACCTATAACTTATTATGGTCATTTTGATTGATAAAGCTGAACTGTTTACCGCTCTAATAAAGGAAAATAACTTGTACCTGATTTGTGAGTTGAACTTCTTGTAAACTCTACCAGTCTTTTAGTATTCCTACATCTTAATGGAAAGACTGGTAACAAGAATGTTGTATTTTATTGGTTTAACAATTTTGAGTGATCTTTATATTCGTAAATTCCTAAGAATTCAACATTCAAATCCAATCATTACTCGATAAAACATTTGCAAATCATATTTCAACTGCATAACATTGTTAAGTAATGGATTCGAAAAAGAACCGATATTTATTTGATTCTTATTAGTAGTTCATTGGTCATAGATTCTAAGTAACTTATTATTTCTTCTCTTATTTCAGGAGGCATTACTACGGATCAGTCATCTGTACGTTTAACAACCAGAGAATGGACAAAATTAGGTCAACAAATGAATTTCATCGATATTGGATTCGGTACAGGCGTGGAATATACAACATTATTTGCTAAACAACGATTCGGGTTTTCAACTATAGTGAGTTAACAGATTTTGTTTGTCAAGCAAATATTTTTTTTAGGATTTAACCATAACATGAATTAAAACTTTCAAATACAGATAAATCTTCAATGGCATTTAAAGATTATTGCAAAAATAGTAGCAGTTTGTCTAATTTACAACAAGAACTTAATTTTTCAATCGTACAACACTCAGCGTAACGCCAAAAAGTGTTATATTTCATGCGAACATTTGTTGACCAAATTAGAAATTCAAACCTAAGGGTGTTTATTGATCAATGCAGTAGAAATTTCTTTATTTAAAATTTTTATTCATCAAGCTGTGGTGTCTGAATAATTTCCTTGGACCATTTATTCGGATAATCATTCTTTCGTTGTGGGTTTTAAGTTGGTGAAAAACATAGAGAGATTGGGTTATTTTTTTTAAAAAGGTATAAAACGGAAAAGGCGTCACCTTATGATATTCCTATGGGTCAGGAGTTATGAAGTAATTGAGGATGAAAGTGCATTGGGAAAGTTACATCTCATCACATGATATAAATCAGTTTAATCGATTTTTATTTAACATATTATTTTCAAAACTCAAGCTGTTGTAAAGAAATCATCTTTTTCTGAGCATTTGTCTAGGAGTATCATTATATTTTTATTAAATCTGCAAAAGATGGTCTCGAGTCATTACGTGTTTTTTTAATCCTATTTCATGCTCCTAGTATGCCTATTATTACGCCAAATTATCCATTTTCTGTCAATTTTTTATTTTCCATAATTGCTTTATTTTACAGTACAGTTTTTATAACCCAACCGTAACTTCTACCTTATCGTGATGGTTGGGCTTGCCTGTCGTGATGACCCAACCGTGTTATACGGGCTGGGACATCTGTTCCTCTAGATTCTACCATGCCAGACAGGTCGATTGGAGAACGATGAGACTAAAAGCAGCTACTCAATGTCTGATGAGGGGGAAGTCGTACTGCTGACTGTAGAGGGGTGTAACAACAGTAAGGTAGTTTTCCTCAGACAACCAGGCTGAATGAAAAGGAAAGACACCTGGGTGGACCTTATGGTTTCGCGACTGATCGAGCAGATGATGGTGACCGTCTGTTGCAGCTATGGTCAGATAACCACCCATTTCTAGCAGCTTAAGGGCAGGCTGATAAAAAGCCTACGCAACGATCGTGAACAGTGGTGGGTGGCGAAAGCGAAAGCGATGGAAAAGGCAACGGTGATACGCAACAGCAGACAGTTGTTCCTCCTTATCAAGGAAATTGGTATTAAAAGTCCATCTGTTAGCGAAACTATCGCAGAAAAGGATGGGCTTATGATTCATTCTCAACCCAGGAGATTGGACCGATGGGCAGAACACTTCAGGGACCAGTTCAACTGATCTTCAGTCACACTTCGGTTGCCCACAATCTCCAGTCATCCTGAATGGCAAATAGATTTAAGTCTTTCGAGTCTTAATGAAGTTGAGAAAGGCATAAAAAATTTGAAGCGAAGTAGAGCAGCAGGGCCTGAAAGGCTTACCCCTGAGATGTTTAAGGATGGTGGTCCAGTTGTAGCAATAATATTGACTGAGATATTAGGTAGAATATGGGAGCTGGGTGTTATACCATCTGACTGGTCTCAATCGTTGACTGTCCCAATTTGTTAAAAAGGACAAAAGTCCTCTTGTGACAATCACAGAGGAATCAGCCTGACTAATGTAGTCTCTAAAGTATTGGCCTCAATAATACTTCGACGCTTAATGAAAGCTCGTGAAGAGCGGGCTAGCGAGAACCAGGCTGGTTTTCAACCTGAACGTAGATGTACAAACCAGATATTCACACTACGGAAAAGTCCTATAACATGGACACACGTCCAGGCATCCCACAATAGTAGTACTTCTCGACCTTAGGGTTGCATTTGGCTCTGTTGATCGTGAGGTTCTGTGGCAGTGTCTGTCATTAAAAGGTGTGCCGAAGAAGTACAGTAACCTTATACAAGCCCTTTACTCGAACACCACTGTTCGAGTGAGGGCTTATTGCGAACTGTCACCGGAATTCTCTATATCAAGTGGTGTCCGTCAGGGATGTCCACTCTCTCCATTCTTGTTTAACTTTGCTATAGACTTGCTTCTAGTTATAACCTTATCCTTATCGTCTGAATTTTTAGGAGTAGACTTTTTACCAGGAGACTCGCTTATTGACTTAGAATATGTCGATAACATAGTCCTACTTGGTGAGGACGCTGACAAAATGCAGAGTCTTCTGACCACCCGAAGCAACAATGCAAAATTGTTCGGGATGCGGTTTCCCCCTCGAAATGCAAAATGTTGCTTTAAGATTGGGTTTCATCGGCACCTGAACTAGTGATAAGGAGTGAGGTAGTCGAACGTGTAGACCGCTTCACTTATGTGGGGAGTCTGATCAGTGCTGATGGCCTGGTGACAGACGAAATCTCAGCACTGATACAGAAGGCCCGATTAGCTTTTGCCAACGTGCGTCACTTATGAAGTAGACGAGATATCTGTTTGCTGACTAAAGGACGAGTGTACTGTGCAGTAGTTCGCTCCGTCCTACTTTACGGCTGTGAAACGTAGCCAGTGAGAGCAGAAGATATTCGTAGGTTACTGGTTTTCTATCATAGGTGTCTTCGAAGCATTGCTCGTATATCGTGGGACACCCGAGTGCGAAACACTGTTATTAGAAAAGGGCTGCTAGGTAAGAATGGCAGATCAATAGATGAAGTAATGAAACTTCATCAGTTGAGGTGGTTGGGACATGTGATGCGTATGCCCAACCACCGACTGCCTCGTCGAACTGTGTTTTGTAGTGTAGGTGTAGGTTGGAAGAAAGCTTGTGGCGGTCAAACCCAAGCATGGCGCAAATCCATGAAGTCACTGACAAGTGGAGTGAGTGATATTGGTAGATCAGGCTACCTGGTTGGGGTCCACGACGTCACCAACGGTTAGAGACCTTGGCCGATATAACTCAAAGTCGTTTGCAATGGAGCAGGTGCATTCATTCATTGTGTTCTCTCAAATTCTTACCTCCTGAATTCCTCATCATTTCCATCTTTCTCTTTGGAAAGTCATTGTATTAAATTATACTTTTCATCATATCTTCGAACCCTAATCTTCTCTATCACTACTTGTACTTCTGCTACTATGGGATTTGAACTGACAGTTACTTCCCTGTGCTGAGGGGGTATGGCCACCTGAACTTATATACTCAAGTACTTTGTAACTGACTGAATGACTGACTAATAGTTTTCATAGTTTATTTCACGCCAAGCTTAGCTATACTGCATATGTCCGTATCACGCATTAGCTGATAAATCTAGTTACATTTTTACAAATCTGTGTTAAGATTTTCCAAAGGCATTTCTCGCTAAATAATCATTATTTCGTGGTACTTTTCAGTCAGATTCTATACCTTTGTATTTTGTAAATAATGCGAAAATTGTGACACCAGATATTATGGCTTCAAATGGAATGATACAAATAGTAAATCAAGTTTTGCATACACCATATATTTCATCACCTTTTATGGAATTTTTGGAAAAACGAGGAAATTTAGGGTACGTTTTTTCATATTTTTCTAATAAATTTTTTGGATTTATTTTTTGCCATCTAGCAGCCGCTTACTTACGAAATAGATCTACCTGAATGTGTAGATTATTGGATTCAAACTGGTTTATCTTAGAAGTTCATGAGTTCACTATCAGGTGGGCTAACATATAAGCATAATCGAACAGTTTAGACTAGAATTAAACAGTTTTCAAACACTATTTGGCTTTCAATGATGCACTGACTGATGACAGTCAATGAAAAACATCTCTTGTTTGTTCAAACAATTCACTTAGGCAAAGTATATTGATGACTTATTGACAAAAATATTATGACAGTCTAAGATTATTTCTGTCTCTTATATAGCTCAGTAAAAAATGATCACCAATGCAACTTTAACTTCTATCTTCATTAGTAAACAAAAGGGACATGTTGACCAATTACATATCTTACAAAGCCAATACTAATTTCTTACAGTTAATGATGCTTTGATAAAAGCGATTTTCGTTACTTAACAAAAATATGAACTGAAAGCTTTTACATCAGTTTAGTTGTAATCACCTCTTGCGACTAAAAGTAGCTCTTCATATCATATTCGATAAGTGATTCATTTCTAGTGTATAATTTAACTTCAGAATTATCAACCTTGATAGCTGAGTTTATTGGATACTGAACAAGTAGTTTTGACATTTATGTTTTTCTACGATTACAACCAAACTTCCTACCAACGTTTAATCACCAATCACAAATTCACCGAGATTTAATTTTGAAAGTTTTGTGAGAATTTGAATTTTATCTCATTAATTTATTGGATTTGACAAGTTGATAAGTAGTCAAATTGCTTAGAATGTGTTACACAGATATATCACACTTTTAAATGTCAAGGAATGATCTTTATTTCTAAGCCATGAGAAAAATCATTGGTGGCCTAACTTTTAAGGGATGTCAAATCGGTTATTTAACAAAACTTCCTTTTACACTCATAACCTTTACATTTGAGCAACCGGTTAAACTCATGATTAGGAAGGTAGTTTTGGTCAGTGCCTCATTCCGGACACTTTACGTCAGGTCATCAAATTCCTGGTGCTATTGTATTTTTGAATTAATAAAAACAGACTAACTTTTCTTGTATACTCTGTGAGTTTAGATAGAATTTCTTCAAATATTTAAGATATATATCTCTAAAAATATACTGATATTTACTGATAACAAGTTAAACTTTTACTTTTCACGTTTCTGCAATAGTCTATCAAAAGAATTATGGTATTTACTATTACAAGAACCGAAATATGGACCATATCCAGCACAGAATATCTATTCAACCATTTTTGTTGTTAGTGATGCTGGCTGGAGTTCTCTGCCACCGATTCAAATGGCTAGATTACGCAAGAATATCACTTTATTAGCTTCGGTAAGTAGTTAATTTTAACGTTACCTTATCATAAAGAGCGCAGATTTTTATACAAACAAATATTTTTTATCGATTTGACGCTTAAATTAAGTGTTGTTAATCTAACTATATAAACTCAATGGAAACTTACCATTAGTTGAATAGATTCAGTAGGGTAACAAGTTGTTCATTGTTAGTAGTGGCTAAATCTTTATTTCCTAGTTTAATAATTATTGGCACATCTCACTGACACAAAGTTAAATCTATGAAGAAATAAAAAGTAAATTATAATTATTTATTGAATAATATTGATCTCTATGGTGTATTTGAGGAAGATTTCGTGAAATCTTTGATCTGTTAAGCTAAAACAATTAAAGTTAAGATTTGACAACGATTGTGTTCATAAAAACTTTACTGAAGTAAGATATAAAAAAAAACATCCTTAAATTCTACTAACTCGGTTGAGAATTGGTATTCCACTTTACATGAGTATGAATTGAACATTCGGTCGACTTTCACTTTTATTCTAGGTTTTATCTTATCATTATTGTCCGAATCAACTCATTTATCGTGAATGGATTTCAGTAAAGCCCAATTTGAATATTTATACTGGATTTCCTAGTAGACCACAATCTGCAAGTAGTATTCAGCCAAGTGAATTAAACTCAGCCCAATTGTACAAGAGTAATGGTGATTCAAGTAAGTTGTATACATTGTAAACGTGACTAATTGCTGGTTAGTCAATAAATTAACAAGAATTATTTTCGCAAAATTTCCGTGAATGCGAATGAGATATATTGAAGAATTTTGTATTGCTAAGAGAATAGAGAAACTAAAGTATGTACTCAAAATTAATGTTTGATAATTGACAATAATCAGTAGGATACCATAGAAATAGGTTTCATGCTTATTGGCGCTTGTTTCTAAAGTGTATCCGTAATCTATAGAGAACTAATCCTTCCAGTGGTGGTACCACTAAGCTAGTTTGCCTGTGACTGATCCACTGTACAAGTGAAATATTTATAAGACTGTCTATTCATCATCTCTGCTGAATTTCGGCTTGGGTTAGATATGTTAGATGTGACTTGATTCATTTGAGAATATAGTCGAAATTCGATGGCATAAAAAGAAAATTTAAAAGTTTGCATTGAAAATTAAACAAGTTAATAATAACTGAGCTTTAAACTTATTATTATACAAAATACAAACATTTAGAAAGTCTGACTAATTCTCAATGAGAACAAATTAACCACTACTGCTATTTAGATACTTCTTATCAATTCATTTGGCAATTCTTTATAAAATATTATTTTTGTTCTTGAATAAATGTTAATATTTCTATTTAAATGTTTAGTTATAATATCAAGTGGAAATACAGAAGCGAAATTGGAAGATAAAAGTTTCATTATACAAAAAGCAATTGTTCATATCATTCAAAAGCCATTAGCATTTATATATGAAACACGTGAAGAAATTCTAAATAGAATTAATTCGTAAGTTTAATAATAATAATGAAAATTTTCAGTATAGTAAAGGAAGGTTGGAGAGATTTTTGAATATCCACAACTTTAATTTCACAAACTGGTCTCAGCTGCATTACCGTTGAAAATGTAGAAGTTATAGCGTGGAACTTCTCATCAGTGCGTATATGTGAACCCGCATCCAGCCATTATCCGATCTCCAAACTTCGCCATAATGATAATAATAACTATGTGCTCATCAATAACTGGTTTCACCATGTTACAGTTGGAGTTTTGGCGAGAAGCTGTGATCAATAGAGCTCAGCTGTTTTTTCTGTAAGGCAGTTAATTACCGCAGTATCTGAATGCTCGCTCAGCGGTCTAGAGGTTAGGCTTTCCAACTTGAGGTTTCAGAGGCTAGATCCTGGCCTCGAATACAGGTTCACATGTGTGCACCATTCAATACTCCCAGGTTTTCAGTGGAAGGTCAACTGAGAACACTTCGTTATTAAGACCATGAAAATTCAAATTTAGTAAAGAATTTGCATTTTTAAATTAACTTAGATAGTTAAAAATATATTATGTCAATACAGTACAGACAGACATTTCGCCATTTAGTGGTATGTAAGCTCTCAAAGATTGACAATTACAATATTGTGAATATCATTTAACTGACTGAACAAATGAAAGTATGCTACATAATCAACAGAAAATTTATACTGTCTTTGAGATTAATGCTACCAACTAAAAAAATACTTAAAACAAATAGATTGACTTGTTGTATATCATGTTGAAGTTATCCCAGAGACTGCCCAAATTGTCAGCTGCATAACCTGCACAAATCATCACTTGGTAGCGCTAATGGTCGACTTTATATTGTTGTCTGATGGTTTTTGAAGTTATAGATTCACTACCAAAAGTAAAACCAGAATGTTTTCGTTTGGTTTATATCTTTTTAGTCCCAAGATTTCAATTCTAATGCTGTCATACATATTTAGCTATATATCCTTCCTATCGATTACATCTAATTGTGTCACAGACATTTAGGGCTTGACAGCACTTTGGTCCGTAACGCTTTCATAATCAGTAATGCTAAAATTAGTCAAACAATAAGTCAGGAATGAAAGAGTTCGATGACATATTTAGAATAAAGTTGGCATGCCGAAAAGTGTGTAATCGAAGTTGGCTAGTTTTTGTGGGGAATACTCAGTGATGATCTGGTACAGATGCATTTGGGGATTTATTTAACGCTATATATTAAATCTAAGAACCAATCGAATACGAGCACATCTCGAATTTCTTCACTATTCAAAAGAAGTAGCAGATATAAATGCTTTATTTTATTATTACTGTAATGTCTTTCAATTAGTGATATCGTCCAATCTCTACATTCGTCTAAAAGGTGTGGAAACGTTCAAACTAGTTACTATAACAAATTTGTCACCTGGTCGGTAATCATTTAAGGGAAATATGACAAAAACTATTCCAGTCTTAAACACTAAACCTAACGCTAGTTCAATTCTGATAAAATTAAACTGCCCAGGTCTAAATTTAAGTTTTTTCGACTAAAGCGACATCGCTGTGCGCTGTAGAGTCATAGTATCCGTTGGCATGAAGTCAACGTCCAATTGACTATTGTCCAGAAAATCGAATTCAAGTTATTCGAATCACCCGCCCTCAAAAAAGATTTACATTATGTACTATTTGTTATCTGTTAGGATTCCTCCACGTAGTAGTGTTTTTATCACCCTCTTTATATGATAAAATGATGTAATCTGCTGTTACTTGTAAGTGTACTGATGTGTATTTTAATAAACCACAATCTGATAGGAAAGGAGATTAAACAACCAATTATTACAAAACGTACGAAGTACAACTGAAACGATACCCAATTAGTTCTGTTCGAAGAAATCTTTCCATTTCCTTATGAATCAGAAGAGCGTGACGTGCATAAGCTCTTAAAAGACCACAAAAATTTCCATGTACTGTTCATAACCTCTCACCAAGTTAATCCTGCGTTATATCCACCTTCAGATTAACTAGACATCATAAGAATGCAACCAGAATACCACACCCTTTATTCTCTAATGAAACCAAATAAATACCGAGAAACTTGGTGGATACTTCACACCAGTCACATAAAAATCTATTCAATCATTGTGTTAGTCGTTTGTGAGATGATTAATTTAAACAAAAATTTGGTCGGTCACTATGACTTGACTGGAAAGAAAAATTTAAAACATTTTGTTATAAATCTCTATCATAGAACGGTAATAGTACATAGTTGATTTGATGTGAAGAAAGCATTTCTGTTTATTAATAACTCAGTGAACACCTAACACATTTCTACAAATAATGGAATAAATCAGAAAAATGTGATGCCTCTCACTCTATAAATCTTTTTTTACATAATCCAACAAACTTGTAAAATCTGCTTGTATTTACTATAAGAAGTACAATAGTTAAAACCAGTTAGTTTAGGAGTTGAGAAAAATTTTTTGTATGCAATCAATCAATCAATAACAACGTAGAACTCCGTACGTACGTACGTACGTACATCAGGTTATGTTGCCGCACCACATTAGCACAGAGATGTAATTGTCAATGCAAATCCCATAATAGTAGAGGTAGTAAAAGTATTACCAGTAATCAGAGAGATTAGGGTTCGAGGAAATTATTCAAGAAGTTAAAAAGAACTTGTATTGTTCGACAATTAATAAAATAAATACGTCCGCCAGCAGATGTAAGAATAAGTTTATATCTAGTCGACTGTTTTCATATTCGATGCAATCTCATGTTTACACACAATTAAACCAAGTAAATATCTATAGAGTCTATGGGTTTTGATATTCTTATGCATATAATTGTTTAACTCGTTTGACAAAATCTCCAAGTCTTTACTTGTGATGTATAATAATCCATTACAAATTCCGGAAAAGTGAAGTTTCAGGACTGGTTACAATTGCATCTGAACTGTTAAGTAACCAGTATGAGTTACAACTGCTAAACAACCTGTACAAAATGATATAAACATGTGATCAGTTCACTTCATAGGATGCCAATTCATAAACAAACAGCAGTTTACCACATCGCTCAGAATCGTTTGCATTGGCACGGGTGCATCCACTCTTTGTGTTCTTTCTAATTCTAACCTTCTGAATTCATCACAATCTCTATCCTTCTCCTTCTAAATTTATCTCACTGAATTATACTTCTCGAATCATATCTTCGAATCCTAATCTTCTACCTTACTGCTAATAATTCTACTATCGCTATCGCTCTTCGATTTGAACTGACAGTTGTGTCTCTGTGATGATGTGGTATGGCAACCTGAACTGATGTACTTACGTACGAAGTTCTGCGTTGTATCCCTCTGTCTGTCTGTCTGATTTCAACTGATCAAATAATGAGGAATTTGTCAAATAAGTAATTTGTATTACGGGGTTGTGAAGATTGTTAAGTTACACATTTTTGAAACCATGAATCGATCAATGTTAGATCACCATTAGAAACCTGGAAGCACTGGACGGCCGTTTCGTCCTGGTATGGAACTCCCCAGTAGGAGTCGTGGATGCGCACTGCTGAGGAGTCTCATACCAGGACGGAACGGCCGTCCAGTGCTTCCAGGTTTCTAATGGTGGTCTAACAATGATTGACTGATGACTTCAAAAAATGTGTAAATAAATAATTCACTCGAATTTCGTTTGTTTTTCTCCAAGCAAACACTCAATAGAATGGAAACACTTGAAAGTATCTTAACTATAAATCAAATAATCTACAGAATATCTTTCAAATCTAAGTAATTTGTTTTAGAGTTTCACTGTTGAACTGTTTAAAGATGATGATTTATTTTACTGTTTTGCTTTTTTGTTTGTTTTGATAAACACTTTGTCAATATAGAAATCTGTTATCAATGTGTCAATCAGATGCAAATTGTAGAAATATATTAACATCTTCATCAGATATAACAATTTTCTCACCGAATGCACAAGCCATGCAAAATTTGAATAAATTATCGACCAGTGAAAAGGTAAATTTCTATGTGAACTATTTATTCATTCGGTGGATGTAGCTTGAAATAGTTTACTAAGCAGATATTAATTATACATAATATCAGAACGAGATTGGATTGTCAGATAGTAACTATGTCAAGACAAAAAAGTCAAGTGTGCAGATGAGTAAAACTGTATTAATAAAAAATATTGAACAAATGTTATCGTCTTATGATAATTACTATGGGTTGTTCTTCGGAAATTTCGTTATTGGTTTAAATGTTGATAGAGTAGTTTTCATAGTAAACTGACAGTCACTGGTGGATCAGTGGGAACACTGCATTTGAGATTCTTCAGCAGTGCATGCCATTGATTATACCCTGAGAATGACCTAGTACCTATAGATCTATTGTCTGTCAGAATATTGCATTTGACATTCGGAACGGTTATTTGTTAGTAAACAATGCAATCTAGTCTATACGCGACTACAGAAAACCTCTAATCATTTAGAATGGCATCAACATTCGTTTAATGAAATACTAGTACCGTTATGTATTCCATGAAAAAGAGGTTTACATTAGGTCAAAGAACATCAACAATTTAATCTCTCCACTTAGTAGGGTGTTCGAAATGTATTATTATTATCATTATTATTATTACTATTATTATTATTATTATTATTATTATTATTATTATTATTATTATCAAAAACTTGTATTTTGATTGATTATCTTTGTTAAAATTTCAACACAAGGAATATTTTCTTTGATTTTTTCAAGTGTTACCGACACATTCTATGATTGAGGCATCGATCTGTTTATGGGAATAACTTAGCACGTTTTTATTCAGAAGACAGAAACAAACTATTTACAGATATACCTCTTAATTGATTTATAAAGGTATCAAAATCTTCCAAAGCCAAGTTGATTTTAGACCTCAAAGAGGAATTACTTAAATGATTTGTGATACGCAGCATCCTTTGAACTAATCAATATGATTATTCTTATTCAACTGCAAAGCTGTGGGCGATACATTGTATCAAAGACCGATGTACACATTTGCTTTAATGTTTCTTCCACAACAGTTTTATATACCGAAATGCATAATGAATTTACTATTCAGGATCTTTTTAATATAACCATCATAAACTTGGCCTACTACTGTATATTGCTGTATTCTAGTGATTTTTTAAACTCACATTTAAATGTGCAAACTTTAAATGGCTACCATTCATGATAGAAAAATTTTACTTTCAGGAACTTCGATACCGCTGGTAGCTCCTCAGTTAAAGAAAATAAATTAACACAACTGAAAGGAGTGAATATGTTGTCATTCTGTTTAGTTGAAACAATAATAGACAATAAATTTCACACTGTCAGCTTAATTTATTCAAATTTTATTATGTCCGAACGGAATGACTTCCAAAATGTTTGATTTTTAGAGTTATACTACTACTAAGTAGTCTAATTATCTTTGTAGGAAATCTAGGAATTTACTGATAGTTATGAACTGACAGATAAAACAGTTTTCAGTTTATCAGTTTATGAACGGGTCATACGTTGAGTGTCATTTTTAAGGAGAAATATCATGTTCTTCATAAATACTCATCCCCTTGCACATGAAAAGAGGTGTCTAAGAAGTTAACCACTATCTATTTTGGTATATATTTAGTCATTCGGAGTTTTCACCTATCTCGACATGCAGAATTGAGGTCAAATTCTTAAATTTGAAGTATTGATGCCTCATGAAATTTATAATGTCATATTTTATGCGATAAAATCAAATTTGCCATGTCGTTTTAACTTCATGATTTGTGTGAAAATAATCAAGCCCCATCATACACATTTGTCACATGGCTCGGCAACACAAAACGGACACTAAAACAACATTTGCGATCGGAACACTAACATCATACTCATAGTCAATAAATACAAACCGTATAGTTGATAATACCATATATTGTCTGAGATATGTTGAAGAAATCAGCACATGAATGAAAGATTTTACGAATAAACTAATTACTTTGCTATTTCTATTATGTGATCATTTGAAGCTAGTGACCATGTGGATTAGCCTACTAATTGTATCTGATGATTATATTTCTCTATTCATAAATAGTTAAATAATTCACTATTAATTATCATTATCATTATTATTATTATTATTATTATTATTATTATTATTATTATTATTAATATTCAATAACTGAACTTACAGTTCGTGTTCATTGTTTTTCTTTTCTCGTCTTTTTGTTTTGTTTAACCAGGCAATTTATCTTAAGTATTTGTTTTTACCGAGAAAATTATATCAAGCTCAAATGACAGCAAATCTTCGTATTCCTGTTGAAAATTTAGATGATGCTATTCGTTTTAAAATAATTGATCAATGTAGGTGTAGTGGTGATTAGGTGTTGTTTTCAATTTTCTTGTAATGATGATTAGAATGAATAGTGTTTTATTTTTATCATTTTAAAGTTTGTCAAAAATTCCAATAGCTTTACAATAATCTGATATGAAAGAATTGAGGGAATTCTAATTTAGACATTGTAAGCTCTCTCTGAAATATATGTGGTCAATTCTCATATCTAATACTGACCAAACGAAATTTTTTGAATTACAAGTTGTCTTCTCTATTGTATGATGAGAAAATTTGAGTTAGTAGAAAGTGATGCACATGGAAGAATTCAACTTCATGGGATTAAAAAATTAATTTGCGTATCAAAAGAAAATATCATGTATTTGTTTTGCTTCATTCTACTTCCATTTGGTCTGCATCACTTTACGGACATTAATTAGCTTTAATGATTAGTCGGTTTAAATTATTCGATAACACTATCGACTGTTGTATGTACATTTGATGTGTGTGAGTGTGTATGCATGCTTACTTCTCTCTGATCACATGTCTAGCCTGTCAAGGCCTGACTATAAATACTTAGTCATGCTTCAACGAGCGGAGTTGGCTTATGCGCGTTCTCCGTTACGCCTCGCTTCGCTTTGCTTCTAGGCTTCTCATTCTCATATCTGTCTACTTAAATGAACGCATGAAATGAATTCATCTACGAAACTGTATTTGGCTTCTTATTACCACCGTCGCCTAAACGAGGTTAGCCTAAGTATGTTATACGGAGATAGAAGTAAAGATTTATTTCATTGCACACTCGATCATTCGTCCGAAAAGGAGTGAACTTTGAGGTATTTCTCGTGAACATTGGTGATTTCACAATTTAAAAGTACCATACAACACACCATGCGTCAACCAAATCACTCTTGATGGAGATGCCTTGGAAGACGTTGACACCTTTACATATATAGGCAGCATCATCGACAACCAAGGTAGATCCGATGCAGATGTGAGGGCGAGGATTGGCAAAGCAAGGGCTGCATTTCTACAGTTGTAAAATATCTAGAACTCCAAACAACTTTCAAACAAATCCAAATTCAGGATTTTCAATACAAATGTCAAGACAGTTCTACTGTATGGAGCGGAAACTTGGAGAACTAAGAAAGCCATCATCCAGAAGATACAAGTGTTTATTAACAGTCGTCTACGCAAAATACTTCGGATTTGTTGGCCAGACACTATCAGCAACAACGAACTGTGTTAGAGAACAAACCAGATTCGAGTGGAGGAGGAAATCAGGAAGAAGCGGTGTAAGTGGATAGGACACACACTACGAAAAGCACCTAACTGCATCACGAGACAAGCCCTCACATGGAACCCTCAAGGCAAAAGAAAGAGAGAAATGCCAAAGAACACATTACTTAGAGAAATAGAGAAAGATATGAGAAGAATGGACAAAAATTGGACAACATCGGAAAGGGAAGCCCAGGACAGAGTTGGTTGGAGAAAACTGTTGGGCGGCTCATGCTCCATTGGGGGTAGCAGGCGTAAGTAAGTAAGTGAGAAAGTAACCATGAAATTGTATAATCTGTTTACATTAAAACTCTAAAGAATCAAAAAATTCATAAAATTTAGGCTAATGATCTTATACCGATTAAAAATAGAACTATTATGTAACAAACTATTTTGTTTCTATGTTCGTTTATTGGACTGGATAAAAAATTCATCTTAGAATGTGGAACATAAGCACATTTACCAACATCGGTTTTATTGGGGATGTTAGATCCCCAGAACTCACTTGATAAATATCTTTATTTTGGATTTATTTCATGGACCGATCAGTTGACCTTGAGATCACATTTCCCACCAGGAAAATCCTTGGCTGTGATTGGTTACCGTGTCATTTTAGTGTGCTATTTTTGTGACTGTCCCAAGGACGTCTCTATAGAGTATAAATAAACTCAATTCGAGTGCTTGGATTCATTGTGTGCTGGCTGGGTGTTTGTAGAATACAATTTCTACACTATATCAAGACTTCTTGCTGGTACAATTGGGTCAAGGGATCAGAGTAGCCTACCTGAACTCTGGTTCATTGTTTTGTTCTCGTTATTCGACTAAGGTGAACCCGTCATAGTTTAAGTATACCTAGAGACGAGCGCAACATGTTTGTTTCTGTTCGTGTAATTTTTTGTATAATTTTAATTTACTTGTGAATACATCTTATCAAGTTATATAATAATTCATTTTCATATTTATCAAATGGTCATCTAATTTCTTTGGTATTCTTGATTAGTGTTTTCGAATTCTGTGACTAATTTTTACTCAGTTTTCTTTCAATAAGAATAATACTTTACATAATTTTGTTCATTTTATTTTCTTGTTCAATATTAAGTTGAACCCATAATAGTTTCAAGCATACTTAGTGACGAACCTAACAATAACTGATTAATCATGTTTGTATATATATATTTACAAATGTATAGATTTGAGAGTGAAGATGTACTGAAAATGGATTCCCAAGCTGAACCATTCTCTCTGTCTACTATAATTAGTCAATTTTGCATACAGAAGATTCAATAAACCAACTAGAAATATTTATTCAGGGAAATGGGCTTGGAACTAATCGTAAATCTATATTATGTTGAATATTTAATTCACACAACATATGAATGAACTCCAAAAGAAAAAGATATAAAATCTTACAGGCAAAATAAAAACCTAATATTTGCCGAAAAATCCAAGTTTCATACTGGTCGATATTCGTCAGTCAAGTGTACTTAGATTATAGTGAGATAAGCATTGAAAGGCTACATTAATGTAATATTCGTTATGAATCGGTGATTATCAAACTATATAAAAGTAAATAACGGAATAAGTAAACAATGATTTTTTTTCTTTATTTTATGCCTCTTTTTTCTTCTAGCTACTTTTATTGAAGCTCGTTTACCTAATCAAGGCTATGTTTCATCGCGTATCATTAATGCAAATCAAGCCGGCACTAATGGTATTGTTCATAGTGTTGATGCTGTTCCAGGTCTACCATATGAAACAGTTCAACAGTATGTAGCTAGAATACCTGATTTTAGGTAAGTTGTCTAATTAATTAATTAATTTTACTATATGGTGTAACGAGACTATGACAAAATTAAACAGCCATCAATTCTGTATGGAGAAAGGAACGAAAACGGTGAGAGATTTGCAAACCTATGTGCCTTCAACAAACTGGTCATCGGCGGCACAATGTTCCCACACAAGCGCATATACAAAGCTACATGGATTTCACCGGGTCACACTACTCAGAACCAAATTGACCATATCTTCATCAATAAAAAGTTCAGAAGGACCATGGAAGATGTGAGAACCAAGAGAGGAGCTGACATAGCATCAGATCACGACTTGCTGATCGCCAAAATGAAACTGAAACTAAAGAAGCACTGGACAACGGGGCAGACAACATCGCACAAGTTTAATACGGCCTTTCTTCGGGATACCGTTAAACTCAACGAATTCAGAATAGCCATCACCAATAGGTTCCAGACCTTTCAGGATCTACTCAATGGAGAGGACACAACATTGGAGAACAATTGGAAAGGGGTGAGGGAGGCAATCACTTCAACATGTCAGGAGGTCCTGGGTCACAAGAAATGGATCTCTGTTGGTACTCTTGAAAAAATTCAAGAAAGGAGGAACAAGAAGGCAGCAATCAATGTCAGCCGAACAATTCAGAGGAAGTTAATGCACAAGCTGCATACACAGAAGCAAACAGGGAAGTGAAGAAGAGCATCAGAGCCGACAAACGGAAATATGTGGAGGATCTAGCAACGACGGTGGAAAATGCTGCAAGAGAAGGAAATACAAGACAGTTGCACGATACAACAAAAAAGCTAGCTGGAAACCATCGTAAACCAAAAAGACCAGTGAAAATCAAGGAAGGGAAAGTAATCAGCAACACCGAAGAACAGAGAAACAGGTGGGTAGAGAACTTTAAAGAACTCTTGAATCGACTAGCTCCACTGAACACACCCAACATCGAAGCAGCATCCACGGACCTCCCAATTAATATTGGCGCACCTACGATTCAGGAGATCCGCATGGCCATCAGACAAATCAAGAGCGGCAAAGCAGCAGGACCAGACAACATTCCAACAGAGGCAATGAAAGCAGACGTGGAAACAACTGCGAAAATATTTCACATCCTCTTCAAGAAGATTTGGGATGAGGAAAAAGTACCATCAGATTGGAAAGAAGGATACCTAATCAAAATACCAAAGAAAGGCGATCTCAGCAAGTGTAAGAACTACAGAGGCATCACTCTTCTTTCAATACCAGGCAAAGTCTTCAACAGGGTATTGTTAAACAGAATGAAGGACTTCGTAGACGCCGAACTTCGAGACTAGCAAGCTGGATTATGGGAGGATCGATCGTGTACTGACCAAATTGCAGCACTATGGATCATTGCGGAACAATCAATTGAATGGAACCCACCACTCTACATCAACTTCATCAGATGAATTATATCTGGCTTTTAATGATATCCTATAACTTTTCAAAAATTATCCAACAATGACAAAATTTTGTTTCCTTAAACAAGTTATACCTTAAAGCTATCAAAGTGAACTGTTCAATTTTTGTTGTTGAATCAACTACTATGTCATGTAAACAAAAAGGTTTCTATTTCTCATATCAGAACCTTTCTAATAAAACGATTTTTGCTTAAAACAAGCCATTTCAAAGGATTGTATTTTAATGTAGTTAATAAAATTCATTGTAACAATCCCATTTTTATGAAATCATTTCAGTTTATATTACAATACTGGTTTTGTTCAGTCAATGACTATTGGTGAACCATATACATTTCTAGTACCGACAAATCAAGCAATGACTTCCATGGATAATGACAATGAAGTGGGGAAAAAACTTTTGGCTGATAAAATTCGAAGAGAATTTGTGAGTAGCTTGTTTATTTTATCGGGAAATAATGCTACTGGTATTAACTGTTTTCGTCAAGAAAATAAGTGTTTTTTGTTGAGGATGTTAGATACCCAGAACTCGCTTGATAAATGCCTTATTTTGGATTTCATGTTTGCAAGTATGGGCTGATCAGTTGACTCTGAGATTTCATTTCCCACCAGGAAAATCCATGGCTGTGATTGGCTGCTGTGTATTTTAGTGTGCTATTTTTGTGACTGTCCCAATAACGTTTCTATAATGTATAAATAAACGAGATTTGTATGCTTGATTGCATTGTGCTTGTTGGGTGTTTGTAGAATATAATTTCTACGCTATATCAAGACTTTAGGTTAGCCATTAGATCGGGGTAGCCCACCTGAACGCTGGTTTATTGTCTCGTTCGCGTTTATCGATTAAGGTGAACCTATAATAGTTTCGAGCATATTTAGTGACGAACGTAACATTTTTATGAATGTGAACATGGATATTATTTTTAGTTAAGCGATCGTTCATTTACCGAGTCGAAATCGAATGGCTCATATATATTTATGAATTCGACTGGTTTGACGAAGTATCAAATCATCATGATGAATATTTAACCCTTATTAGATTGAATTGATTTGTACTGAAATGGATGAATGTCCTCGATTTCTGACAAGAGATTGTGATCAATGGAGTTAACTCAACAAAAATTAAGATAGACAGATTCGAATGTTTATAAAGAACGAAACAAGCGGTTTTCTAAAGTTGAAAATTGAAATTTTTTCAAAGATCTTAAGGTTTCACAATCGCAAAGTAGAGTTGGTTAAACCCGATGCACTCTATACACTGGTGTTTTAGAGTCAGGACAGTATAATAACATCATCAGATCAGAACGAAAATTAATTTTAAGCCATTATCGCATACATTGAATGAAGATTATTCTTTTCGCAAACAACTAACACCACTAATTAAACCGTAACCAATAGGAACGATAATATGCATTGTGTAGCTACTTAAATATACCAGAACAAAAAGATAACTTCGCAGATACTTACATCAATAAATGTCATCTTATCTGTAGATGAATGTATTTTGAAATTATCATCAGCTAGGAAAAAATTAATACCGATAACAGATAAACAATAATAAATCAGTTTAATTTATTTCTTTCAGATTTAATATTTGTTTTAAAACAAAAATACATGTATACTTCATTTCATTTTTTCAAAAGGTGTTTCGTCGAAATTCATTTCCACTTGACTTAATCATTCAAGATTTGAATACACGTATAGTATACTATGTGTCTACTGCAAATTATGCATTCACACGTGAACAAATACGTTTGGATATTAGTTCTAAGAATGCTGATAAAGGTGAATTTCACACTGATCAAATTATATTATTTTGTTTACATAAATAATTCATCACGAACATGATTTAAGAAATGTAGTAGTCATTTTTTGAAAAGATTGGTGCATATTTAGTATATTAACATCATTCACAGTAATAATTATCCATTGTATTAGGTAGTTTTCATTTGATTAGTATCACATGTATCTTAGAATTCTATTTGATGTTAATTGAGAGTGAACACTTGTTCATTGATTTATTAAATTGTTAAATGGCATGAAACTGAAGAAGCATGAAGAATTGTGGAAAATGTGTTGTAAATCTTGTTAAAATTTTCATAGAGACGTCATTATAGAAGTAGCAGCCTCCAATGCTTCCACAGATTATAATATTTTTAACAATATTAAGTTAGACTGGTAGTTATTTTATTAGATTTAATGGTTAACCTAGGTGAATCGAATCCATTTACTGATTGATCAATGTAAGAAAAACTCAATCAATGGGTTTTCAAACAGGGATTTAGAATTTAGATGTCGTAACAGATTTGGGAAAAAACATACTGTACGGTTGTTGGAATAAGTTATTGCTGAATATGTGGAGAAATAGCTAAGTTTGAAAAAAAATTGAGTCTGATGCTTTGTTTGATTAGTTTTCTAACATTTCTTATCAATATCCACAAATTAGGGTTATAAATTGTTCAATCTATGATTAAAGACTTTAGATTATAGAATGAATGACATGCTACTAGGTTTCCTTAATGTTTCTGTATTTGGTAAACTTTTGTAACCAAAAAATCTTCTATTTCACCATTCTAATTATTATATCATTAGCCTAACTTGATCACGTGATTTAGAATAGAATTCAATCTAAGACAGGTTGTACGAACTCTCTCTCTCACTATCTGATAAACTGACCCTACTTTAAGTCACGAGTCAGTCAGTCAGTCAGTCAGTCAGATGCAACATAGAACTTCATGCGTACGTACATCAGTTCATGTCGCCATACCACATTAGCACAGAGATATAATTGTCAGTTCAAATCCAATAGTAGTAGAGGTAGTAAAGGTATTCGAAGTAATCGGAGAGGTTAGGATTAGAAGATATTATTCAAAAAGTATGATTCAGTGAGATACGTTTAGAAAGACAAAACTTCTAAACATATCTCACTGTCACGAGATGTGGAAATTTTAACTGTCTGCACATTGAAACTTGACAAACATATTATTTTTGTTATTATCAATCTATCTGATTCGCGGTGTATTCGAAATGATCAAGTTAAACCTAAGTAACCAACAGTTAGTAGTTTTTTAAGTTCATCTAAAATATGCTCATGAATAAGAACTTAGATGTTTCGTTTAAAAAAATAACGACTATAAGAATGATTACTGACATACATACACTACTTATATACATACACTTTTTATTTACTTATATTGCTTCAACACATCTATTATTACGTGTTGTTTTTTTCAACTTACATTATTTCTATTCTTTACAGAAGGTATATTTACATATCAAGGTGAAAAAATTCAATTATCATCACTCAATGGACCTTATCAATTTACTAATGGTTTTCTTTATCCAATCGACAAAATTCTCTATACAAAATCCGATCTTAACGTGACAATGTGCACTGTACCAGCTTGTGAATAAGTGGAACAAAAATTCTAGTTGAATTACTCATTCATGTGTGATGTTTGTTGATTGGTGTTTAAAATGTAATTAACTTTATTGAATTTAATCATTTGAATTGTTATCTTATTTGTTCATATCAAGTAATATTCAATATGGTTATTCACACTGTTTATCTCCTTTCTTCTGAATTTCCAAGAAATTGATTGATTTATTCTGAGTAAGCAATTGTATTAGTTCATCTAGGTGACTTTGACTAATAATGCGATGTTTAGTAAGTAGGGATCATCCTTCAAATGTAAAATATTATTTCAGAAGTAGTTTGGCTTAGTTTGGTTACTTTGAGGATCACTTTTCAGATGTGTTTGTTTTTGCAGGAACCTCACAGCAGACCTAGGGAGCTGATGTGAGATGTAATACCTTGTTGTTGTTGTTGTTGTTGTTGTTTCTGTCTGCTGTTTATCTGGCATCTATAACTCAACATACTTTATTGCGAGTTATATCATCCATATTTAATTGCATGAACCCATTATCTTACTAACTGAACAATAAAAATTTGGAAGTGAACTCAATTTAACCAATGTCAACAAACAAAAATTGTAAGAAAATAATGAGTTTATAACAGTAGATTTCTGTCAAATGTAATAACTATTTATGTATACTTATCGTTATTACATGGTTACAATTATTCTTTATTAGTAAATAGTAAGTAATTTATTTACTAGTCCTTACTGGAATTTAGGAACCAGTAAACAAAAAGTATGTCATACTGGTGATACTGCTTTCATATTTATTCACTGTTGGTTTCTAATCTTTTATTCTCATCACTTACTACTACTACTACTACTACTACTACTAATAATAATAATAATAATAATAATACCACCAATACTACTACTACTACTTTTGTATTCATCTTGACAATTTTATTTTACTGTGTTAACATAATATAACAATTCAAATTGATGAACATTTTTACCAGATTCTACGTTACTTACAACTTACATTTACCCATTTATTCAAGATCCTCTTTTTCCATGATTCGATTTCTGAAAATTTACCAAAATACCCAAGCAATACGATAAACATTGAGATACCGTAAACAATATTTTTAAATGAACGGGAACTATTTCTTATTCTATTTAGCATAGGCATTAGTTTTTTAAGAGATATTAGAATGAGGATTGGCTCCAACACGTAAGATGTTAAGTAACTGTTAAAACGTATATAATAATCTTTTCACGATATATATGTATATATATATATATATATATATATATATATATATATATATATATAAAGGTTACTCTTAATTCTGTTTGACAGTATTTAATGATTACTTAGTTCACTATGTCAAGATTTAGCAAAAAAGCTGAATAACAAGAACACTCAAATTCATATAACCTTAGCATCCTGTAGCCAATTCCTGAATTCTAATATTCTATACAGAAAAAACAGCAACTAGTATCGCCGAAGTTCATTTGTATCATTGTTTTATGTTTAAAGTGCATGCTTAGCAATATAATATCTGACTGAATACGAAGCAACGAAAAGTTCCCAACTGATATATGTATATATATTTTGAAACCATGAATCGATCAATGTTAGACCACCATTAGAAACCTGGAAGCACTGGACGGCCGTTTCGTCCTGGCACGGGACTCCTCAGCAGTGCGCATCCACGACCCCTGCACCCCGCAGGATTCGAACCCAGGACCTTCGGTATTGTAGGCGAACGCTTAACCATCGGACCACCGAGCCGGTATCTGACGGTGTTAATGTCTAACTTGATCCATTCAATGAGTTGCGCAACCTCATACACACTCTTCGGTAGTTACTGTCTACACCCGGACAGGTTGAACTTCACTGGTCACGTCTTCCCACTAGAACTCGGAGATCCCTCACGAAGATATTCACTAGTGAGCACATTCATCGATTCATTGTTTCAAAAAAAAGTTAACAACCCCGTAATGTGATATATATATATATATATATATATATATATATATATATATATATATATATATACAATAAAATGAACATTTTATCTTGATAAAAAATCTACTGTTCACTTCTTTTGGAAACTTGACCATCAACCATTAAGAATTTAATACCATACAGTTCAAAACTTCGAAAATGAACCATCAAGTGATCTATTTTAAATGTGATGTCTTCTAAAACCACAAATAAATATAACTTAATACACACACACACACACACACTACGAGTTAGAATAAATTCACATTATTTCTATACAAAGCAGATAATCTTTGATTTTAGGTCGTTTAATAACGTAAATTCATTTACCATTCCTATTCATTGGAATGCTTATTTATTCAGTATAGACTACGATAATATCTTACTATTTATCTCACATTAAATTTAATATTCAGTTAGCAGATAGCCATTGTAAATTTTTGGATATAATTTTGTATTAAGAGAGGCATTACTGATTAGAGCATTCAATTCGTGGTCATTTTTGGTAAACCAGTAGATCTTTGGGATATCACATCAAAAAGCCACAGTCTATAGTTAAAATCCTTTTCTTTGATAAAAATCAAATATTATTTCCCCTACCGCTACTGTTGTAAAGCTACCACAAAGATAACAATATTTAAAGTTTTATCAAATATGTAATTACTACTTCTGTCCCAGCTTGGAGTAAACTATGTGTAGATCTCATGAATAGGTGTGAAATTAAAAAAATAACATTTATTAGTTCAGTATTTCAGTTAACTGCTGAAATTTATAGTAGAAATATTGGGAAATGACGAATTAAGATGGCGATTTGCATTTTTGATTAGATTTTAATTTGGAGATAATTTGGTAATTCAAAAACAATACGTCGAGATTTACTCATTTAAATTCGAAAAGGAACGATTAACTACATTGAACATTGAGGTCTTTCAGTGGTATTAGTTTAATTACGTACGTCTGTTGCCCCAAATGAAGCATAGGCCGACGACCAGCATTCTCCAACCATCTATACTGTGGGCCTTCCTTTCCAATTCTATCCGATTGCTGTTCATTCTTTTATGTCTGTCTCGCATTTTCGGTGAAGAGTGATCTTTTCTCTTGGCCTTGAACATTTCATATTTAGGTTTGCCTTGTGACACAGTTAGGGGATTTATGTAATAGGTATTCTATTCGCTTTCAGCATCCTTTCCTAATTTCCTCGTCTGCTGGAAGCTGACGCCTAACTGGAGCTTGTGAAGAGCAGATGTGGATGTGTGGACCATATATTCACACTTTGTAAGGTTTGAGAACACAAAAACACACTCAGACGTTCCACATTAGTTGTATTACTCCACCTTAAAACGGCATTCGACCAAGTTTATCTTGAGATTCTGTGGCAGTGTCTGTCATTAAAAAGTATAACACAGAAGTACATTAACCTTGTAGAGGCCCTTTACTCGAATACTACTGGTCGAGTCAGAGCTTACAGCGAACTGTCATCGGAATTGATTACCTAGAAAGGTGCTCGCCAGGGATATCCATTTTCTTTATTAGTATTCAACTTTGTCAGAGACATGCCATTAAAGAGGACACTTCTATCATCTCACTTTTCAGGATTTGACCTTCCACTAGGAGTCTCGCTTGTTGACTTAGAATATGCCGATGATATAGTTCTACTTGGTGAAGGCTCTGACGAAATGCAGAGTCTTGTGACTACTTTGAGCAACAATGCAAACGTGTTCGGGATGCGACTCTCAACGTCGAAATATAAAATTTTGTTTCAGGATTGAATTACGTCAGCGCCTGAACTAGTGATAGGGAGTGAAGTAGTTGAGCGTATCTGCTATTTCACTTATCTTGGGAGTCTCATCCAGATGAGTTTTTGTCGTCCCATATCCAGCTTTGTCCATGCCAACCTTGGCATTTAGGTCAAATCCTTTGATGAGCATCTGTCGACGATTGACGGCAGCCTCTGGTAAAATTGATCTTTAACGTCTTCATTGTTATCGTTAGTAGGCACAAAGCACTGGATACCATTCTTTTTGATCTCTTCTTTCATTGTTTGGAAGGATGCTTAGATCATCCTGGGTCCATGAGTTCCCATCCTTGTGCTTTATGTGCTTGTTTGGACATAATCAGTTTAACTCCTTGTGTCTATGAGACTGTTCATCCTTCATGGCCAGAGTACAACAGCATTTCTCCTGAAGCTAACCTTTTTTGTCGAGCTTGCGTTCAATGTGTTTCACTGATTCCAAGCACCACCAGGTTGTATCTTTTCATTTCGTCAGCAAATCAAATAGTTCTACCGGTCTCACACATTGTGAAGATATTCCATGTACCTATATGAGTTGTTTTTCTGGTTTTGAGACCTCCGAAGATACCTAGCTTTCACTATTAGGTGTCTAGATAAAGACCTTCCAACTACCAGTGTAGAGTTCAAATGGTTTAAACGATGTGTTGTTTTCCATATGATGAGTTAGCTAACCCCATATCCAACTCTTTTTCTCTATCCGTGCTTTTGAACCTAGAAGAACTACTGGCTAAATTTAGTCTTTCAATATCGTTCACTTTTTTTTTCTCTTTCTAATATTTGTATATTTAATTATTCATTAACTTCATTTATTGACGACTAGGATAGATACATTATTTCATTTGTCAAAAAATGAAAACTGATCTTTCTGTATCCCTTACGTTTTACTTTATACAAATCTCTAAAGAAAAAAAACATTCACTATTTTTTTTAATTGGCATAGGAAAGATTAAAACCAAACACATATCTCTTAACACTGATATTAATAATAGTATTATTATTATTATTATTATTATTATTATTATTATTATTATTAATTATCATGAACAGACGTATGTACAGATAGAAAAAATGAAAGAATAAAAAGCCTTTATTCAACGAGAGAGAATACAATGAATTTTTCCATATGTTTTCAATTTTATTATTCAAAATTATAATGTAAACAAACATTGTGAGAGTAGTAGGAAAACACCACACGATTTCAATTGTATATAATATATATATATATATATATATGACTGAGTTACAAAGTTTCGTTTCTTATTTCTCAAAAAATTCATTCAACCGTTAAGCAACTAACTGTCAGATTATAATCTGTTATCCATTATCCAGTTGAAATAGATTTCCTGTTAATTTAAATATATATATATAAGCATATAATTCATTCTA